CCAAGAAAAATTAACAGGATCTATTTTTTTAAGCCGTTCAGACAGAGGTAAGTGTGCCTTTTTTTGTAGGTATCGCCAAGAAGAGTGATGAAGATGATTATCGCCAAGAAAAATTAACAGGATCTATTTTTTTAAGCCGTTCACACAGAGGTAAGTGTGCCTTTTTTTGTAGGTATCGCCAAGAAGAGTGATGAAGATGATTATCGCCAAGAAAAATTAACAGGATCTATTTTTTTAAGCCGTTCACACAGAGGTAAGTGTGCCTTTTTTTGTAGGTATCGCCAAGAAGAGTGATGAAGATGATTATCGCCAAGAAAAATTAACAGGGATCTATTTTTTTAAGCCGTTCAGACAGAGGTAAGTGTGCCTTTTTTGTAGGTATCGCCAAGAAGAGTGATGAAGATGATTATCGCCAAGAAAATTAACAGGATCTATTTTTTAAGCCGTTCACACAGAGGTAAGTGTGCCTTTTTTGTAGGTATCGCCAAGAAGAGTGATGAAGATGATTATCGCCAAGAAAATTAACAGGATCTATTTTTTAAGCCGTTCACACAGAGGTAAGTGTGCCTTTTTTGTAGGTATCGCCAAGAAGAGTGATGAAGATGATTATCGCCAAGAAAATTAACAGGGATCTATTTTTTAAGCCGTTCACACAGAGGTAAGTGTGCCTTTTTTGTAGGTATCGCCAAGAAGAGTGATGAAGATGATTATCGCCAAGAAAATTAACAGGATCTATTTTTTAAGCCGTTCACACAGAGGTAAGTGTGCCTTTTTTGTAGGTATCGCCAAGAAGAGTGATGAAGATGATTATCGCCAAGAAAATTAACAGGATCTATTTTTTAAGCCGTTCAGACAGAGGTAAGTGTGCCTTTTTTGTAGGTATCGCCAAGAAGAGTGATGAAGATGATTATCGCCAAGAAAATTAACAGGATCTATTTTTAAGCCGTTCACACAGAGGTAAGTGTGCCTTTTTTGTAGGTATCGCCAAGAAGAGTGATGAAGATGATTATCGCCAAGAAAATTAACAGGATCTATTTTTAAGCCGTTCACACAGAGGTAAGTGTGCCTTTTTTGTAGGTATCGCCAAGAAGAGTGATGAAGATGATTATCGCCAAGAAAATTAACAGGATCTATTTTTTAAGCCGTTCAGACAGAGGTAAGTGTGCCTTTTTTGTAGGTATCGCCAAGAAGAGTGATGAAGATGATTATCGCCAAGAAAATTAACAGGATCTATTTTTTAAGCCGTTCAGACAGAGGTAAGTGTGCCTTTTTTGTAGGTATCGCCAAGAAGAGTGATGAAGATGATTATCGCCAAGAAAATTAACAGGATCTATTTTTAAGCCGTTCACACAGAGGTAAGTGTGCCTTTTTTGTAGGTATCGCCAAGAAGAGTGATGAAGATGATTATCGCCAAGAAAATTAACAGGATCTATTTTTTAAGCCGTTCAGACAGAGGTAAGTGTGCCTTTTTTGTAGGTATCGCCAAGAAGAGTGATGAAGATGATTATCGCCAAGAAAATTAACAGGATCTATTTTTTAAGCCGTTCAGACAGAGGTAAGTGTGCCTTTTTTGTAGGTATCGCCAAGAAGAGTGATGAAGATGATTATCGCCAAGAAAATTAACAGGATCTATTTTTTAAGCCGTTCACACAGAGGTAAGTGTGCCTTTTTTGTAGGTATCGCCAAGAAGAGTGATGAAGATGATTATCGCCAAGAAAATTAACAGGATCTATTTTTTAAGCCGTTCAGACAGAGGTAAGTGTGCCTTTTTTTGTAGGTATCGCCAAGAAGAGTGATGAAGATGATTATCGCCAAGAAAAATTAACAGGATCTATTTTTTTAAGCCGTTCAGACAGAGGTAAGTGTGCCTTTTTTTGTAGGTATCGCCAAGAAGAGTGATGAAGATGATTATCGCCAAGAAAATTAACAGGATCTATTTTTTTAAGCCGTTCACACAGAGGTAAGTGTGCCTTTTTTTGTAGGTATCGCCAAGAAGAGTGATGAAGATGATTATCGCCAAGAAAAATTAACAGGATCTATTTTTTTAAGCCGTTCAGACAGAGGTAAGTGTGCCTTTTTTTGTAGGTATCGCCAAGAAGAGTGATGAAGATGATTATCGCCAAGAAAAATTAACGGGATCTATTTTTTTAAGCCGTTCAGACAGAGGTAAGTGTGCCTTTTTTTGTAGGTATCGCCAAGAAGAGTGATGAAGATGATTATCGCCAAGAAAAATTAACAGGATCTATTTTTTTAAGCCGTTCACACAGAGGTAAGTGTGCCTTTTTTGTAGGTATCGCCAAGAAGAGTGATGAAGATGATTATCGCCAAGAAAATTAACAGGATCTATTTTTTAAGCCGTTCAGACAGAGGTAAGTGTGCCTTTTTTGTAGGTATCGCCAAGAAGAGTGATGAAGATGATTATCGCCAAGAAAATTAACGGGATCTATTTTTTAAGCCGTTCAGACAGAGGTAAGTGTGCCTTTCTTGTAGGTATCGCCAAGAAGAGTGATGAAGATGATTATCGCCAAGAAAATTAACAGGATCTATTTTTAAGCCGTTCACACAGAGGTAAGTGTGCCTTTTTTGTAGGTATCGCCAAGAAGAGTGATGAAGATGATTATCGCCAAGAAAATTAACGGGATCTATTTTTAAGCCGTTCAGACAGAGGTAAGTGTGCCTTTTTTGTAGGTATCGCCAAGAAGAGTGATGAAGATGATTATCGCCAAGAAAATTAACAGGATCTATTTTTAAGCCGTTCACACAGAGGTAAGTGTGCCTTTTTTGTAGGTATCGCCAAGAAGAGTGATGAAGATGATTATCGCCAAGAAAAATTAACAGGATCTATTTTTTTAAGCCGTTCACACAGAGGTAAGTGTGCCTTTTTTGTAGGTATCGCCAAGAAGAGTGATGAAGATGATTATCGCCAAGAAAATTAACGGGATCTATTTTTTAAGCCGTTCAGACAGAGGTAAGTGTGCCTTTTTTGTAGGTATCGCCAAGAAGAGTGATGAAGATGATTATCGCCAAGAAAATTAACAGGATCTATTTTTAAGCCGTTCAGACAGAGGTAAGTGTGCCTTTTTTGTAGGTATCGCCAAGAAGAGTGATGAAGATGATTATCGCCAAGAAAATTAACAGGATCTATTTTTAAGCCGTTCAGACAGAGGTAAGTGTGCCTTTTTTGTAGGTATCGCCAAGAAGAGTGATGAAGATGATTATCGCCAAGAAAATTAACGGGATCTATTTTTTAAGCCGTTCAGACAGAGGTAAGTGTGCCTTTCTTGTAGGTAACGCCAAGAAGAGTGATGAAGATGATTATCGCCAAGAAAATTAACGGGATCTATTTTTTAAGCCGTTCAGACAGAGGTAAGTGTGCCTTTTTTGTAGGTATCGCCAAGAAGAGTGATGAAGATGATTATCGCCAAGAAAATTAATAGGATCTATTTTTTCAAGCCGTTCACTTTCCTGAGAGAGAGAGCTGACTTCTTGCATAGCAATAACGTCAGAGGAAGGAATTTCAAGCCGTTCGAACCCCTTTCTGCTTATCACACACCGTCTCCCACAACACAGGATCCGAATGCAAGAGACAGGCGAGCAACGCATCCAAGAGAAGGATTCCAGGTGGGTAGAAGAATGAAGCAAGATAACAAAGAAACAGAAGGAAGGACAAAAAAAACTCGAACGAATATGGTCAGTTTTTTCTGAGTAGGTCGTGTTTTTCTTGAAGAAATCCATTTTCAGGCATCCTGTTGAACTCCTGATGCTGGAGGATCGGCACAATTTTCCGGTGGACGCGCGAGAAGACTTCAAGACCTAGACCTAGCTAACGAGAAGAAGATTTTCCGTGGAGGCAAAGAATTCGTTCTATGTGCATCACTAGCAAGTCACGCGCAGGCGTTTATTAAAAAAAAAACGGGTGCTCGTGCTTGTGCTGACTGAACAGAACATCTTTTCTGAACAGAACATCTTTTCAGTCACGTGTTCCGACGGATTCAATGAGGCCGTTGTTAAATCTGATTTCGTCTGATCTTCTCTTTCATTTTTGCTGATTCCAGGAGCGTTTTTTGAACTGTTAGAGACAAGCTGAAATAATGCAATATATTAACGGCGAAGTTCTAAACAAAAGGCGTGTTTGACGTGGAAAAATAATGTTATTTCATTCGCATGCAAAGTTATTTGACAAAAAATGATAGCAAACAAATATGAAAATATTGAAGAACGAATGGAGACAAGTTGTTGATATTACAGTGATAAGTGTTACTGATTTCGATTCTGTGAAGCACCATTTAGGGGAAGTTGAGGAAATTTGAATGTGCATAAAACTCTTCAGGATATATAAAGCAGAGAATAGCGATGCAAGAGAATTACAGGCGAGGGTTATGTTCTGGAAATCGTAAATGGAACGTAATTAAAATCAGAACAGAAAACGCTAAATTGGGAACTAAATTAAGAGGGTTAAAAGTACAGTACCTAGATTGTAGTACAGGAGGAAGAGAGACAAGGGAAAATTTTCTTTAAGGAATACATATACAGAGTGATTCCGGAGCCAGAGTACCTTGATCTAGTCATTGAAGATCGATCTGTAATTAATTGTGTAATATCTCATGCTCGGATTCTTTGAAAACCTTATTACATAGCAATAGCACAACTAATGTGCTATATTAGTGAGCACCGGAAAGTTAAAGTGAAGTCCTACGACATACTCGGAAATTTTTTTAATTGAAATTAACTAGTGCAACCCGGAACACGTATCTTGCATATGCAAGATTACAAAAAGGCACTATTCTGGAAAAATTTGTGCTTGGATATCTTGATTTGAAATTTGGATACAGAAACCTGGCCCGTGACAAGTTTGGAATTCATTGTGTTGTGCACCAAATAATCCGTACCCACTAATCACCTTTCTATTCAGTTTTGAGCGTCATTCCGCTCTTGACGGACATTTTTGTATACTTTTCGTCGTTGCTGTAAAGTCTATAAGTCTTTTTAGAAAAATGTCATTACGAATGATTCACCTCCATTTTGACAATATGCTGGAAAGCAGAAACGACGGCCGCATTTCCTTCCACGTGCAGAAGCTCCCGGTAGTCCCCAGCATAGGCAGCACGCTGTCCGATAACAAACGCCATTGGACTGGACGGAATTGCACTAGAATTTTGGGAGTTTTGCATGTCCACGAAAGTTTGGATCATGATCGCGTCGGGGGATTTTCCAAAGAAATTCGCAATAACGAAGGCTTTGTCCGACTCCTGGGCGTTGTATTGGTTGAAAAGGTGGCCATTCATTTTCTTGACGGCATCGGAGCACAAGGTTCTGTCGTACTCGCTTCTAATATTCATTCTTCTGACGACCATCAAATCGTTGTTATTACGATTAGGCACGAAGCCCAGAGCATAGTTCAGAATGGAAGTATCGTTCGCTGCGCTCTCCAAGATTGCACGATACTTCTCGAACATTGCTGCTTTCCCAAGATCCTCTTGTCTGTCCTCCAGCTCTTCTTTGTTTCCTATTGACATCTTCTGCACAAAAAAAGAGTTCATCTCACGATGAATTTCGTCAGCATTGTTCTCGGGCAGAGTCTCGAGTTGAATAACTTTCTCCAGACCGTGTGCGACCATTGCCGGATCTGAGTGAGCGGCTTGGAAAATAGACTCCTTATTTGCGGACGGGAAGTTGCGAGAAAGCTGAAACCACAGCGCCAAAGTGTCCTGCTCATGAGTCTTTTCCACGATCTTCTCTTTGCTCTTCTTGATTTTTCCCATAATGTCCTCCACGTTTGCTTTTTCCGCGATCTGAAAATGAAGATTTTTATACTAAGAAATTGCCTTGACAACTCACATTGATCTTCTCTTGCATGTTCTCACGCATTATTCCCTCCAGCCCATTCTGAACGCCTTCCTCTGTGCGTCCGTCGTTGACAGTTTCTTCCGGGGCCTGCAACGTTTATTTTCTTACAGAAAAATCTGCTTTTTTCAAAACAACATTCCAAAATGTCACCTGTCGCTTCAGATTCCCTGAGATATCCTTCATTGCTACTCAGTGCAGAGACAGTAACACCTGAAATCACGAATATAGTTGAGAAATACGCAGAAAGTTCAAGAATGAAAGAGAACAAACCAAAGACCGATGGTCCCGAATGATCGTGGCGGGAACCCAAAGCTCGAGGTAATCACATGCGCCTTTAAAATGACCGAATCGATTTTCTCAGGCGACAGGCGGCAGCGAACGGCAGGAAGGCTCAGCCCCCGACCGGCCAACGTTTATCTCTGCGCCTCGCTCACTCTGACTTGCTGTCTAGCTTCGTTACGGTGCGATTTCATAATGTCGTCTGTGAATTATGAGCCTCTCTTTGATACTGCATGATCGTACCTTCTCCCACTTTATGGAGTGAACTTATTGTACAGAAAATATTGATCAAGTGGTTTCATGGCAGGACCTACACAGTAACCTTCTCGTTTCTCTTTTCCGTCCATATCCATGTCGCCGTGCTCACCAGCTGATTCTTCTTTTCCTAAAGAGGACTTGCACCTCTACTTTCGTCTTACTGATAGCACTTTTCCCGTGAAAACTCGACGCTCCCAGCTATTTCTCCATTGGGGAGGGGGAGGCGAATGGGGCGCACACGACACGGCGCGAACCGCGTTGCTCGCACGCGACGCATGCACCCACCGACAGTTCGCGCTGTTCTGCCATGAACTTTGCCTATTTTTCGGTCTTGATCGCTTCTTTCGGATACTTTCAACAGGTTTCTTGAGCGGATCTTCTTTCTATAGTCTTTTAAAATTTATTTACATCGGAAATTGCCTTGTTAGACGTGAATACCGTAAACAAAAGGTAAAAACACTGAAAAACATCATGCGTTCCCAATTTTTTTAACGATGCCGCTTATTGCACCCCTTTCGTTGTGCGAGTTGAAAACAGTCTGCCGACGTAATTATAAATTACCGAGCTCCGAAATTATTAAAAGTTAGGGCCCATCATTTGTGTTCCCGATCTGAGTCAGTCACTGGTATGAACAATTCAAAACAGAGCAACTAGTTTCGATTTCAAAATCGATCCCTCCTGACACGGTAACGGTGCTCCGAGAGCCTAAGAAGACTCCGGTTTCGTTTAGATGTGTCAAATCTTTTCACGGGACCAACCGTGTTGCATACGCGACGCTTGCACAAAGTATTCGGAGGGAGGTTCTCTTTTGTGATAGTCATAGTAGATTTACTCGGTTTTCACTTTATCAAGTACTATGGTCATTTCTGCCCCGCCGCATGTTGCTCTCCCTTCTCCGAGCGCACGCCTCTTTCGAAAGCAATCTAGCAGCTTCTTTTCGCATTAATCAGCATTAATCATAAATTACCGAGTAATCATAAATTAATCATAAATTAATCATAAATTAATCATAAATTACCGAATTAAAATTATAAACAGCTCTAAAGTTATAAACAGTTCGCTGTTTTGGCGGATGCCACCATCTGTTCTCGGGCAGGGCATGATTCTGGAAACATGATACTTTCTGCGCTCTCTCATTCTCTTGCCCTTTTTACAAAGTCTTTGCCAGTCACCGTTTATGCTTTTAGAAGGTCGTCCTTGTAATATTTGATATATTCGATGCGATAGAGAATTGTTGCTGTCACTTTCCCTAAAACGAGACGTTTTTTTTTCTAATTTTCTGTTTCGTAGAGATATTGTGATGTGGCGCAAAGCCTTAGGTGTTCAAGTTGTTTTGCTTACCTGCCAGATTAGTTTGGCAACCTTTATCTGCCGGTATCCCTCGCTCTGACGCTATCATCAAAATCCCATGTTGAAACTCTGTTTTGGTCGGCGCCGCAAGATTCTTCTCGTACACGAACCATTTTTTATGCTTATAATCACATTTAATCGTTTTGTTGCAGCAAAAACTTGACAACACTGGTCTACCTCAACGTGGAGAGACGTTCTGAGATCATCAAGGAGCATAAAACGAAGGTAATGATTCCTCTAACATTTTTTGGTGAAAAATTGATTTCCAGAACAGCGGCACAGCAGAAGGATGAGCCAAGGTCAATCGAGCTCGTGTGCGCATACTGAAGAACCTCGCACGGAGCACGAGAAGACCGAAAGAGAGAAGAGAAGGGAAATGAGAGTAAGCCAATCTGAATAGAAACATGGATTAATCGCATTTTCTGGCAGAATGAGAAGAAACGAAAGCTCGGAGCTGAAGAAGATGAAGAAAAGGACAATATCAATCTATCCATCAAGACGGAAGATGGAGCCGTGGCGGAGGAAGCGGAGAAGGTAATCCCTGACTGCCTCATCAACCCTGCAAACTTCCTGGATCGGGTGGAATCGCGGCGCATCTGCGGAATTGAAGACAAACTTGCGTTCCAAACGATCGTAGTGGATGACTTCACAAAAGATGTCATCAGAACGTATAAGAAGAAGGGAAAATGGTCGCAGGAAGAAGATGCACGTGGCGAGAATGCTCTGCTAGAGAGATACCGAGAGCTGCTCGAAAACGCTCTAACGGACGAGAAACTGTATTATTACGTCATAGGCAACGAGCTTCGGAATGAGGATATCGCTGGATTCCGTCACAATCAAACCGTCGAGGAACTGTGTCAGCAATCATTCCTCAAACCGTACAGTGTGCTCGTGTCGCAGGTCAACATGTGCGCTCAATCGAATCTTTCGTCGGACAAAGATGTCAAGGCCTTCCTTTTGGCGCAATTTTTCGCAACCGCAAAAGAAGCAGTCGAGATTATGACGTTCGCGGACATCCAAAAAGCGAAGAAAGACAAAGAACATTCTGTTCCAACGGTTGAAACGGCAAGGAGAATGGGCCAGCGCGCTGCGATGATCGGTGACTATCGTGAGATCCTCGATATGAAAGGAAACGCTGCCATAGTTGCAGCGTTCCAGCAACTGAAATCCCAAAAGGTAGGAAAAATATTGAATTTTTAATATTTCATTCGATATTTGTACAGGCGGTCAACCCAATGCTTATCGACAATGTGGCCGAGAATCCAGATCTCCCGGGGAACATTCATCTCGAGCCTTATGCAAAGATAATTCTCAACGCACCGTTCGATAGAGTGCAACACTGTCTTGTCAAGATCTCAAATACAAATCAACGTTCAATCATGATCAAAACCTGGATGACCGTAGAAGGCCGTTATGAACTTGAGCCCTCATCTGGCGTCCTGAAGCCGAATGAGAAGATTCTGATAAAATTGACCTGCCTGCCTATCGATATCAATTCGGAATGGATGAACAAAGACAAGATGGCCTTAAAGTGGACCTATACGCTCAACGAAGAAACGGACATCTTCAACGACGAGTTCTTCGCTCGATATGGAAAAGTCCGTCAAATCACGCTTCCGATAATTTACAATCTCTAAAGACGCATTTTGCAAATGTTCCATTAACTCTCTGATTTCCTCTTCACGACCAATCACCTATTTCTCATCATTTCTCATCATTTCTTCTAATATCGTCTCATTTGCCTCCTCTACATGCTTCACAATAGTTTCCCTCGTGTCCTCTTTTATAATATGTATTATAATCTATATTTCTTAATTTTCACGTTCACGTTCAGGATTTAAAATGTGTTATTCGGTTTTTTGTTGTGAAATGAGTCTTTCTAGAGCCGTCCCCCAGTGGAGCACTTCCTCTTCCTCCCCTCTTCTTCTTTTTTGTGCACTTTGGTCGAATGAGAGCAAACCCGCCAGCGAATGAATGTCTGGTGTGTCTGAGTGCCAGCCATTTGCCCCCATTCTAGAAAAATGCAATAGTGGAAGCGAGCGGGAGAGTGTATGATACAAAAAAACTTCATTGTGCTAATTATGGAATTCGTAAAACGAAAGGGAAAATTTTTTTTGATCAACAAGCAGTACGTAAGGGTTCTTGGAGACTTTGAGACTTTTGCAAAGGCAGAAAACTTTTCTAACGTGCACTTAGACTAATTACAGAAGGTGGTTGACAAGCCTCAGCAAAATCCAACTAAAAAACGTTTCCTCCTTTTTTCGCTCTGAATTATTTTAACCACGGCGTCAGCTCGCCAGCCATACTCTCCTCCCTCTTCTGCTTTCTTTGTGTCCAAGAGTGAGTACGTTGCCTTCAGGTTGCTATTTGTTCTAGAATGCGCACGCATTTGAACTGCTATCAACAATCTGCCTTGCTGGTCGGCGGTATGCCGCCGTTGGCCGGGAGCAGACATGGGACCAATAATAACAGCTTATTAGTTTCAAAACTAATGGCACTAACTGTAAAATACCGAAATCTTGGGGAAATAATGTTGAAATCGTGTTTTTCTGTCATTTTTTTCAGTCGGAATGTGTCGAATGTGTCCTACAGAATTACCTGAAATTGAGACTTGTGGAAAATTGGCCCAGGAGAGCCCGGATTGAAAAAAGCGACAAGTCTGCCTGAAACACATTCACCAACACCACCAGCAGACATTATTTGTACTAAACGAAGCACAATTCTCAGAATCACATGAAAACTGGAAAAAGTGATTTTATCTTCGTCCGCCTGCAATTTCTTCCTGTCGCGCCCAGCCCAACAATTGTTGATCTCATAAAATATGCATCCATTCAGTTTTCAACACAACCTTGTCCTTCTCCTTCTCTCTTTCTTTCTCCGCGTGTTCTTTTCTCGAGCGACTGGCAAAGTTCATTTATCGCCGCATTTTTGCAGACAGCCAAAAAGAGAAAAGAAAACCGCTGTTCGCCATACAGACTTGTCCTTGATCTGATCTGACGGAGAATGTTTACACCGCATTGTCTCGAAACACAGTCTGCTGCTATCAGAGAAAAAAACATGATAGATTACTTTTAATGTGTTGTCTGGAACGTTAACAAACCAGTTTTCTTGACGATGATCTCAAAGGTCAGAAACCAAACGAAATGGAATGGAAGAGCACGACCAGGAAGTGAGGTGTTCCAATTCCGATTCCAATTCTTGCCACGTCAACCTCTGCATTTCAGATGCACATAATTTCAGGAAAGACACCGCCACAACTCGTGTCGACTCACTCCCCACTCCTCCTCAACAATTCGTATTCCCAAAGCGAGCGCCGCAAAAAAATCAAGGCCTTCATTAAGTGCATTCAGTGTTGCGCATTTCGCGAGCTACTTTCACTCTCCTCTTCTCACTTCTTTAGCCGACAAAAAGTGCGACAATAGTCGCGCCTACTGATTACCCAATGAAGTCTGGGCCTTGGGATTAGCCATCGCGCGTTGATCACTTTCATTCAGTTGGGTTCACTCCCCCTTTTGACTTGACGCTTTGAAGATAGAGGAAAAGTTGATTTTTGCTTCAGTTTTGTTTATCTGAAATTGAAATTTGATACAGCAGGTCATAAAAAGCGAAATTCTAAAGTTCCCACAATATCTCATTCCCAGAAAGATTTCCAAAGAGTGGCAAGGTGAAAACAGCAAGTGCAAAGCTGCTTGTGAACTCTGAAAATGAAAGCATCCATATTTGCCATCCAACCACCCAACCACAACAATCTTTCTTTTGTGACCGCCAACAATAATACATGGGAATGCTTTCCTTTTTCTTCCAATTTCCGCCTATCACAATGACATCACGACGCTCGTGCTCTATTTCAACAGTCAAAAAAACCACCGTTTCGCAAGATTGGTTTTGTATTCTGTTCCAATTAACTGGTGCACATGTCTTCATTCTCCTTCTTCTTCTTCTTCTTTTTCAATCCGCTCGTTGACTCTTTGTTTTCGGCTCGACAATATCCTGCCGATCAAGCCCGAGGAGAAGACAACGATAAATTATTCCAACCAGACACATCGTTTTCCTCCGAGAGCATCGTCGTGTACATTTCGTAGCAAAAAAAAACGTAATAGCTCCGCCTTCTGACGCGAAAAATGGATGGATGGGAGAAGGGCCCCCGAGTGTCGTTTTTTTCGTTTTTCCCGTCGTCGGCCCGGCTAAGGAGCTTTGCTTTTTCTGAGCCACCCAGCAGACACACGTTGTTTTTGTTTACTGCGAATGTCCCCCTACCCGCCTCTCCCCGACCGGCACTCGTTTTTTTTATACGTTTTTTGGCCTCTGACCGTAAGGATATCCAGCTCACTGCACATGTTTTTTCTCGCTTTTCGATGTCTGTTCTAGCGTTGCAACAAACTTTTCTTCTTTTCACATCTTCTTTGCATCTTGCCGACGAGTCAATCATTTTTCCCACTCTCTTTCTCTATTTTATCGTGCCTCCCTGGTTCCTAGGACCGGCCGACAAGCCCAATTTTCTCCGTCTTCTTTTTTTTTCCCGCGGAGCTCTCCCCGGGTGTCGGTGACATGACGCGCTGGGCGGCTGTCTGCCTCCTCTACGTCCTCCACGTTTTTGCTCGCTCTAGAAGAGCCATTTCTCTGGCGCGTGTATAACCGGTTGACGGCACCGAGATGAGAGATGCGCCCAGACCAGCGAGGGGGAGCTCACTCTCAGTACACGCGGCTCCAAGCAGAGCTCCGTGGCGCTGGCCTGGCCTGGGCTCACACCCTTTTTCTTACCGATGAGAAGAAGAGAAAGAAGAAGAGGAGAAAGACAAAACGCTTCGCTTTTTGACGGCTCCGAAGTGGAGAGAGGAAGATTGTACTAAATGGGAAGAAAAAATGCAAAGAAAGATGGAGATGGAGAAGAAGAAGCTGCAGGAAACGACGGGCACGAGGCTGAAGAAGTGGAGATCAAAATTGGACAGGGGTTTTTTTCTGACGACGACGAGTTGAGCGCTCTTTTTCCATCTGCTTCATAGGGACGAATGAAAAGAACTTGAGAAAAGCTGAAGGGTTTAAGCGTTTCTGTCTGTCCGGGTTCAAAACATATCAACTTTCACGAGCTTTCTCCAAATCCCATTAGTTTTTTTAATTGACGAGTTGATTACTGTAGTTGAGTCTGTTGATTACTGTAGTTGAGTCTGTTGATTACTGTAGTTGAGTCTGTTGATTACTGTAGTTGAGTCTGTTGATTACTGTAGTTGAGACTACTGTATTCTGCCTGTATCAGATTTTCTGAAAGTTTTCATTTCTCAGTTCATTCTCCAGGGATACACACCTGCCATGCACTTTTTCGGTTTGCACTTTGGAAAATGTCGCACAGAACGAAGGGCATATATCGTTCCCATTCAAGTGCAATTGCTTTTCATCGTCTGGCTTTCTCTCTCTCTCTCCCTCTTTTTCTTTCTCCTCCTAAAATCTGTACTTCTCTGCTCGCCAATTGACATTCCATTTATGTGCCGTCGACCTGTCGAAACAGATAGCCTGTGTGCGCTGGTTTCTACTTTAAAGGCGCACGCGGCCGCGCTCAGCTACGGTCTCGCAGCGCTTTCCTTGTTTGAATGTTTTCCGTGCCGTTTTTACGGTCCTGCGCGTTGCAGAAATCGCTAAAATTTTTGCAAGCTAGTACCGCAATGTACCGTTCAACTTTTCAATGAATACTTTTATTCAAAAGTGGTAGAGGATGAGCATCGTTGGCAAAATCCGCGCGGCTATGCCGAATTCTAGGAAAACGCATCGAGAAAATCCCAGAAAATTCAAATTTCCCGTAGAATTCTAAAGTTTTTTATGCATATGAGCATACTGTTAAAGTTCACGCGGTTTCGAAATGTCGTGGCGACCAAACTTTGCTAATACATAGCTGATATCTGTCAACACGCTTCCGTTCCCATAGTATCGTTGGCCCTTTCCTCGCCTTCATCCTCCTATTCTATGAATGTTCTTCAAAAATGTACACATTTCTACCTGACACGACACTAGTGTCTTGTCGACCAAAAACAAAATTAAAAATTTCCCGACGCTACCAAGCAGCACACATTTCCATATTTCTGCTCTCTTTTCGCACGAAAACTTTTTGTCTGCGAAGGGGCTGATGGCAGTTCACTTTCTTCCTCTCTTTTTCTCATTTGATGTATTGATTCGGATTGGTTGGTTGTTACAACAGATCGAACTTTCGCCGGCGAACAAATGATACCAGACGGTGTTAATGATGTTAGGTTATCGAGGCTATAGTTGGCAAAATCAGGGCTAACGGGCCGAATCGGCCCGGCTATTTTTAGAATTTTGGTCAAAACCCATGCGCCGGGCTGATGGAAGTGATAGCAGGTTCTTCAAAATTCCATTCCCAGCCAAGAAAAGACCGGGTCAACTATTTTGGACCTTTCGTTCCTCACCCTCGCTCCGGCTTCGTCTTTATCTAAAATGATCGTTTCCCCTTCAGACTTGAATTTCAAACCCTCCAAAATGAAAGAAAGAATTGCTCATTAAGTCAATCCTCTTTTTCTTCAATCATCCCCCTCTCTCATCGCCTCTCATTGCATTGCTCCTTAATGAAGCTACAGTAGGCGAGTCATTCATTCCGAAACCTTTGCTCGACAGCCAAATTGAGAATGCGCACATCAGCGTGCAGTAGTTTTTCGCCTCCTCTTCTCTTTTCTGTTTCGCCCCATCTTATTTCCTTTCGACAGCTGGCCCAGATGCTAATAAGACGAAGGGCGGGCCGAGGACGACTGCAAACAGCCAATGAAATTTCGAAATTTCTCTTCTTTTTCCTCCTGCTCAGATTGAATCGTTGTACATTACGTATTCGCGTTTTTTGCATACATCTGTTTGCTCGTCAAGGAGATTGTTTTATGGGCGCGGTGGTCCGTGGCAACCCGAAACTCGAAATCCTCATTCGTTTTTTCGTATACATCTCGATCTTCTCTAAAAAACGTTCATTGTACGTATTCAGCCCTCCATCCATCAAAATGACGCAGGGCTCAACAGGACCACCACCACCCGGACCGCAAGATATTCTTCAACCAGGTAAAAAACTCTAGGTGTGGGTGGAAACGGATAAAAATATTTTCAGAACTTGAAAACGTGGAGACCGATGCTCAAAACTTCTCTCTATTGGACCATGCTTTCACGCCAGAAGAAATCGCTTTGCAAGGAATCAGGAGCATGTTGGAGTTTGAAAATAGCGATTTCACCACCGCTGATCTTCTGAAACAACCGGAGATCAATTCGAAAATAGAACTGTTCCAATTGCTCCACAAAAAGAATCCCGAACTGGGCAATGAGATTGTTGACAATCATCTGAATCGTCATCCGCTGGCTATGGAGAAGCAACGGATACTGTTTAATGCTCAGCCAGGTCTCTTGCCGTTTTTGGTTTCGATCACTCTCGACAAAACGCATCCGTTGAAGAACCTGGACGAGTATCGCGCGGTAACACATCTCATTGACAACGTGTTCCCGAGCATTTGCTCCACCGAAGCTCAAGTCAATATTTGGGCCCGCAACCTCGACCTGGCTCTTCTGAAGTTCCTTGACTGCTCGTTGATCTGCGCGTCGTATGCGGTGGATGTGAAGACCATGAATGTACACGAGCCCAAACTTCTCGCCAGACTCAATCCCTATCTCTTCACTCCAACTCTCATCGCTCCGCCGATCATTTTAAAGTCGGAAACCCCGATCGCAGTGTACCAGTTGGAAAAGGCGCTCCACGGGCTTGTGCAGAAACTGGGAGACGTTCGTATTCATGGCGTTGTCCGACCGGATTTGGAGGAATTCATTATCGAACTCGCGATCGCGCACAAGTTTTTTCTAGCTCGCAAACTAGCGATCATGAGAAGCATCGAGGGAAGTCAGTTCTTGGTGATTGGTATGGTGAACATGGTCGTCAAGATCAGAGATCATCCGTCGCTGTTCTTGGGATACAGAAGTGAGTTCAATTGACACTCTTAACTGCAATCCGTTCTTTTTTTCAGTCAGCGGTGACATTTCCATGAACGATCCATCGATAGGAATCGATTTCAACCAGTTGCACCCGACCATCTGTGTCTACGAGAAGTGCCATCAAAATCAGGCTTGCTGTAAGTTACATAGCTCTTTTATTTCTCATACGAACCCCTTTCAGTCGACTCGGATGGCGAGCACAAGTACATCTTCGTCAGAACCAGCACTGTGCGAGTTGGAGACCCACCAATTGGCGCGCAGAAGACTGTCGACTTTGCCGCGATGAAAAGTGCGTGGATGGAGAAGGCTAAGGCCCAGGACTATCACGTTCCGGCCGTTTTCGACCCGATCAGAGTGACTGGTTGCCACAAAAAAAGATACCGCAAGAAGAAGGGAACCAATCTGAACAACAAGATGGTCTGGGATGAGAAGTACCTGCGCTTCGTGGCCAAGGAGTTTCGTTGTAAGAACGGAGAAGACGAGGTCATGATCAAGAGTCACATGACCAAGGGCCATGTTAAAATTGACGGTAAACACTGGAGGGGTAACATCTGAAAAGGTTGATTTTTCAGGTATCGAGGAAGAGTTGGACTACAAGTTCAGCACCATCCCAGTGCTTTTCATGCCTATCATCTATCAAGTTTTGTAAACTGTGATCAGGCAATTAATCGAAAACAAACACGTTTTGATTTCAATTTCAATGCTCTAAGCAATACGATTTCTTTTCTATGTCTTTTTCAAATGCTATTTTCAAATCGAGCTGTCTACCGTAACCACCAAGCTCCGCCCCTCAACCCTTCAAAATTTCCGGTTTTGGGTAAAATCACAACAATAAACCTGTTTCTCAGCCAAATCGGAAAATTTGAGGAACCAAAGAGTTTACTGATTACGGCTGACAACTAGAGTCAGCGTGTACCACGCAAAATGATACATACTAACTTTTCGCCTGAACTTATCCTTAACCTCCCCTCCCCCTCCACTTCTTTAAGCGAATCCTATGGTGTTCAAGTGTACTCCTATACAATCCGCGCTCAAAAATTGAGCAATACCGACTGACCCCTCTCCTCCTCTCTTATTCTCATTGTGAATTCCAATTTCCATTCAATGACACACACCTTTACATAATTTATTATTAATATTGTATACCTCCTGTTCGTTTTCCATTTCCAAAGATAACAAAGATTTCGGTCTCTTCTCTGTCCTGTCCTATCACATTGATTGTAACGTTTCCGCGTATCACTTTGCTTATGCATCCCACTTCTTCTCTCACTTCTCTTTTTCCGCTGTAGTTCGATGGTTTCTGTCTTCCCATGGCCCTCCTAGTGCTTGTTAGATCTTTCTACAGTAGGGTAGTCCTCTTTTCCATTGGTTCTCTACCCTCATTCTTCAACATTTCCTCTTTTATTATTTCCTTTTTCAACAGTAATCATGACAAACTTTTCTTCATTGTTTTGCGTCAAATTTGCTACCATGCCCTGAATCGCCGAACCAGTCAGTCCCAAATCCTGGACCGAAACCGTGAACGCACTCATTAACCTTTATTGTACTTGAAAACTTGAGCATGGAAACATTTAATCCGAACTTATCTGTTGAAGTGAATCGAATACATTAATAAACATTGGGCTGGCAGAGTTTTTTTTAAAGGAAATTGAAAGTTCTAGGTGTTCTTTTTGAGCCAGGCGTAAACTTCATCGTAGACAATGAGCATGACAGCTCCTCCTGGTCCCAGACGCATCACTTTTGGCAGAAGTCCTTTGTAAAGGGCACCGAATCTGAAAATGTCAAGTTTGAGTGAGAAGATCACGATTTTGGAAAAAAAATGTGTTTTTTTTTAACTGTTCGTAACATATTTCTGGAAAAAAACGTTGAAATAGGGCTAAAGCTTTCATTGGCTCGCGGAGGTCTCAAAACCGCAAGATTTCCAAACTGTCGGACATTTCAAAACCAGAGATTTCGTCACGGAGTCAGAATCATAACCGTGCAAAATTATAGTCTGCTCGATTGATCAGAACCAGGGCCCCGAGACTCACCCTTCCTCCTTGTACACTAACGCAATCGTCTGCATCGTTCCACTGTACTTTCTGTTTAATGGATCCGGCTGTGGTCCCTGGATCCGACTCTTAGCCACATCGAACGGAATGTTAAAGATAGACGCGAGCGAACCGGCCGTGAATCCCAATCCGATTCTTCCAATCAAGTTAGACGTCGGATTTTGCTGCAAAACAGATTAGCATTTTGTGAGAACAAAACAAAAACGCGACAAATATGCACACACTTTTGCATCAGGGATCACTTCTTTGCAGTTGTGATAGAGTCCGAAATACACCATATTCCACGCGCCGTGTCTTCCCAGGGTGGCCCCCAATCCGCGATAGAGGCCGCTCGTGCCGAATCCCTCGCTTCTATAAATCTCGCGTGCCACCGCAGCCGTCGATCTTTGCTGGAACACCGAAGATTAACATTTCCGTTTCGCTCAGCCTTTTCTCTAGACAACATGCGAACGAGCGAGCGCTCGGAAACCAAAGTTTACCTCTTTGACGCTCGAGTTTCTGTCCGCCTGCAGTCTCACTTTGACCACTTCGAACGGGCAAATGACGACGGCTTCGGTGAGTCCGGAGAAGAGTCCGGCGAGCGACATGGTCTGAAATTGCGCAAATAAACGGTACAGTATGCCCAGTTCCGTGTTTGCGGTGACGTAACTCGGGTTTTTCCGAGTGTTCATTGATACTATCGTCTCAAACAATTGATAAGAAGACTGATAAAAACGTTGCGGGAGAGAAAACGCAAAGATTTTCAAAAGAAGAGATCAAAAGTCCAGAAAAATCTTACCACCGGCATCGGAACATCCGTATGCGTGAACAATCCCTTGTACTGCTCAAATGTGAAGAACTTGGTCGCACGCTTGGGAGTTTCAGCCAAAATTGGCGGCAGAATTCCCTACAAAAACAAGAATTCTGGAAATTTCTTGAATTTCTAGCTGCCTTGTAAAATCCACCGATTCCCTCATGTTTGTACGTTTTGACAAAGCAATCCACCATTCCCTTGTCTTGTTGTCCAAGTTGAAGTCGGGTCTTCACCACGTCCAACGGGTACATCAGACATACTTCCACAAGACCTGAAAAATACGGTAAGGAGATTGAACCCGGAGAAGAATCCGATTATAGGAAAAAATCTGACGCCAGAAAATCAGATTGTTTCTTTTCATTATGTTTTTATTCGATAAGGATTAGTCTGACACGCGGTTCGGTAAAAGTGCGTTCAAATTATGTACTCAGTGTGCCTACGCCATGTCTGTAACCAAACCAAACTAAATTACGGACATTTCCTCTCCGCTATTCCCAATGATATCAATTCCAGGTTCACATTTTGACCACATGCTCCCAAGCGAAAAGAACAGAAGAATTACCTGCGGACCCGCCAGCAGTGATCTGTCTGCCGCCCTCCTTCAATTTGTCCGTTACACTACTCATCTCTCTCTCTGAAAAAACATAAACAACAGATCACTCACGAGAAACAGTTGATGTCTGATCGGATACTCGCGAAGCAATGCAACAAATTTTCAGCGGGTTTAAATAAGTGCAAAGGTTGCAGAACGGTAAAAGAAAAAAAGCAAGCGAAGCAAAAAAAAAGATCGATATGAAAGGAGAGGAGACGATTGAGGGGCGAGGGGTGAGTACAATGTTGTTGTCCTGCACCGTTCTATCTCTCATCGCATCTTCCTCTTCCGATGTTGCATTCAACAATAAACACAACAAAAAAAACAGAAATGGAATTAAAGTGTTCAATGATTTCTCCGAATGTTGGTGTCAGCAGAAAATTGGTCCCAGAGAACAGCTCAATAAGTTTTTAAAAAAAGATTTTTGGTGAACCGCGATCTACAAAAACACTGTAACATTTATAAATATCATAAGACAAACGGAAAACATCACATTATCCGAGAAAAGTCTCTGAATTTAGAATTTAGCATCGGAACAAAATCCACTGAAAAATATCACATGATTGTTGAGGGGGACCAAGGTGTTTGACTCGAAGATCGAAAACACGTGTATATCTGTGTATCCTTGTAGTCCTTCACGTGTCTTCATCATTTTTTGTTGTTTTTTTTTGCTCCCGAACGCGCAGGATTAGTCGTATGTATATTAACGTGTTTTGAGCTGATTTGATTTTCGAGACACCCCATTTCCCCCTTGATTTTTGGATGGTTCTGAACCCCTTTTCTTCATGACGTTAAAATGCTAGACACTCAGGAAATCATCATCGCTAATGCCCCTTATCAATGAACCAGAACGCACGGAGAACCCTCTCTCTCTCTCTCTCTCTCTCTCGAAATTCTTCAAAACTCAACCAAAGAAGCAAAGTTTTCAACAGTTACATGTGTCTTTTCGCTTTCATCATCATTCGGTCAAACAAAAGGCCAAAATGTGAAGTGTAACATTCTGCGAACAAAGGACCGCATACCAGGAAATTATTGTAGTAGTAAAACTGCTGAAAACAATGAAAAGATTACACCCCTCTCAGCTACAAACAAGGAAGAGGAAGAAAGAAACTTAATTTCTATTGGTCAAGTAAGCCAAGCCATACCGTCATAATCTTTGTTTGTGTGCGAATTGAGAAGACAACAAAGAAGACGCATATTACCTTATCAAAAGCAAAATCATCTCGGAAACACCATGTTTGAATCAACAATTTATTAGTAACGGTCTTATGTCGGGGAGGGGGGGGGGCTCCAAAAACTGTCCTGATCTCGAATTGACTTAGCTTTCTCATGCATTTTATCATATTATTTGATTTTAATTACTGACAAGAAGATAACACGGATAATAGTTGGGGAGGGATGGGATGGTAGGGGTTTGCGACGTGTGTGCGTGTGCGTGTGTCTGTGCGTTTGGGTCGGGTCGGGTTGGTCATTTCTTTTCAGATGGTAAATTTGAAAGAAAATGGGAAAAGAAAAAGGGGAAAGGGGTCTACACGGGACTAATAAAGACAAGTTGCTGGGTATAAAATAGGGTTGAAATCGAGGTGTACTGTATATGTGCAGATAACGTTCATTTGCTCATAACGGAACAGAACTTGAATTTGAGGAAACGAAGGGGGGGAGGGGGGTTGCGACCCGCAAGATTGCTATGCGAATGCCGCAATACGAGATCGGAACGGTGTTTTTTTGTTGGGAGTAGGGTGAATTTTGGGGGGGGCGGTGAGGATGGGTCGAGGATGGACGAAACGTTGGAATGGATGGGAGAAAATTGGGTGTGGAAGGAAGGGGAATGACTCTTGATCACAATTATGACATATACGGAAGAGCCAGAAGACGAGAAGAAGAAGAAGAACTCCCACATCTTCTTGGCAACGATCTCGAGGGTGGTTATTGTTTAATTGCGAGTGAAGAGGCATTGAATGGGCGAGAAGTAGCAGTTACGCGGATAGGACTTCTTCTCGGACGCCCGACGCACACGATCGGTCAGCTCGAGACGGTCCTGACGGCTCATTTCGCGTTTGGCCAGCACACGTTCCGCCAGATCGCGTTCCACAAATTCCCGCTCCAGATCACTGAAATAACGTCAATTGTGTGTGTGTGTGCGTGTGTGTGACTCATTGTACTTGTACTCCAAGAGTCCTCCTGTAACGGAGCAATACCCTTGTGCAAATTGAATTGACTTGTGTTTTACTACCACGCCGCCTCATGGCTAATTCTAATGCTAATCCTGGAATCCAATTGAAAAACAATTTGCAAGATTGGTGGGAGAACGATGCGTGGGTTTTAGACCCCCGTTTTGTACGTTTTGACTTTTGAACCTAGGATGTTTGGGGCTTGAGCTGCGAAACGAACAAAACCGAACGACTACTTGTAGCCCCCCCCCCCTTGACTAATTGGGAACAAAAAGCGTTTTTGTGGTCCAGACTCACTTGAGAAGGGCCTCATAGATGGCTCTGTCGTAGCGCTGTGCTTGCATGACGTTGGCGAGGGCGACAAGAATGACGAGCAAGAAAGTGAGTACCCTCATGTTGAGATATTTGACACTGAAATACTGGGAGGTGTACTGGGAGGTGTACTGGTGAGAAAAGTGGCGGTAGAGGTCGGGTCACGAATAAAACAAACAAAAAGCAAATGACGAATATGCGTAGGCATGTAGGTAGGGTTCTTGTGACGTGTAAAGAGTTCCATTTCCCCCGAGATCTAAAGATGATGGGCGGGGAAGTCGGCGCCACGGCTCGCTGTCGCCGTCCCGTCTGCGAATGCATGAGGGAGCGCCCGCCGAGAGGGGGGAGCGGCGGATGAATGAAGGGGAGGCAGGCGCGACCGACGTCTCTGTCTGGTGGGCGGAGATGAAGACGCCGGGCGACGACGACGACGACGACGACAGAAAAGGAAGAAAAAGGAGAAGAGGTAACGAAGATGTGTAATTGTGATCAGAAGTAAGCGAACTCCCTCATCCTCTCCCCTAAAGAAAGACAGTCAGTTTGAGACAATAAGTCACCGCCTCCCCCCCTAACGGGTTTGAGGGGGTTTCGTCGTGGAAATGGAAAGACGGGCGGGTGGAAGAAGATGATCTTGTTTTAAGTTGATAAAAGGCGAGAGGGGGGCCGAGAGCAACACAGATAGCAGAGCAGACTTCGCCCCTGTCGCGAAAAGAAACAGCACAACTGTTATCAACCTCGGTGCCCTATTTTTAAAGCGGGAACACGACGATGGGCAATATATCATGCAAGGCTCTCCTGATTTCCCGGTGCTTTTGCTTCTGACAAGGCCACGTCAGCGTTTTGCTCCGTGCTTAGTAGGCCCACGGAACTGGTGGCAGGTGCGATAAGTGAATAACCGAAATGTGCACGTTGGTCAAAATCACTCTAAAAAAAAGTGGTCTGGGTGAGAAAGTCAAGTCGAACTTTCAAACTCCTCACTTTCCCGCCTAGTCCGTGGGATTTCGCCTTCTTCCCAGATTCAGTGATCATCTTGGTACTAAATATGAAAAAGCTCAAAACTGACTGAAAATTTGTTTTGACACTCACTCAATCCTACACACCAGTTTGTGGCAGATGCCAAATGCTACCAGACCAGATATCACCAAAACATATCGTGCAATGACGTGTCAAAATCTGGCGTGCCACCAACACCAACACCGCCAGGTTTTTTTTCGATTTCAGTTTGAGAAAAACACAGAAGCTGATCTGGTCATTTAATTCTCGCGTCGTCATTACCCGATCTCGTGTTGTTTGGCCGAATAACACAGAAGATGTACCGTAATCTTTGGCATTCACGAGCTGCCTTATATCATGTGCATGGTCTTGCACTTGTTTTTCTTGTGAAAAACTAGAGAGAGAGAGAGAGAGAGAGAGAGTCAAAAATCAGAAATCTATGTGCAGTTGTAAGATCATCCCGCTCAGGCTTTCGTTCCTGAAAGGGCGAAAAGATGGAAGTTCATCGCGGCGGCCCCCAAAAATCGGGCGGCGGTCGGAGCAGAGCACACAGGAAATGCGATGATGTTGGAATGAGAAAAGAAGAGAGAGAGAGAGAGCACTCTTAATTCTATTCCCTGCTTTCTTTTTCTGGAGAGGGAGGGGGGTCTACGCGAAAAAAAAGGAGGAGGATTCGAAGGACTACCATGCTTCAGTGAACTTTAAGACGAGACAAGACATACATCTCTTTCCGTGTGTGTGTGTTTCTATTTAGATATCTTATCCGAAATGGCAAAGTCCTTCTAAATAATTAGTTTTTTGCATTCTCTTCCTTCGTCTCCGTCTTTCCCGAACAGAAAGATCTATCGGAGAAGCGGAAGAGAATTGAGAAGGTGGAGCCCTCTCTTAAATGAAATAGAAAACGGAAACGGATACGATATCCAGTTTCCACTTAAAAAGGTGGCAAATTGAGACAGAGACTGTCTGACTGACTGAAACTGACTATACTGGTATCAAATGTCCGGAACAAAATGTTTTGTTTGGCAGACTAGGGGGGGAGTGGCACGAAAAACGTTTGATATTCTGTGCGAGCACCACGAAAGTGCCTCATTTGAAGAAGAAGATGGTCGTTTTCAAAAACGAGCTAACCACTATGATCATCTTGTTTTGGTCTCCTAATTGCCTTGTTCCCTTTCTGAGTCTAACGGGAATCAGTGGCTAATTTTAGGTGTACGTGACTGTACTTCTAAGGAAAATTTGGATAATTTCGATTGGGCGTGGGTAAAAAGCGAAAAGAGATTTATGTATGTATAATTAATACATTTTTATGCACAAAGTAGCCTGCTTTGAGAGTGATACAATAACACGTTCGCACCTGCAGATATTTTCAGCTTACTGTGAGAGAGTTCATCAGGGTCAGCCAAAAAACTTGCGTAGATTGAACAAAAACAATTGAGCAAAAGGGGTCTGAGCCTTGGGACCAAGACCAATCCACTTGTGCCCCAAATCTGACAATGCTCCGCTCTTTTATCTCATTGTTTGGGGCTTCCCCTGGCTGAACCATAATCGAATTTCTGGAGCCGCTTCCAGAAGAGCACAAACGTCAAGCCACGCCTATTTTTTACCGAATTACTCATTGTTTCGTCACACATCGACTGGCTGGAAGAGCGGGGGTCCGTGACTCAATCAATGACGCCAAGACCACTTTACTATCGCGCACTGGCCAACCGGATTGTTTCATTTTAGTAATGAATAATCATGTGAGGTCGGTCGGACGCCAAAACGGTCCCGGAATTGGCGTCAGCACGAGGAGACGGATTGGAAAAACAAGAAAAAGAGGGTTAGCGCCGTTTTGTAATAATCTTTGAAGACTGGATAAGAATATAATAACAAGTGTATAACAATAATAGCTAAATTTAATCGGAACTTCAGTTTTGCAGGATCGAAAATTGAGGAAGAGATCATTTGAGATCAAACAAAACTTTTATCCGTTTTAGGACTTCTACGCTAAATCCACAGAATCATTCGTAACGCACGTCAAGGTCAAGAACATGCCGGATGCATTCTGAGAAAAGGCAAACGTTGGACACTGGTCAATGGGAGCGAGTAACTTTCGAAAGCCATTTCGATCTCTTACGAAACCTTTCGCTCATCTCGCGCACACTTGTCAACATTTCGTATTCGCGGCGGTCGGCGTGCGGAAGATTAGATGTCCGCTTTACTCGAAGGGTTGGGTGTTCTTAATGAAATGGGTCGGGGGCTCAAGTAGAGAGATGGAATTTGGATGTGTTCTCCTTGACCTCACAGGATCTAAAGTTGAGAGCAGAACGGAAGCGGCTCGTTGCGTCTAAACCGGCTTATATAAACTCCGGAGGACAGCTGAAACTTCGTCTTCATCCTATTAAAAAGTACGTCATTTTCACGCCTCCTACTACGACTACGTGCAAATAGCGCTCAAGTGTGTTCAGAGTTGTGTTTCGCAGTCATCATGAGGATATCATCATACGCATCCAGAGCGCGGCGTTTGGAGGTCACTCTTTCTTTTGTTGTGAATAACACTTAGAGAAGGCACAAACAAGAACCTTCTCTTACTTTTCTGAACACAAAATTTGCATTCCCTCATTCTTCTCACCTGCCATTTATTTTTTCGCCAAAAAAATATTTTCCAGACTTCAAACCCACTGTACTACGCTGTGATTTTGGCTATCAGCGTGGGTAAACATGAAAAAGAGGCTGCGACTGAGACTGAGACCGGTGTTCTGTGCGGATCAGCTGGTAATATTTGTGTTCTTCTCCGATTTCCGATTTAGGCGAAAAGGAAACACATAACATGACGTTTTCGGGTGCTTGTCATCATTGGAACAAAAAACTGATCGGGTACGCACAAACAAGTGCACGGCCGGCTCGGTGAATGGCCTTTGAAACTTTCATATTGTTCAAAATAGTGTGGGGATCGACGACGTAATGCATGCGACGGACCGAACAAATAAATGGGACGGGATCGGGATAAATAGATTTTTAATGAAGGATTAGTTCTACTCCAAAAGAATATCTTTTTGACCAGTGGGGACATTCAAAGAGATTCTAGGATTCTGAGAAAATTTCATAAAGGTTACTCAATGAGGGAGGATCACATCATCGTTAACTTGTTCCTTCCTACCAAGAGGCGTCTGATTGAATGATTGGATTAGTGGAAGACCTATGGACGAGCAAAGAGGAAATGACAGAGGGCTCTTGGGCGGTAGGGCCTCACTTTTGAACACCTCTCCAACATGAGTCAAGAATTGGAACCGGCAGTATTATGTGAGATTGAGCAAATAGAAACCGCGCCTCTATCTTGAAGAATTCCAGTTCCCCGGGTGTTTGTCGTGCCCGTGCCCGTGCCCGGGAGGCATCACGTTCCGATCCCGCTCCCCACTTTTGCGTGTAAGTTCCACGTAAGACCCACCCGTACGTGAAGGCATGAGCAAACACGACAGTGTGTGTATGTGACGCTTTTTCCCTTGCTTTTTTATTAAGCGACTCGAAAAACTGGTTGCGCGCGTTCTTCCGCTGCAGAAACGTGGCAAAAATAGACCCGACGGGGAACAGATCAGAGTCATTTTTTCTTTCGTCTCGTCGAGTTGTGACAGTGACAAAGTGCAAGCGTATGACGTGTACTTGTTCCACGGGGGTCAAAGTCAAACAGTTCTCCGAATCATGAAAAGTCGAAAGGGGAAGCTCTGAGTGGATACAATGACAAAATGCCTACACGTTATGATCAGAGTAGTCTCGTTTTCTCTCTCAAGGGGAGAGGTAAGTGAATCTGATTTTTGTAGAAAAGCTTCATTAGCCCGGGCTTTTTGAAGACCTATTTGGGCCTAGACGTTCAGACCACTTGTAATACTCCGATCAGACCCAAACTTTGCAGGCTTCTTATATGTGCATTGAAGTACATATTCTGAGTCCATTAGTTTTAGACCGATCGGAGGAAATATGGTAATTTAGGCATGAAAAGGCAAACCAAAAAAAGCCCAAAAAAAAACAAAGGCTTTCAGGCCCTAAATCAGTATATCTCTTGAGTAAATGTTCCGATCGGTCTGAAACTTGGACCCACAATACTTCAATCCAAGTCCAAGAAACCTACAAAGTTCGGGTCCTACTGGATAGTTGCAAATTGTTGAAAAAGCTTGGCGCTTAAGGATTAGAACTGATCACAGAATTTTGAAGGACTAGCCTGAAGACGTGAATAATTCAAGAGCAGGAAAAGAACAAGAACTGGATTCGCGTAACAAATTGGGCAGAATAAATCTATTTTGCAAAACCCTTGAGAAAGTGAATCATTTCTGGAAGAACTACACGCTCATCATAGTGAGATAGAAAGTGCCTAAGTTCACAGAACGAACTGCGCAAACATAACACAGGTGGAAAAGGTGGAGCGAGCTAAAAGATGTCAAGGTTAGTCAGTCAGTCAGTCTGCCCTTTTCCTTTTTCACGTCAAACTGTTATTTCCTGAAACATGTTTCTTTTTTCCTTATCATCTTAACACCTTGACCTTTTACAAAAGGAAGGACGACCAGTAGGAAAAAGTGGGAAAATAGGAGGGGTATGTGTTGATGTTGATGATAAACAACATGCGGTTCAAGAAACTGGAAAATGATTCGATTGCCATTTGAGATGCGGGCTTGGCTTCGGATGAGACGAGAAAAACAGAGAAGAGCAGCCAGTTGAGTTGAACGATGACGCGGCACAAAAAAGAAGCGAATTTCAAATGAACATGATTCTTGTGATGTGATAGAATACGACAAGAGAACGCTATTTTTCGCCTCCTCCAATAAAATATGATTTACAATGGAATGCTTGCTTGCAAGAATGGAGGGTCTATATATGCGGTGGCGGTGTGACTGGAACATTTCTCGTTAAAGCATTAGGACAATGATGATGAATTGATCGATGCCTTCAGAGATCGAAAATATTTGAAAGGCGAAAATTGGTTGGTTGTTGGTGGTTGGTTGAAAAATCTCCATTTCAGACTGATAGTTGGTGATTACGTTCGTTTTTCTCGAAGGGAAAATGGAAAATTAAGCGAAAATTGGCGACTGGGAAAGACTGAAATTGGCATTTTCGTGTTCTGACAGACGAATTTCACACGTTCTCTTTTTCAGAATGCTCGGCCTCCGCTCCAATTTCGAAAATCTCCGAGGGGTTTTGAGCGGAGCACTGAGCCCAAAAAATTGAGAAAATGGTTCACCTTTATCTGAACTTTTGAGCTTTTGGGCCAAGGTAGGTACCAAAAAAACGTGGTGGTTTAAAACATGGAGGTAACTTTCAGTGAACACCAGAAGATCAGTTTTAGATGAAGTAATGACGTAATTGGCTAGACAACTTCAAAAATTCAAACGAACGCACAATTTTCAGGAAATTGAATGTTATTTCCAGACTTGCCAGATTTCGGGCCGGCCATGCGGGCCGGGCCGGTAAAGTGCCGGCCCGGGCCGGGCCGGGTCGGTGAAGTGCCGGCCCGGCCCGGTCGGCCCGGTTCAAAAAGGCGGGAATTCAAATTTTTCGCGGAAATTTTTTTCGTTATTATAAAAAAAGTTTCGAACTAAAGTTTTAGTGTTTCTTCTTTGTTTTTTTGCTATTATGTATTTTTTTATGAGAAATACATTTGTTTTTCAATGTTCGATGCTTGCAAAAAACCCCTAATTCTACAAAAAATGGCTTCATGCGATCAATAATTCAAATTTTGAATTCCCGCTTTTTGAACCGGGCCGACCGGGCCGGGCCGGGTCGGGCCGGGCCGGAGTTTTGGAAATTTCGGCCCGGCCCGGCCCGGCCCGGCCCGGCCCGTGGCAACTATGGTTATTTCAGGCAACTGACCACTAAAAGTACAAATAGTAGGCCGGAAGTTTTGAAATTCCGAAAATGACGAGAAGAATAATAAATTTTAATGTTTGGTGAATCCGTTTGTTTCAAAGAACCACAATGGCGTGATCATTTCAAACAATGCATTTATTTTGAAAAACAAGAAGCACACGCAAGTAAGATGTTTATCTGGCTTCCGACGTAAGTAAGTATTTACAACACCCCCCAAAATATCTGATGCTCCCTATTTGTGCCGTACGAAGCTAATGACACATACCTTATCTGTCTTTGGATGACCTCATTCAGTTTTCTGAGCTGAGTGGTTTTCTCGAATCGGGGGAAACAGACAATTTTTTCTGAGAACTAGGCGCAGCGCAGAAGAAATGACGTTGACTTGTCGAAATTCAAAATTGTATGGGTTCTAGACACGGCCGGGTTATAAGCATAACATTTTGAAGGGACCCACTTGAAACGGGCCAAAGTTCACGCGGAGTGAGTGACGTAGGCGATCTCTTGAAACAAATATGCGCCCTAAAATAATATGTGTGGGTGTATATGAATGAAATTGAAATTTGAAATTTGAATTTCGACATTAAAATTTTGTTTGTAGGACCTTTGCGAGATTACCTAAATGTTCATTGTTTGTTTCTCACACACTTCTTCTTCTTCTTAATGTTTACACCAAAAACAACAAAGTTTGATGTTCAGCTACAATCCGCTCAATATGATCATAATCATATTACCCTTTTCGATGAAATCAGTATATAATACGATCACAGTTTGTTATCACAAAAGACGACGCACATCGGGCACACACACACACAAACATACCACACGTGTTTTTCTTATCAGTATGGCAAACATTTTGGTCAAGCTCTTACTATGCGGTGAGTCGGAACTGTGCGAAGCGTAGTCATTGTCTATTTTGCAGCAGTTGTGTTCATTGATAAACGATTTGGATATGATCTATTACCGGACATTGGCGCTCCGGACTATAGCTGTGCTGAAGATTTGATGAAGAAAAGCGAACATGTTCCCGGGAATGTGAACTCTGTACGGCTAGCTGATATAAATGTTGTGATGACCATTGGGGACTCTTTGACGGTTACTCCCAACCAATACTACATGTCTAGTTACTTGTTCAGGCTGGGAACGGGGCTGGTGCTCTTACACCACTGGGTGTTTTCCTACAGTATCGTGGGCTATCATTCCAAGCTGGTGGCGATGCAAATTTAGAGGAACATATAACTATACCAAGTACACTGGCCATCTCCAAACTTTTAAAACCACTTCTATACAGATATTCTCAAGAAGTACAACCCGGACCTCTTTGGCTACTCGACTGGAATCGGAGATGAGCACAATTACGATGTAGCTCGACTGAACGTGGCAGTAGCCGGAGCTCTAGCCTCTGAACTTCCGCGTCAAGCATTCCATCTTGTGAACTTGTTAAGGCTGAAAAATGATGTTTGTTTGCATTGTGGGAATCAAAATGTTGAGTCTAGTGTGAACTTTATTTCAGAGCGTAAACTTCAACGAGGACTGGAAGCTACTAAACATTTTTATTGGGGGAAACGATCTATGCAGCTTTTGTACTAATCCTGTTAGTAAAGCTCGAAAACCAATCGGAAATTTTCAGTGTATTTCAGGAGAGGTCACCCCAATACGCGTCAGTGTTCATTGCAGAAGCTATTCAAATAATTTATGACAATGTTCCCAGAGTAATCGTCTCTCTAACTAATGTTTTCCACTTGGAAATTCTGAGAGAAACTGATCGTGGCAGATATTTTTGCTCGGCACTTCATAAGTTTGTTCTCTCTCGAATTCTCGACACTTCTCATTAGTTCTTTCAGATTTCAATGTCCCTGTGTCAGTGATCTTTTCGTGAACAAGTCTGTTCTTGCCAATGCAGTCAATGAATACAACTATTATGAAATGCAAATGCAAACTAGTGGACGGTTCGAGAAAGATGATTTCACTCTTGTTGTTCAACCATTTCTAAGCAACACTACCGAACCATCGAGAATCGTTTGAAGTTCACATCCCTATTCATTTTTTAGTTCTCTTTTTCAGAACGGTGAATTCAACAAAGAGTTTTTCGCTCCTGATTGCTTCCACTTCTCTCAATGGGGTCATGCTCTGATAGCCAGCCATTTATGGAGTAATATCATAGAGCCAGTTGGTTATAAATCTACAACAGTCAACTTGACCATTCCGGCTTTACCATTATCTTGTCCAGAAAAGGTCTCTATCCTTCACGCTCCTCCTTTCTACTATTTCGTAAACATTTCAGAACTGTCCGTTCTTCCGAACTCCTAAAAACAGCGTCGACTGCTCCGAATACTTCACCGCTCCAGCATCCTGAATCACAAAAATCTAATGTTACCAACTAACTTTTCTTTCTTCAATTTAATGAAAATTTGTCTAGAACTCGTACCGGACAGAAAGCACAAAATTGTGAGATCACTCGACCATTTTATCGAAAATGGAAACACGTGGTTGGAAAAAGTGATAAGGAAGACTAAAATGATAGCTGATCAGCGGTCATCTTTAGTTTCATTTCTGCAATTCGCTGCAACTTCAGCTTCAAAATGTGGCAGAGAATTTTTGGTGAGTTGAATATTTCTCCTACATACGTTACTGGATCGCCTTATCCGTTTCCAGTCTCATCCTGCATTGTACTGTATGTTCTGGCCACGCTACCGGATATTGGTGCTCCGGGTTACTCTTGTGATGCTGATCTTATGAAGAAAAGTAAGAAAGTGCCGACGAATGTGAACTCGGTTCGACCAGCCGACATCAAGTTGTTGATGGCTCTCGGAGACTCTTTGACGGTGGGTGGTCCTTTCAGCTCCTAAGTGAGTGGGATTAGCGGGTTGGCTAATGGGGAACAAAAGTGCGGGAAGGAGATGGACCAGGCGCGAAAAAAAAGAAATTTTTGCTCAACAAGTGAAGTAAGCTGTCGAGCAACTTAATGTCTTTGAGATTGAATAGGTCGCTTTCTGGAAACTCACCACATGTCAGCATAGTTTTTATCAGACCTGCAACGGCCGAGCCGGGAGACACGTGAAATTCTCCGGCCTGGCAACCCTATCCGACCCGGCCCAGCAGAGTCCAATTTTGTTCAAAAATGACAAAAATCTGTTCAAAAGTGACGGACTCTAGTTTTTATAGACCTTCAATTGAATTTTCTCTGATAAACTTATTGTGCTCAAAAGTTTACCAACCAGAAATGAGCCCATTTCTTAGCCGTCGAATCTCCCGAATCCCCAACTTCCCTCAAACTCTCTAAGACCACATCCTCTGATTGTTTTCATCAATCCACTGGTTGTTTTCTCCATTTTCCCTTCCCGCCCGTCCCTCTCCGTGCGTCCTCTCAATAAGTTCTAGTGTTGTTCTTCAGGCAGCAAACGGCGCCGGAGCAGAGGACCCTCTGGCAGTTGTTCTTCAATATCGAGGCCTTGCATTCCAAGCCGGAGGCGATAAGTCACTCGATGAGCACGTCACAATTCCAAGTAGCATTAGTGTATATGAGAACATGACATGATATGGCCACATCTTTCAGACATCCTCAAGAAGTACAACTCGGATCTGTTTGGATACTCGAATGGAATCGGATCCCCGAATGTCTGGGAGATTGCTCGTTTGAATGTCGCAATGCCAGGCGCCAATGCAAAAGATTTACCCGGACAGGCTAGGCAGTTGGTCGCCCTTCTTCAACAACATACAGAGGTCTTAATAATGACGTCACCTGGACAAAACCAGCTTGAATCCACGTGCGTTTCAGGTGGTTAACATGAAAGAGGATTGGAAATTATTGAACATTTTCATCGGCGGCAACGACATCTGCGGTTACTGTCGCAAACCAGTGGTTAGTGTGTTTCCGCGTTGATCGCATTAACCTGACAGTTTTGGCGAGAACAATAGATGAGAGGACAGCCGAAAAAACTGACATGCATTACAAAACGGTTCATGAAAACTGTTTAGGACGATTCTCCTTACAATTGCGCACAAGACATCAAACAGGCAGTGCAAATCATTTATGACAACGTCCCACGTGTAATCGTCTCGTTAACAGGAATGTTGCAACTCGAGATGTTGCGACAAACTGATACCGGTCACTGGTTCTGCGAGCGTTTGCATCAGTATGTAGCGGAGAAATGAAAATTTCGAGTCTGGCGGCAAACAAATAAACACTAATCATATTTTCAGTGACGAGTGTGGATGCGAGAGCAACAAAAACTTCACGGATGCTGACATAATGAAGGTTGATTCGAATTTGGATTACTGTACACGGCGAATGATTTCAGGCTTGTTATGACTATAACACCTATGAAAAGCAGATAGAAACCGATGGAACCTTTGAGAAAGATGATTTCACCTTTGTCGTTCAGCCCTTCTTCAGAGACACTTTGATCCCGACAATGGAAGTGAGTTTGGCCGATCGAACAAGTTTCAGAAATACCTTGGGGAGAATGAGAATCATGAATCATGAAACTTTCTTTTTCAATAACTCATGCGAATGGAATGCTTTCAGAACGGTAAACCGAGCCAAATATTCTTCGCACCGGACTGCTTCCACTTTTCGCAATGGGGACACGCTCTAGTGAGCACCTACCTCTGGAACAACATCCTTCAACCAGTGGGAATGAAGAACACAATTGCAAACATGTCCGAGCCGGCTCTTCCTTTGGCGTGTCCTGATGCGGTACGTTGTCAAATTCATCAGATTTCCACAATTTGAAACGATTTCAGACGTGTCCCTTCATCCGAACTCCAAAGAACAGCCAAGACTGTAGTCAGTATGTGACCCCGGTGGCCTAATTTTGTTGTTTTTTTTCTGTTCAATTTTAACATAAACCTTCTCCCTTGTCTTGTTTCCGATCGAAAAATCAGCATAATGCTTGCCTCACGTTATCAGTGCACCCTCAAGTCAAAATCAAAACGAAATCACAACCAAAAACGTGAGGTTTTCAATCGGAAAATGTTGCGAAATACATGTACGTACAGAGAGAGACTCCCGTTTTCATGAATAAATGCGAGAGGGCACTCATTTGTCATCAAACCGCTCGTCCCTTTCTCACTCCTTGTTTCTTTTCGTCTCCTTATACATACTCTCGGACTATGTTCTTCAATTTTTGCATGTGTTAGTTATGACGACCCTAAAAAGCTTGCGGCTCAATCCTAATCAAATTACTGAATAAATAAGTGGGCGTCGTATCATTGTAACCTCTTTTGGGCTTTGTTTTATCTTTGTTCTACTTTTTTTTTGGGTTTCAACTAGTGTTCTCTTATCATTATCTCTCTTCTTCTTTCTTTTCTTTTCTCATTATTAATCACTTCCCGTGCCCCGGCCCGGCAGGCTCTCACTTGGTCCAAAAATGTTCAAAAAAATTTTTAAAAATGACTGCTCGATAAATCGCAACACTTTCTCAAAAAATTCGTTCCAACTAGGCCGGCCCGAAATCTTGCAAGTCTGTTATTAATCCAGTTGTGATCAGTTAGTTGAGCATCAAAAATTCACACGTTCACTTATCTCCTATATAATTTGGAAACCCTACTAATTCAAAAATCACGTGCCACAAATTTTGCTTTCACTTCAATTCGCTTCGCCTTCATTCGTCGTCATCATCTGGCCGTCGGGCTATATGCATATATAGTTTCTGTCTTTGCCTCCTCCTCCCGTTTTCACTTGCGTCAGAACAGTCATGTAGCTATCTTTCTATCCGTGCGCGCAGGGGGCCCCCTATCGGAACTAGACTGCCTGCGCCAACACCACACAGGCGGCGGCCATCGCCCGCCCGAGTCAATTTCGTCTCCTCCTCCTCCTCCTCCTCCTCGTTTCTTTTCCGCCAACCTGCGACTGTCGTCTGTCGGCAGGTTATCATAAATGTCTCTCTTTCTCCCTCTTTCTCTCCCATTTCGCTTTAATTCTTTTCCTTTCTAAACTGATAACGCAAGATTTGTGGGTGTTTGTAAGTGGCCGACATTTGAAGGTCAACTAGAGGTATTCGGAAGTTCTTCGCGTGTGTTTCATGATAACCTTGCCGGTTTTTCATTCGAAATCTATCGTCTACACTGTGTCTGACCAAAAAAAGCTGTTCAAATGTTGCATACATACTCTATGCAAAGAGTAGAAAAGAATAGCAATAGCCGATCAAAATTGCAAGAACCGAAATTTTTTCGCTGTTCTGTTCAAATGAAGCCCATTCTTTGCTCGAATTTAGTCCGTCCGGGCATTCGGATCACCTAATTTGTCTCTCTCTAACACAACCACTTGCCTCTCCTCTTTCTGTCAACTCATTGAATTCGGGGAAGGAATTCCCCAGTGGCTTCTTCTGTCGGACCTTCATCCATTTCTTTCTCGCCCGCCCTTCTGTCCACTTTCTTCATTCATTCTCTTCATATTCTATTAGATGCGATTGGTCAATTGGTTGCCCCGGGCACATGGAGCCGAATGAAAAGAAGAAAAAGGGAAAGAGAGAGAGAGAGTGGCACGGCACTCGACTCCCAAAGTACACCTAATTTCTTGTGCATGCCCCGTCCTATGCACTTTGTGCCCAATGCCCTTTCCGCCGTCACTTTCTTTCCACGATCACGGCGCCGGCTGGCACCACTCGGTTCAAGGCGTCAGTTGCAGTAAGGTAGGTGGTGGTGCCAGCTCAGCGAGCAAGAAGAAGAAGAAGAAGAAGCAGGTCGCAAAAACTGCGAGGCGCCTGTTGGCCGCTGTGTGATCGCGTGCGCGCGCTTCCCGAACGACTCTTGCACGGGCTCCCGACTTTTTCTCTCTCTCTCTCTCTCTCTCTCTCTCTCTCTCTCTCTCTTCCTCTCCTTCTCTCTTTCTTTTCCTCTCTCGATATGTTTTGTTCTTGAGCATCAGACTCATTTTGTCCCTCTCTCCCATTTCCGCCCGCTTTATCGGCAGGTTCAATGGAATCATTGTGCTTTGGGACTCTTTCGCTAACCGCATGCTAATCCTGTAAATCTTTATCAGTTGTCATACAATACTAATCCGTCATTGGTGTTGTGATTGGCAAGTACAAGTGCAAGTACAAGTACGGACGCCTCCCCGGAGAGCATTGCATTTCCATGACTAATACCATAACTATAAGCTCTTCATCCAAGGGGTGCGCCGCAGTTGTTTGCATGCTTTGAATGAGTTTGCCCTATTTCAACAAAAGTAACCCCTAGTGACTGTAACTATGTATGGCTTGACAGCCAGTCTGAATTGCCACAAACCCATTCATTTCCCTCGAATGTCAGTCATTCGACGCCTTCCTTATTGGCTTTGCTTTTTTTTTTTTTTGGAAAAATTGGCATCATTTCTCGACGTCACCCAACATTTTCCATTTTTCCAGAATACTCTACGCGGAAACGTAGCAAACAATGACTTTACAAATTTTCTGATAAACCGCAACGCTGATAAGAAAGTTTTCCAGAAATTTTCCTAGTTTGCATCACATTCCCTGCCATCTATTCAACAGTAGAAATTGTCTGAAAAAAGGGTATGTTATTTGTTATTTGCGACGTGCATTCTCCGTATGGTCCCTGTATGTTGTTTTCCCTTCTTCCGCCAGGTGATTATGTTGTTTTTGGTGACTTGGTGTTTTGTCTTGTCACCAACCATTCCACTCGAGAATTAATCGGCGAGGAGAGGAAGGCACTCATTAGCCCATCCCCCGCTCAGTATTTTTTTCACATTGTCCCAATGATTTTATCGGAACGAACGGAAACAAAACCCGCTTCGTTTCGATTTGCCCAAAATTGAACTGTTCGCACCAAAAGAGAAACATCAAGTACACGGACGACGGAGAGGGCAAAGGAGAAAGGGAAATCAAACAAAGCCGTGTGCCCTGGCGTCTTTTCTTCTATCTGTCACAGTCCAGGACCGAACTGCGAAGGTGCGACAGTTCTTGCTCCCCCTCCCGCCAACGAGTAACAGTGGCTAAGCAGGTACTCGCCCCCTCCACTACTTTACTCTCTCTCTTTCTCCTCCGCCTGTCCTCCTCCTCGTCTTCTCTTCACGAGCTGGTCAGTCAGTCACAGTATGTCACAGACAGACACACACACGCACACAGTACGAAGCCATCGCACACAGACCTCCCTTCTTGCCCGCACACTTCGTCCTCACTGTGGATCGTTTGCGCGCGCGCGCGCTCTCTCGTCTCTTGTTTTTTTGTGCCCACGCACTGATTTTTTCGGCTGAAAAGATGACGATGGCGATGCCCGGGGACGAAAGTGCCAGTACAAAAACATGTAGTCCTCGGACTGTACTTGCCGTCACCGACGACCAGGCGGGAGTTTTGTTTTCCGCCTTTGTCACGCTGGGTGCCTTGTTCTCAAATCTTTAAATCCTCATCTTCTTAAAACTCCCTTCTTTTTCATCAAAAACCTACGTCATTTCCTATTCACGGGGCGGTCTCGGAAAAAAAGAAAAAAACATAATTCTTTGCACTTGACGTCCGTCGTCCTACCCGAGAAAGCACTAGCCCATTTTGAAGCCAAATTGTCTTTTTTTTCGCTTTTTTCCCGCACTTTTTGAGCTTTGGGTTCAAGGGTGTACTATGTAGAGGAAAAGGAAGAGGAAAAGGGCATGTCTACTGTCCTTTTAGAATTATATTCTATTCAACGCAAACTTCCGTCGCACTTTAGGAGTTTAACAACATGGTCCCGTAAAATAGAGAGCCGACGCACTTCTCGAATTTCAATAACAATTTTTTCAGCCCTCCCCTTCTCCTCAATTTTGCTCCTCGACTCATCACTTTTCCACCCTCTGCTTCTCCCATTGTCCGTTTCGCCTGCGCGCAACATTTGAATGGGTCATCTTGCATCATCATAGCACAGGGTCCGTCTCTTCTCCCCGATCTAAATCTCTCCTCCTCTCTGCACCCGCGTCCACCCCACATTTGCCCTATCCCCCCATCCTCTCCCGCACACACTCTTTTTCTCCTCCTCCGCTTCCCTTCGCCGCTTCCCGCGTGTTGTTGCTAGGACGGGATAAGGAGTAGGAGGACGAGGAGAAAGAGGAGGCACGACCAAGACGACGGGGGCAGCTAATGACCTTCAATGGGCGGCCAGGTGTTTGGTGGTGTATGGCGCGGTCCCCCACCTAATGTCGCGCTGGTGCATGTAACCGCAGGATACGAGTTTGGATGTTTTGGCCTTCTGCCAGGTCTTCGTAGTCCGTCAGGTGCTGCCGCTCCTTGTTTTTTAGTCAGAGTGTCACAAAGTTAGTGTGCAAGACCGCCCCTGAAATAGTCACCTCTCTTTCTCGAATTCTCTTTATGACGTTCGAGTTTCTGGTATTGCGAAATAGTTAGTCTCTGTATGTATGTACATGTAATTCTTATATAAACACCTTTCAATTGTAATTTGCTTTGCGCGCCGTCTCTCTCTCTCTCTCTCTCTCTCTCTTACTCTCTCTTTCTACCTCATTTCAAACCAAGCAAAAACCAGTAGTACTGTGGGCCAAGAGACACTCTGTTTTGCTTCGAATTTCCGCCCTCAAATCAGAATCAACGTTGTTAATTCGGGTTTTGTGTCCCTTCTTCCAAATGAATGTCGGTCGTTCTCTTGTTTTTTCGCAAATCGTTTCATGCCACTCTCCCCCTCGGTCACTTTTTCTCCAATACGTTTTTCTCTACAGTTTTAGTCTTGTTTCAACAAATCTTTCATCTCATTTATTTTTTATTGCTCCCATCCATTTCATATCCATCTTAAGACTCTTTTCTCTTTTCTTATTTGCTCTCATCCGATGTTCTTTGGACCTTAACCCTCAAACGTTTCAATTTTCAGGTAGTCGTCAGACTCCTCTAAACAGGTGGTGGTTAGATTAACCAATTGGAGCACACTCCAAACAAGGTGGGATACCTCCGTCTGGCCTCAGGGACAAGATGATGACCGGATACGGTTACAACTCGAACCTGGTTCAGCCACTTCAAGGGTAAGAAGGGAACTGAAAACTGGGAAAGCTCATCACCTCAATTTCTTTACAGAGTGGACCAAACCTGGAGTCAACAGCCCGACCAGTCGCAGTACTTCACTGGAAGTGGTGTCGCCGATTTGTCTAACCCATACAATTACGGGTCTATGGGTGGATGGTACCAGGCGCCATGCTACAACTCGGTTCCCCCGCCACCCGGTCTCACACTCCATCCTGACCAGCAACAACCGAATCTGACGGCTCCGCAACAACTGCAAATGTTGTTTCCGACTCTGGCGCCACCACAATCGTCGCAGCCGAGAGTTTCGATATCGGACGAGGAACTGTATCAAGCGCTCAATATGTCACCGCTTCCGACGACCTCAACCAACGTCGGATATCATCATTCGCATCTTCAGCAGCAGCAGCAGCTTCAACATCAGCATCTTCAACAGCATCCAACAGGTTTGTGGCACTTTTCGAATGAGATTGAAGATGAAACGGACAGTAGCAAGGTCATCAAAGCTTTTGCAGACTATCTCTCGTCGGAGGCTTGCTACCCGTCGACGTCAAGCTACGACTCATCGGTGTATCACGATCAGTCATGCTACATGCCGGCACCGTCAACGGCTCCACCAGAGGATCCGCATCATTATCAGCATGCACACGATGGGGACGATGAAGAGAGTTACGGAGAGCCTGAAAGATATGAGACCATGTCGCCGACATTCTCGATTCACTCATTTGCTCCGACAACTTCAACCAACACCGCGGAAGCTGAAGATTTAGAGGTAATTTTGTAGTTTTCATCAAGCTTCACATCAAACTTTGATGATGACGTGCTTACTTGGCAGCGCGCCAAGAATTGGGGGGAGACGCGTGCTTGTTTACCCAGCTTGCCCGTCGCCGCCCGCTCTCGCGGCGCCAACTAATATTGTGTTGTTGTCATTCCGAAAGAAGCGAGTGAGAAGAAGAGGATGCCACGGGCGCGCTGGGGGCAAAAACGTTTTTGCGTGTCTTGCTTCTCTCCTGCAGTTTAGTTTAGTTATTCTCCTTGTACCACCACTGTCCCAGTCCCGCGCCCGGGTGGTAAACAAGGGGGCTCGCCCCGCGTGCCTAGTCACCGACTGATAGATACAACAACAAAAATAGAATGCTCTCTCTCTCTCTCGAGCTTCCTCGCCTTATTTTCCGGAACGTGACCGCCGAGAAAGGGAGTCGAAAGAAGAAGAAAGAGGGGTCTGAGTTGCTAGCAGCCCGCGTGCATCTGTTCAGTTTAACTGACCAACAGCTGAGCCCCATGTCCTCAGAAGCTCTCTAGTGCTATGGATATTGAAGAAAATTGATACGCGGAAAAGAAAATGAAAGGGATTGAAGAAAACGAATTATTCTTACAGGTCGAGCTCATCAATCACGCAAAAGCAGCGCCGCGGTACCAGAAGCCCGACGACATCGACATCTTCCTGCACACCGGGTCTACTGATGATACCGAGTACAATGAGGACGAAGACTCCAGGGTTAGTGATGACGTCATTGGCAACAGAAAGAACAGCGAGAGAATTTCCTCTCCGAGAGATGACCTCTACCTGGTAGAATGGCTTGGACGCGTAAAGGGCCACACACTCTCACACACATACACAAACCTCTCGCACCCCTCCACACACAGACACGCACACTCATCCTTTTGGTGGACTCTGGCCCAATCTATTGATCGATTCAATTCACGCACACGTATCAAAATTTGGAGTGTATGCAGCCGCCGCGTTGCTCGTTTCATATCACTTCTTTCTCACTCTCTCACTGACTTTTTTTCATTTTGAGTGTCGAACTTTCTAGCAGTACTCGCTGGCGGTTGACACGTCGACATAGATGTCTTCCTCTTTTTTTATCCCACTGTTCTCCTCATTTTTTGTTGTGTGGACGGTTGAAAGAAGACTCATCTGAAAGTGATGTTCTTCCTACCCACGCATGGAACACTGGTAGCACCCACGAGCTCAAAGATCTAGAAAAAAAGAAAATTGATACTCTCTGACGGGAACTGTCAATAGCCGAGTAGGGATTGCGGCAAGTTCCGCTCTCTTTTTTGCTTTTTCGCACCCCAACAATAGTGCTTAGCTAAAAGACCGGTGAGCACTTTGCCATTGTGTTCTGAGACCGTGTACTTGCCAACACGCGCGCTTTTGAGAGAGTTGATGCCTGGAAACGAACTGTTGAATATGTACTTTCCCTCGCCATATGTTTATTATGCGTTTTTTCTCAAGCTCAAATTAACTTTTTTTCAGCCAACAACGACGTACTCGCATCGTAGTACAAAGGCGCCGTCCCCGCCGGCTTCTCGTCCCGCCTACGCTCAGAAGCTCACCGCGGCGGCTCATCAGCATCAGCAGAAGCCCGAGCAACAGTGTGTCATCGCGGACGCCTCGAAGACTGCGCCTTTGTTCCTTCAGACAACGGCGCCGGAACCAGCAGGGTTCACACCTTGTAAGTGAAACGAAATTCTTGACACTCGAATATTTCATCTTTTTCAGTGCTTACACCGAATTCGGACGCGTTGCTCCAGAAGAAGTTGAGCGAAGTCGTCAACAACCCGCCTCAACGGCTACACGGTCACGCCGCGTTCCCGGTGTATCCACAGCAGCCGCAGGCGACACGATTTATCGACCAACATCAATATCAGGAGTCGTTTGTTGATTACAATCCAATCAGCCAGGTTCCGCTCTCTGACGATTACTACCCATCGTCGCCTCTTAACCCCAGATACGGTAAGTATTAGCTCAGGTCTTTAGAATATTCAAGAGTTATTTTTCAGACTACGCAACACAAGTGGACCACGACATCCTGCCACTGCTACTAGACAGCTTCAAACCACTGCCAGCACCTCAATTCCCAACCGTTCCAATCGCGGTTCCTATTTCGGTACCGGAACGTTTGACTTCGACAACGAAGCTTCCTGCTCAAGCAACACTTGCTCCGCCAGCAGCTCCAGTAAAAGCTCCGCGTCTGTCCGATCAGGAGCTTGACTCGCAAAGTCAGAAACTTGCCATCGACGTTATCTCTAATCTGTTCACATCGAAAAAAGAGATCATCGACCGTGCTGCTGTGATCAACGCGCCGAAGAAGCCAGTGGCAAGAAACCTGTTCTGCAACGACCCAATCAGTTTGCAAAAGGCAAAGTCTGACGAGCCGATCAAAATGAACGTGATTGACGACTGGGAAACTGCCGACGATGATGACTTGACGGAAAGAATGGAGAATCTGATGAAGGACATCAAGAAAGAAAAAAAGAAGCTTGTGTCAGCGGCAATCGCAGCGCAGCCAGCTGTGGTTCCGACAACTTCAAAAACTTCCGACTGGGATACCAGCTTCCTGCAACACGTGCTGGAAATCTTCGGAGTTCCCGACTACAAGATGCAGGAAGATGTCGTCAAAGCTATGGAAACTATAGGATTTGGAGACTGCAAAGTGATGTGGATGGAGCGGAAGGTCGTGTTCGCCGTCTTCGAAAGTGTCGCGAGGGCAAAGAACTGCCTGACACTGGCTAGACACGACTGGCTGCGCTTCCGTAGTCTCGCCGACTCGCCGAAGCCAGTGCAGGATTTTGCGAAGACAAGTGCGAATAGTCTGAGTATGCCAAAGTGAGTTTTCTGAAAATTAAAAACCTGAGAACCCTCAGAGTTGACGTGTCTCTCCGAATTGTCTTCTATTGCAACATTCACTGTCCGGTTTCCAACTCTCCGAACTGCCCATGAACAGAACAGCGCGCAGTCAAATTCTGGCCATGGCCTAGAAAATTCCTCGGTCATGTAATCTTTTGTGGAGTTTGTGCGCAATAGAAAACGTGTTAGACAGACACATAAACACTGAGGGTTCCCTGGTCTCTTACGAATCACTGGGATGAGATCTTCATTTCGAGTAGTTTCAACAACAAATATCTTCAAATTTCAGAAAAAAACAGCAAACAACTGCCACTGTGGCCCGTCGAATGGTGGAGAATGCGCTGGGAAAGAAGGCCACCGTATCGAACGAAAAGCGTCAAGAGGAACGGAACCAACTAGCCGCTGCTCGTGCCGCCAAGAAGAACACAGTTCAATGGGACTGAATGTTCGCATTTCTCTTCATTTATAAACTCATCCCCCCCCTCCCTACGTTATCATTTTTCTCCCAAAATCACACAAAACAAAACGCATTTCGGACTTTAAAAATTTGTTTCCATTCCTCCCAAATGCCCCCCCCAACACTATGATACCGTTCTGATACATCAGGTTTATGACTGCACTCTATCGATGTTTCGAAAAAAAAGGCATATTTTCTCGTTTTCTAGGTCACAACGGCCTTCAAAAATCTTTAGGTTCCGATTAGAGCGTAGTAGCAACTTGATAGCAGGACAGTACCATTTAGATTCCTTGCAACTTACTCTCCTTCAAACATTTGTTACCCATTTCACCCGTTTTTTTTTGTGCTCCTCTCTTTTTTTTACGTATCAACCACTCAAATCCATGTAAAACCCAAAAAAAATTACATAATCTCCGCGAAAACCCCCCAAAAAAGACATGTTAGTCGAACAAGTTGTTTTCCTTGTGTTGTACAGATTGTAAAAGTCAAATTTCAAAAAGAAATTACTTTTTGTGACTTTTTACAATCTCACATTTCGATTCAATTCATCATACGTTTTAATAACACCGTTCTAGTATGTTTGAATTCCATTTTTTTCTGTCTTCATCTTCCCACACTGTTCACATTATTTCTTTGAAATGTTTGAAAACGTCAATTGTCCCAACCACCCACAGCCTATGTATTGGCCCACAATTACTGTAGTTTAGAAGTTATCTGAAAGTGGCACCCACACCATTATTTATCCTTCTAAATTTATTTGAACAATGTTTTTCGAAGCGAATAAAAAGAACACAAAACATTTGAACACAAGCGCCATTCCGGAGCATCGTTGTACAGAACTTTCTAAGGCGTTCCTTTTCAGGTTTCGACCCTTTTTTGGCTGACTTTCAAAGGAAATCGGGTGTAAAACGCCAAAAAATCGACAAAATTTTAATAAAACAGATCTGTTTATTGGAATAAATTAAAGTTGAATTTTTATGTTGGTTCGAGTATTTTTGCAAAGATTACATCAAATTGAATGTGTTACCATACTTTTGGCGCACCCTGTATATTGGGTCCACGTTACAGACAGATCGGGCAACTTTAATCCTTCAATTCCTTATCACTCTTTTTCCGAATCCTCTTGGCACGCTGCCCTGACGCTTCGAAATCCCAATCGTTCTTTCCCATCGGAGTCGATTGTAGCCGTCCTTATCACTAATCTCCAACGGTAATTAAGTCGATTGCTTTGAAAATCCGCTTGAAGCTCACATTCCCACACCTGCGGTCGTAATTAAAGACGGAGATAAGTGATTAGAATGCCGACAAAGGAGTCTGATGGCTAAGTACGATTGGGATTTCGAAACGTCATGGCACCGTGGGAAGAAGGAAAAGCCAAGTGCAGTGGCCACGCCCACTAACTACACTCAGTAGCCACGCCCACTGATTAGAATGGCCACGCCCGCTGGTCAGAATGGTCACGCCCACTGATCAGAATGGCCAGGCCCACTGATCAGAATAGCCACGCCCACTGATCAGAAAGGCCACGCCCACTGATCAGAATAGCCACGCCCGCTGGTCAGAATGGTCACGCCCACTAATCAGAATGGCCACGCCCACTGATCAGAATAGCCACGCCCACTGATCAGAAAGGCCACGCCCACTGATCAGAATAGCCACGCCCGCTGGTCAGAATGGTCACGCCCACTGATCAGAATGGCCACGCCCACTGATCAGAATGGCCACGCCCACTGATCAGAATGGCCACGCCCACTGATCAGAATGGCCACGCCCACTGATCAGAATGGCCACGCCCACTGATCAGAATGGCCACGCCCACTGATCAGAATGGCCACGCCCACTGATCAGAATGGCCACGCCCACTGATCAGATGGCCACGCCCACTGATCAGAATGGCCACGCCCACTGATCAGAATGGCCACGCCCACTGATCAGAATGGCCACGCCCACTGATCAGATGGCCACGCCCACTGATCAGAATGGCCACGCCCACTGATCAGATGGCCACGCCCACTGATCAGAATGGCCACGCCCACAGGGGTATATAAAGGTAGTTATTACTATGCAAGAAGTCAGCTCTCTCTCTCTCTCGTCCTTCCTCTGACGTTATTGCTATGCAAGAAGTCAGCTCTCTCTCTCTCTCTTCCATCCTTCACCCGTAAAAAAGACTGTAAAAAAATGTAAAAAAAATAATAGAATAAATACAAAGTGTAAAAAGAGAGTGGTCACAGTAAACTTCTCAAGAAAACATATATATTTAGTTGAAAAAACCGTACAAACTTGCTAACGGGGTGATTATTTGGTTAGACTTGGTGGCTTCAGGGAAAAATCAGCATTCAGTGACATGCATGTTTCCACGAAGACGAAAAACAGCTGTTTTATCAAAGGGAGCACAAAGGGAGCAAAGGAAGCTTGGTACGAGCACAAGAGTCGGAAATGTTCAGATTGCTGGAATGTCCTTAAGGGGCAGCAATCTGGACATTTCCGACTTTACCTTTTTCAGAACAAAATAGTGACAAAATTTGGCTGTCATACGAAATTCGCGTTCTTCCTGATTCACAGTATACACAAATACACACGCTCACACACAGATGTTAGCAGAGCAAAGAGGATTAGAAAGAGCATTTTTTCGTTTTCCCCTACCTGAGCACTGACGGACCTATTTGCACAAACATACAGGTTCGACGTCGGCCCAGTCTTTCTATGTTGCTATTTTGGGTTGGGACTAGTCACAAAATAAATTTGGAGCTTTCGAGATAATAACTGATTAATTTATTTGACTATCCAACCGTTTTGAAAGGAAATAGGAAACATAGGAAAATACATAGGAAAATTTCGACGCGGCATGTCTTTAGGTGGTCGTATGTTTCAGTTTCATCGCGATAGTTCGAACAATTTTCAAGGAACCGTCACCAAAATCACCAAATCCATGTAACTTTACGCCCTGAATTCAATTTTGAAGTCTTCGGGTCTGCATCATTTTGAAGCGCCTCGTAGCACGTATAATTTTGAAAATTTTTTCAGAAGTTGAAAGGAAGAGAGAAAGTATACTTTGTTGAGCGTTTAGTGAGCACCGAACACCGCTGTGCGCACAAGGTGATCGTCATTGGAGCGAAACGAGGCACGGATTCGAATTGTGTTTTCATTTCCGTTATTTCATCGATTATTTTATTGCATTAGGAATTGAGATGAATATAAGGTTTGAGCAACAGTTGCGTGAACAAGATGAAGACGTTCCGGAAATTGCATCGAAACGTTTGATTTCAGATGAAAAGCTATATTTTCCTTAAACGCCCAGAAATACAGGTTGCCGAGCCTAGATCCCGGCGTGGCTGGAGGCACAACGATCCTTGCCACATTTTTCCACTGCTGCTCTCTGCATATTCAAAAAAAAAATAATTTTCTTTCAAAACAGATGCACTAGTTCCGTGGTTATTCGGTCCGTCCTTTCCCCTCCTTCTACTCTTTTCGTTGTCTCATTCTCTTTTTTTTTCTTCTTTTTTGTCTTTCCTCTCCCATCTTCAGAATACGCAGATAAAACGCGAAAAGACGTGCGAGGAGCTCTTCAAATTTCCCTCATTCTTCTTAGCCCCATGACCACCGCTCTCCGCCATGAATTTCTAATTTCGTCTTGAAAACTCTTCTCCCATTCTGCTGGTCCTTGACCTTTTGTTGTATTCTGATAAATGTGTCTGTTTACTCACTTCCCATTCTGACCTGTACGGAGAAAAGCCATCCATGTCGAATATTTTCAATCAGAACTGCTTTTTCTTCTGTTTATTTTCATTTTCATCTCAATATCTCAACCAAGTCGTTCCGCAACTAGACCGTTTTTCCAGTGGACTTCTGAAAACCAGGCTTTCAACGGTTTGAATCTTTCGGAATCTCGCAAATTTGAACCCTAGCGAATACATCATTTTTCTGCTTCTCTTCCCGCCAAATCCAAGTGAAACCCTATTTTCCTTGTCGTTCTCGCTTTGAAAAAGAAGGACATTCTCGTCACTAGTTGCCATTTGGATGTGGCAAAGCATTGATTGGCGCGCTAGTCAGTGCTGGGTGGCGAGATACACAGAAGATCCCCCTACGAGAGGGACCAGAGACGTTTCTGCGTGTATGTATGTGCAACGCAAGCGATGGCGTGTCCACAGCGTGTGTTTCGAAATACTGGACGCGAGAGCGGCTGGGCAGCGGGCGGAGGTCTGCTTGCTCGGCCGGCCTTCGTCTTCTCTTCTTCCCTTCACAATGTTGCTGGCGAGGCAAGACGGCCGGGCCGCCCGGCCAGCTCGCCTCCTCCTCCTCCACTCTTTTTCGTTTCGCTCGCCGGACGAACGATCATTCAGGACGTTTGGTCGGTTGGCTGGTTGGCTGGCAGTATTCCGCTTTTCACTTTTTGTTTTTCGTTCTCTTAGGAAAAGTTAAATCGAACTAATCCCGGAGAGTGGGTTTCTTCTGCATAACTCTCGCTTTAGGGCTCAAGGACACCTGATCCCTTTCCGATGTGGTCACTGATGCCTAAACGAGTAAAAAACCTTGCAAGAAATCAAATCCTCGACAGAATTAGGCTTCATTTTGGCTTAAAGTCATACCTTCATATAACGTGTTTCCTTTTGTTCATAGCGCAATATATTTCCAAGCTCGGATACTTTAACAATCGTATATGCTCATTCATTGCATTTTTATTTTCGATTCCCTTGTGACCAGCATAGCCCTGCCAGCTAGTTGTTTTTCGTTTAGAGCACCACCGCCGCTATGTATTTTGACTGGTTGAATATTTATAGGAAATGAAGTGAAAAATAATGCTGAAGGTTATTTTGATCAGTAAAGTTCGTGAGTCTTAACGTTGGTTTACTTTTCACTTCAGAGCTAAAAAAGCGGGATAAGATAAGTGTGTTTTTGTTATTTTCCTGGAAAAAACCAGAAAATTCTCGAATTTCATTTCATTTTCAATTTCAGTTCGTATTCCCATTTCCATTAGACCCCCCTCTACCCACCCAGAAAAGAGTCCCGTGGCGCGCGCCCACTCTTAGTGGAACCTATTTGAAAAGAAACGTGACATTCTCAAGAATTTTGAAATTCATAATAGCCGTGTGTGTATGTGTGTGTGTGTGTGTGTGTGTGTGTGTCATGACGACACAGCTTCTTCGAAAAAGAGTAGTCTACGGAAATGCGAGGCGCGACTCCCTTCCCGAGCAGGTGCCAAGGCATAAACAAGAGTGCAAAGTGTGTGCAGATTTCGGAAAAGATATTCAAAGATTGAAGGCTTTTCTTCCCTCCCCATGTCCACTTTTCCCTTTTTTCTCAATCGTTCTCGCCTCGTATTGTCATGTGGCGCCGGCCATACCGCAAATGTTTACCAGCAACTCGTGTTTCTTTGGGAAACGTGCCAACAGTCAATTTAAACATGTTTGTTTGCCACGCGCTTCTTCTTCTCCTTCTTTTTAAGAGAGTTAGTCAACCGTGGGGTGCGACGGAACTGTTTGTCGCATTTGAACTTTCTAAGCCGCTCGATACCACGCGCCTCTGTTTTTTTTCTAAAAGCTGCCAAGAAGCAGACACATGACCACAAAAACCTTCACTCCCAAAGCGGCCACCCACTTTCGCCTCCCTTGTTTTCCTTCCGCTGCTTCTTTTTCTCCTCTTCCTCCTCACCCTTCTTCTTCATTTTCTTCTGTGCTCAGACTGGCCGTCGCTTCCATACTTCTGCTTCTTTCCTCTTCATCTCTGCCCCACATCGCGTGAATTCCGAATTCGATTTCTGCCTTCTTCGTCAACGTTCATCTGTGAAAAGTAAAAATCAAAAGTTTCAGAAAATGTCCGAGGATAATCTTCATATGGTCGTCGTGCAAGCGCCGAACTCGGGAGCTCTGCACGTCTACGTGCAAGGTAATCTGGAGGAGCGCGGTGGAAAGACCATCATTCTGACCGTCCATGACATTGGAACCAACCGTGAGTTTCTTAATCGACTCTCTGAAATGCCATGTCCACGTGTAACCTTCCTTCAGACAAGAGCTTCGTCCGATTCGTCAACCATCCGAGCATGTCCGCCGTCAAGGAGAAGGCCATCTTCCTCCACGTCTGCGTGCCGGGACAGGAGGACAACTCGCCGGACTTCTTCGGCGAATTCCCGACTCTCGACGGAATCGGAGACGATCTGACAGCGGTCCTTGACAAATTTGAGGTCAAGTCCGCCATCGCTTTCGGAGAGGGTGTTGGAGCCAACATCATCTGTCGTTTCGCGGTGAGTTGAGCTCTTTCTGAGCTTTTTGATCAAAAGAACAGCTGGCCGCAGAAGCCATTAGTCTGGGGTTTAGTGGTTATGGGGCGACACGAAAAGTAGAAAAAAGCACATGCGAATTGGCGTTTTTTTGCAGATGGGACACCCGAACCGCATCATGGGAATCGTCTTGGTCCACTGCACCTCCACCACTGCCGGAATCATCGAGTACTGCAAGGAGAAGGTAGGCGATGACTGTAGATCTCTGTTGATCGGCTCATGAAATCATGATCCGGGGAGGCAATCGATGGTGTAACAAAATGATAATTGATCTGAGCTGCAAAGCTCGGCAGCGGCTCGACCGGGCTCAGTATCAAGTTTTGTGCTCTTTATCTTCTTCTCTTCTTCCCCAGCCATGACGTCATTTTGACGAGCGATGAGCAGGAGGCGCCCGGGGTGCGGGAAAGTATGAAAAAGATGGGGACCGAGTGGAGGGAGGGTGGCAAGGAAAAGAATATATTCCGACAAAAAAGCGACGAAAATTTGATTACGTCAAGATGAAAACGGGCGATGTAGAAAACACAGAAAAAGAGACATTGCTTTTGCGGTGTGTGACGTATTGAGACCAAAACAGTGAATTTCAGGTGATGAATATGCGTCTCGAGAACTCGATCATGTCCGACGGCGCCTGGGACTACCTGCTCGCTCACAAATTCGGAGGAGTAAGTTTCAAGTTATTTTTATCTGAAACTCAAATGAACAAATGAGAGAACAACCACTAACTAACATTTCAGGGAGATGTGAGTCAACTAACCGCTCGGAAATAAAAGAGATTTGTACCTATGTTTTGTTTATAATTTATAATTTGCTGATTTCTGAAATCTGATTTTCACGTTGTTCAATTCTTAGAAAGTAGATCGTTAATCCGTCCCCGCACCAAAATTGATTCTGAATCACATTCCCTAGTTTGTAATCATCTTGAGTGTTCAGAATAGTCAGATTATAGCTCAAAGTGTGAATTTTCAGGAGTCCAAGTCTCGCCAGGAGTACCTCGAGGAGCTCAAGGTTACTCTGAACGCAAAGAACCTCTCTAAATACCTGGTCGCCTTCACCAAGAGAACCGATCTTTCCTCGACCATCGGAACCAAGCTCGAGACGTAAGTAAACATTTGACTATTTACGACGGTTTAAAATTATTGTCGAATTCCAGTGTTGACGCTCTGCTGGTGACTGGAAGCAAGGCCTCGCACCTCCACACCGTCTACACAACCCACAAGAGCATGAACAAGAAGAAGACCACTCTTCTCGTCGTCGACAACGTCGCCGATGTCATGCAGGAGGCGGTGAGTACTCCTTAACCTGAAATGTTCGCAAACTTGCGGTTTTCTCACATTCCGCTGATACTTTACTGATTTCTCAAGTGCACTACATTTTTCTTTCGTTCATAGAGTGTAGGCTCCTGACCGAGAAGAGCTCAAAGAGCGCTTATCAGTTGGCTGCTAGTTTCTGCAAACCATGCGCTTATCGCGTTATCAAAAATGAAAAATCAGCACGAGCAAAACAAAACTATAAACCGCGTTTTTGATTGCGGTGTGATAAAAATAGAAGTGTAGAATGTCACGTATTGCTCTTGGCAGTTTGATTGGAAGAGAATAATTGAAATTTTCAGCCGGACAAGCTGGCCCGCTCGCTGATCCTTCTCTGCAAGGGATGCGGCGTGCTCTCCGGAGTCGCCATCCCCGGAATGGAGCGTCAAAGAACTCTGTCGAGCTCGATGGAAGAGGCGGATCGTCCGCGTCGCATGTCTGTCACCCAGCCGCACCTTCCGCCAGTCCCGTCCAACTAAGCCCGCCCCATTCACTTTCAGAGCTTGACTTCTTTTTCTTTTTCTTGCTCCCAGTTTCATCTCCATCTGAAACGAACGACCGTCCGCTTCGTGCTGTCGCTCTCCCGACCCATTCCCTCGTAAATTTGTCTCATGGTTTTCCTGTAATCACCCCGCACATCTTCTGTTTTCCAATAGTTTGTCTCCACATTTATACACAAAAGGTTGTAATCGTCCAGTTTTCCTTCAGTTTCTCCCATTCTGCCGCATTCTGGAATTCTTGCTTCGTTTTGTAAACTGTAATCTTTCCCCTTTTCTCCGTCTCCCTCTCCATTTCTCTGTCGGCGTTTCCAATGTTCACACCACTATTTTATTCGTTTAATATTCAATAAAAAAGGTAGAAAAGACAGAGAAGGTGTGAAATAGAGAATGTACATGTACGTAAACGGAGAGGAAAAATATCACACTAGGCAACAAATGGGAGAAAAATATTCGGGGCGACAACTTTAGACGTTGTCTTCACGATCGCCTCCGGTGTAGTTGTACTTGTCCGTGAAAAACGAGTAGGATTTCAAAACTATCGTCAGAAACCAGACTTCGATTATGACCACGGCGAGCGAGATGAAGATTTCGAGCACAATCAGCAGCTCTTCTTCTGGAAAATGTTAATTTTGCAGATTTCCGAGAAAGTTTTGATGATTGGGGTACCTAGAGAATTGTATCCGTTTTGGTCCGGATCGTCGAGAATTCCGGGCTTAATGCCCATGATTAAGGCAAGGAAAAGGACAAACAGAAGGCCAATGAGGAGGCACTGAAAATAAATATTGTGCTATGACCTCGGGTGAAGCAGGAAACCCCTCACATAACAAGGCGTCGCTTCCTTGTCAAAAGTGGATCAAAACTATACTCTTCTGAAACCCTCACCTGAGCAAGAACATAACCGGTGAGCAGTTTGCGGCTCTCGAGTTTGAGCCCGAACAGTAGAATAATGGCGGCGACGAGGCATAACGCGGCGAGAAAAATCTCGGCGGCCAACTCGATTCTCGACTTTTCCGTTCCGATGCACTTCACGAGCCACGTGAAAATGCCGCTGCACAGCAGAATGTGAAAGATGGCGATGAGGGTGGCACCCGTCTGAAATCGGGCGGTAGATGCCATCAAGAATGAGAATTAAAAGGAATGAGCTCCGAATGAAGAAGAAGAAGAAGAAGAAGAAGAAGTAAGAAAAGATGCGAGGTAGCCTAATTTGTTGTCTTTTTTCAGGAGCTCCTCCGCTTCTCCTCACACATCCACACACAAAAACAATCGGGCATGCAATTAGGAATTATTCAAGAAGAACTCGTTCGTGTACTCGGTATTTCTTCTTTTTTCTGTCATGCGTATTTTCGGGGAATTTTTAAGGAACTTGCCGGCCATACTTCCTGTATTAGGGTGACGAACTTACATTCGAGTGCAATTGCTGGAAGCAGCACGCGTATTGGGCGTGAGCCGGGTTGAAGGAAGCATTCGGCGACCGTTGTTGGGGTTTAGGCACGCAGGGCATTGACTGACATTCACTGAAATCCTCATTCGTTTATATCTTCAAATGTTTTCTAATTTGTGAATAGATTCATCTAACACCAACTTGTGTAGCTCTGAATAATGTTTCAAGGGAGTATGACTGAGCATTTCGAGTGTAAGAAGAGGAGAAGAAGATAAGAAACTAACCAGAAGATGAGTTTGCATGTATAACAGAATGTAGACCTCATTTCACAGATTACCTATATTAGTAGGGAAAGTAGAGTTACGGCAAAAGGAAAGTAGAAGATTTTACTTGTTCTGTTTGTCCTAAGGCTCATTTTATTCCGATTTTTCTCATTAAGAATTCAATTTCATTTTGTTTTACGACAAGTGCCGATTGTGTTTACCACAATCAGATTGATCTTTGAAAAAGGATACACGATAAGTATGGTGAGCGTATAAATTTGAAAAAAATTAGACATCGAGCGAGAGGGTGGAATTGGAATGTGGTAAGGGCTCGAAATAATATGAAGAAGGGACACATATGCGCCAGTGTTTAACGATCAGCTCCAGAAGAGACCTAATGAAGTGAATGAAGAGCATTCGCGAGCGCTTTTTTTTACATATATTTTATGTGTGGCTTTGAAAGTTGAAGTGAAAGTGAAAGCTAGAAAAGGATAGAGATCAGTTTGAGACAGAAGTGGAAAAATATTCATTTCTCTTGCACCCACGCGCAGGACTCCCAGTCTGTCCGTCACCTTTGATGAAATGGAATGAAAATGAAAGTTAGCCAGCCACGCACGCCTGACTTGTTATCCTCCTTCACCCCCGAGAACGCATGTGTGAAATTTGAGACTCGCGCCGCCGTTATTTGGTGCTCCGAGTGATTGATAGGGAAAAGAGGAGAAATAGGTTCTGGGAAGAGGGGCGTCGGACACATGTGGAAATTTATATCCACGGGAATGATCATGATGATGATGTGTAATAAACTTGAATAACGAAGTATTGGAACTCAGGTCCTGGCTTTTGGAAGGCCTGTTGAGACCTGGACCTTTGGCACAACTTGGCAATCTTGAAGTATATCCAAGCTTTACCTCCGAACAAGTTTATTTTATCGCTCTGAAACGTGAACCCAATTTACTTTTATCCAAGTTCATAAAGAAAAGTTTTTTTCTATACTGCAAGTCAGTCAAAAGTACAGGCCTTGGTAGGCTTACAAAAAACCCAGCTCCGATGGAACCCTCAATTCTGGCACTCAATAAGAATCTATTCAAATGATCTTAAGATCCTTGACCAACTGCAATGTTTCATGCTCCCGTTGGTGCCTAATTGACCGAATCGCTTAGTCATTCAGTTGAAGGAACTTCCCGCTTTTGTGGTAATTGCATTGACCAGTGCAAATGAGTAATTACTGAGCAGTGGGGGAAGAAAAAAAGAGAAGGCAAGAGAAGCAAAAACTAGAGGAAAGAAAAAGAAAGAGATGGAGAAGAAGAAGAAGAAAAAAGCAATTAGAGCTGATTAGATTGTGACTCTTCCGGAACACCTGATCATTGAGCTAACGGGTCGGCTACCGTAGGAAGTTTCCTCGTGAGTTCTCAAACTGACAGCCCTCCTGACACGGATTCAGTTACCGAATTCCCACATACATTTACCTGCTCTCGGAATCAATGCTAGTCTTTGATTTCGTGTATGAAATCGCAGTCATCGCGGTGTCGGCTCCGACCGGGGGGGGTGGGGTGGCAAAAGGGCGAATGGAATGCTCCTTCTTCTTCTTCTTCTTCTTCTTCTCACTGGGAGCACGAGCACGAGCACGAAAGAAGAATGGATTCTGGTGTGCCTCCTGAGAAGCAGAGCGCAAAAAATGGGAAGGAGAGCCGAAAAAAATTAGGAGTGCATTTAAGACGGATTTGCGGTGGGGTGAGTGCTCCCGGCCAGTAAACGCCTCGGTTTTGTCGGCAGAGTCATGAATATAAAGTGAGTAGTGAGAAGAGAAGCGGATTTTATTTCGATTGGCACCCGCCACTTTCTTCTTCATTCCTCTAATCCCGAGATTTTCCTTTTTTCTTCCAACGCCATAATTGGTTCAGAATCGGAGAAAGGAATGGAAATAGAGCTCGAGCTCCCAAGCTAGCAGCTCAAAGCCTTTTGACTTCCGACTCGCGGATTGGAAACCAAAAACAACCAAAGGGGCTAAGGAGGCGAGCCTAAGACAGAAAAAAAAAACATCCGAGAGCCAAGAAGCCGGGGGCTGCAAAGACGAAGGACACAGTAGATTGAATTCGGTGTGCCCGATGCAATTAGATCAGGAGGGAAAAAAACAGGAAAATAGTAGGTATAATGGAGAAACATTCGATCATCTAATCCGATTTGGTGCTTGAGAAGGAGGAAAAGAGAAAAAATCAGACTTGCCGTCGCCGGCCTGGATCTTACTTTTAGTACTGAAAAACGTCTTTGTCAAGTCTGGAAATAAAAGAAATCACACAAAGAAAGAGAAAAAGAATCTGAATCCCAGTCTCAATGAGCGTCTAGACCAATTCGAGTCAAAGTTTCTGGAAAATGAGATGTTGTTAGATCAGAATACATGAGGGAGGAGGGGGAGAGCATAGAATTACGAGCTGAAAGATGAGATGAATTAGTGCGTGTGTGTGTGTTGAATTAGTTCACACACACACACACACGCACTGAATTCAACTCTTATTTACATATGGCTCGTCTCGCTCTCTTGTTGTTGGGCTCCGTTAGATTCGAGAATCTGATTTTGATGGTTGAAAAGAAGGCAAAAAAGAGCTTTACACTTTTCACCTTGTATGCGTGAAATTCTGCAAAAATGCTCCGGAAAAGATACGTGATTTTCTCACGATGATGTCAGTACAGACTCACAGGATCATTGGGTAAAGATTTCCGACTTTTGACCTCTGATTTCTTATTCACATGCCAGTATAACAGAAAAACAGAAAACATGTGGAACAGGACGAAAAGCAAAAAAGAATGTGGAATGAGTTTTAAAAGTACATTCTCTACCGTAGTCGTCTAGAAAAAGATGTGAGCATCCGATAGAACTAAAAGCGAATGAAACGAAGACTGACGTCAATGATACAGAATATATTGAGAAGACGGAACATCGGCAATGATGTCAAGCGGATGCGAGACACGTTGTCTTGATGAAAAAGTGGATGAAATTGAATGAAAATGTTCAGAAACATGTGGAGCTTCTTTACAACGACAAGAACAGAAGAGAAGTGTTCTTGTCACTCGGAGCACCGCCTTGCTCCGGAACTAACCACTGCTCAAAAAGAGGATGATGACGTGAACGGAAGGAGCCGGCATGAAATTATGATCGAGCGGTCCACTCATTTTTGATGAGAATTAGTGGGATATGCCAGTTTCAGTTTCAGTTTAACAAGACGTTTTTTGCAAAGATCATGACGACTTGACAGCAATAAATGTGCTCAGCTTGATGCGATAAAAATGAGCAGGTATGAAATGAAGTGCACTTAACGACTTTCTATGTAGTCTGTCATGAAAATCCAATCGGATATTTTCATCCCACCGAGAGGCGGCGGCTGGTTCCGGAGTAACAACTGAGCGCTGTCAAAACACATGTTTTGCCTCCGTGATCGCGAAAAATAACAAATCAGACAGGCGCCATCGAGTTGCTCGCTCAGATTTATATATGAACTTTGAAGTTTTGCGCGAGGCGAAAAGAAGAAGAGAAATGAATTTGGTGTGGTGGTGTCGCGGCTGACAAATAGTGACTGGGGACCCACTTATTGACAAAGAGTCCCTTTTTCTCCTCTTTTTCGGGTGGCGGGCGATTTAGTTGTGTTTTGGGTAAGCAACTTGGTATTAGTGCAAACGCTCAAAAAACAGGGAGAGTGATGAGGTTTACAGAAGAAAAATTGCAAGGACAGGATCGAATCGATAAGCAAATTTTTCAGCTGGACGGTTCAAAATTCCAAATTTTCTTTCCCGGGTTTGAAAAGTTCGAAAAAATGAGCGACTTTTCAGATTTTCTACTCGGAAAAACGGATTAATCGCCAATCTACAGTGTCCTATTTTCTTAACAAAACCTAAAGTTTTGAGATTTCAGTACGTGCTATGGATCCAAAGAGACATAGTGAAACAGTATACGGAAAAAAGGCACGTGGGCCGAAACAACTAGTAGCCGAAATTGAGTAGCAGAAAAAAGAAACGATGAGGGGAGAAGTGGAAATAGAACCTGATGTAACCAACTTAACAAACGATGACGACGTCGGTACGTAAAAGCAAATGAAAGGAGACTGAAGAACACGTAAACAATTGAAAAAAGAGTCGGGTAGACGTCCAGATGCAGAAAATCCGTGTTGATGAGACGAAAACGGACCCCGTCCCGTTCTATTCATTCCTTTCATACTTCTTGAATATGACAAAGAAAACCTCCCGTTATGATGAATAGAATGAAATAGAAAAAAGGCGAAAATATGCAAAAACGGGGAATACATGAAATTCGCGAAGAAAGTTCCTCCCTGGAGTAAAATTTTCGGTCCAACTTGTTCTGTTCTCCCCCACTTTTCTTGGAAGAGGAGGAAAGGAAGGGAAGGGCAATAGAATTTTCGATTCTTTGGGAGAGAAGAAAAATGCAATACTTTTTGAGTTGGTTTAAACGGAATGGAGTAGTTCATCTTCTTTTCCCTTTTTGTGCAAGGGGAAGCATTTTTTCTTTTTGGAAAGGACGAGTTAGAAGTTGTTCTCAGAACTGAAAACTGCATGGTGTCAGAACTATGTAACGTGCTCCGCTAAAAAAATTTACTTCCAGAAAATAAACACAAAAAGTGATTGGAATGGCAACAAAAGTGAGGGTGGAATAAATTCCTTTTTTCGTGTGTGCACGTGTGTCATTTGTTTCTATACTGGTCTATGTATTCTCCTGGTCAAATTGAAGTATGAATAATAAATGGAATGTGCAGTGAAAGCAATTACCGTAGTCCCCCTAAAAGTTGCAAATTGTCTGTTTTTGTGGCGTTTTTCTCTTTTTTCCACTCACCTAGCATACTTCATTGTTTATAAGCAGTTGGAATGAATAAAGAGGAGACACTCACCCAAAGAGCATGTTTGAAATGGAGACCGCGTCCTAGGATATTGTAGCCATGGAGTTTGGAGGAGGAGGAGAAGAGGGGCACGCACTGAAATATGGACAGAGCCAATTAAGACCACAAACGTTTGGACGGGAAATGAAGAGGAGGAGAAAGAAGAAGAAGAAGAAAAAGCACAAAAAAAGTGGTGGAGTAAAAGTATAATTGATATTTGACATACTGAAAGAAATATGGAAGACGGAATAGGAAATTCAGTTTAACACAGCTACCTACCGTACTGCCTGAAATATGTGACTGAGCCAATCTGACTAATGTTGTTGGAAACTAAACTTCCAATCAATCTTGAGATCTGCAATCCTTCTCATCTTCCAGCTTCCGTTGCTCCGTCTTTCATTGCTTTCAATTTGCCTAACAGCTACGTGCTTAGTACATCCTTCGGTTGTAAAACGAAAATAAAATACGAGCGAGGCGGAACACAAAGAAGCGGGGGTGAAAAGTGAAGAACTTGACAAAGCAAGTGGAAGCCATGCCACCCGTTGCGGACCGAAAAGACAAGACAGCTCGTCCGTCCCTCTTTTTTGTTCGGAAGATCGCGTTCAGATGAAATGAAATGGAATGCGCTAAAAGTACCACTTGAAACATGAAAATCAGTTCGATCGAACTGGAGCAAGCATTTTTGGAAACTTTGTTCAATGTCTAACCCAACAAATCCGGAGGGTAGACATGATTTGTGATGCCGTGACGTGATGTGGTCGAAAAAAGGTCCGCATAAACGGCTCTTAAGAGGGTAGCGGAGCACTACCATAAAAATTGAAAAAAAAAACGGAGAATCCGTAGGTGATCAGACGAGTTCTTCATATGAGGGCAAACATTCAAAATACACACACACACACACGAGGCGAATGAAATCTTTTTCAAAATTTTGTGATTCAGTATCGAACGTTCCAGAACATCTCTTTCAAAAAGTTCAAAAAACACACCTCCGTCACACTTCCGACTACATACGTAGGAAAATGAGGTTTGTGGCCTGCTCGGAACAAAAACGGGAATGTCAACCAGATTTCGACACTCGTCTCTAGTTACTTGGGAACTCAGAATCCAGAAAAGTAAGGGGGTGTGAGTCAGGATTTTTAGATGGATTTGAGACGGAAACAGGTGCAGGAAGAGAGGTAAGTTACGAAATAAAGAGAAGGGGGTTTTGGAGAAGAAAAAAAGGGAGGTGTTGGCGGTAATTTGAAACCACAACGAATGTGCTGGGTGTTCTGTTCCAGCTCTTAGAGTAAGCTGCAGAATCTGAAGGCTTCAGAGAATCTCAATCTTTAAAAAACTTGAAAAGTGGACGCCACGCACACAAAAAGTTTGCATTCGATCATTTTCATCTTCATCTCGTTGCCCTCCTTGCTTCGCCGCAGGTTCGTCCGTCCTCGTCGAGGTGTAATCAGAGAAGCACAAGCACAAAAAAAGAAGCGCTGAGGGGGAAGAATGTGAAACCTGGGGCAGGTAAACGGCGACGACGACGACGACGAAGACCGAGGACACGGAATTGTTATAAAACATATGCCCGCTTGCCTCCCGTGTGTGCCTCTGGCTGCCAGATCCTCTTTTTTTCTCTCTTTGACACTTGTCGTTTGACCTATAGTCTGAAGCAGGTCTGGAGCCGTAGAGAAGGAGAAAGACATGACAAAAAGCAGTGAAAAACATGACACAATAAATCTCTGTCAGCATGATTCTCTCCTGGTTAAACACTGCAGGTTATCAGACAAATTGCAATGCGTCTACCTTCTCTTTGCCAAGAATTGCAATTTTCTAGACAAGAAGAAACACATGTGTTTTGTTTTGTTCTCTTCTGTTCCCAAAGGTTTATTCATTGGAAAATGTCAACCCACAGAGCGAGTGAGAGAGATAAAATTTACACAATATATATATAATCGGTTCCTTATGTTTCATCAAGAAGCGCTTTTTGTTTTGTCATTTAGTTTTCAAGACACTCGTAATTTAGTTATCATGAGCTTGATCAGGATGGTTGAAACCCTGATCACTAGAGAATAGCATTGTACATTTAAAACTGTGACGGGAAGAAAGGTATACTGTACCGTTGTGTATATCACTACTTTGCTGGTGGGGGGGGGGGGAACTACAATATCTCATCTCAAATTTGTGCTTAAAGACGATAGAGAAGGTATCCAAAAACCAAAATGATGAAAGACATAAGATGAAGAACATTTCTTGGAATCTCAAGAACATCCTCCTTGGCTCGCTGGTTCATCTCATTTTTCAACTCTGCGTTTCTCTTCAATTCCTCTTGCAGTTGGCGTTGAACCTGAAATAAAATGAGAAATAGACCTTCGCTTCTCTTCAGATACGCTTACACTCGACACATACTCCAACGCCTCTTCCCACTGCTTCAAGAGCTGCTCATTTTGGAGCTCGAGCCGCTCGCGATCCACCATCGCCTGCTCGAGTCGCGTCTCGCATTTACATGGCGATTTGTTAGAAGCAGAACGGAAGCGGTCACGATGGCAGTCGTCGTGGGTGTGGAACAAAGATGAAGACGTGATGATTCCGCCGCCACTGCTACTGCCGCTTTTCTCGGATGAGCATGGGGACGTCGAACTGCTCGAAGCGACTATTTCTCGCTCGATTACTGTGATTTCGCTTTCGCTTGTGATCGAATCCTGGAAACTGACACTTGGGAATCTTAATTTGCTAAATTTTAAGGTGATTTGATAGAATTCTTTGTTTTACCAAACTTTGACCTTAAAAGTGAGATGTAATCTAACCATAGTTGTCAAGCTCAGGGCCCACAGGGCCCGGATGGCCGTGAATTCCGGGCTAGGAAAAAAATAACCAAAGATCGAAAAAAACATCTAACCGTATCATATTTGTTGTTATTATCGCATCGAATCGCCTGTAATTGCGTCTGCGATGCCGATTCGTTCTCGAGAATGTCGATAAGGTGATTCTGCTCGAAAATCAGTCGTTCCTTGCCTTTTATCTCCTCTTCAAGTTGTGAAATGACGTTTTCACGCATCAGAAGCTAAAAAAGACATTCAGCTATCAATTTCAAACGGTTACCGTACCTTGTCATGAGAAATACTCAACTGAGCTTCGAGTTCGGACATCTTTGCCTGGTAGTCGATGCTATCCATCATCTGAAAATGGAAAACTCTCGAAAGCCAAAGTGAAAACGAGAAAAGAACGATGTGATGCGATGGTTTATGTTTGATTTCCCGGTTTATACCCGAACGCGCTATAAAATGTTGCTGAGAAAAAGTAGAAAAATGACTCTTTGTGGGTGTATCTGAGATTGAATTCAATGAAGAAGTGAATAAATGTATTCAGGACAGAGAGAGAGAGACACACAAAATTTTTGAAAGAAAAGTGGAAAGATGCGATTAATTAGAAGAGGATCGCGGAAGATTGATACGAAGAACAAAATGGAACAAGGAGAAGGAGAAAGAGACAAAAGGCTTGCAAAACTGGGCAAAAGTTTAGGAAGGAAAGGGGGGCGGGGAAGTGAAGAAAAAACGGATGGCAAGGATATCAATCACAAAAGGAAAAAGAAAAAGGAGACTTTTGTTTGGTTTGCCTCCGCTTGTTAGTTGAATTGGTGAAATCCAAGTTTCCACCTCCGTCGAAGAAAAAATTTCATGCTCCGCCACTTGTCAGTTGACCGGAAGGTGCCCTTTCCAAGAGAGTGAGTGGCCAAATAAACTCAATCCATTCCGCTTTTTTCGTTTTTTTTTCACTCTGTTTTGTTTGACCTTTGGATTTCAAATTTCGAATTTCGGCAGAACGAATGAATGGAACAGAGGGAAAAATGAATGTTTGGTGGTCAATTGATACGTCAGAAGTAAGAGGGGGAGGGGATCAAATCGGAACTAAACTGAAGAAGGAGGAACAAGAACAATGGCGCGGAGAAGAGAGAGAAAGTAGAAGGAAATTGGTTGAGAACGATAGGAAGGAGATGTGGTGTGGAAATGATGGATGGATAGTATCGGAAGTGATATCAAAAACTTGAAAGATACGGTTTTTCTTTTGGTTTTTCATTAAAACTTGAGAAACTGATGCATCACGTGAAAATAGGATCATCTTTCAAAGTAATTAATTCGGGTTCAAATTGGAATGGCTAGACAGTCAAAATTGACGCTGCTCTCATTTTTCTACCACCAAAGTTTACTCCGAAATCATTGATAAAACTCTCTATCAATCAAAGAGTACATAGTCAGAGTGGCAGCAAGACAAACTATTTGCCGAAATGTCAAATAGAACCTGTTTGACCCGCACCCAAAAACTCTCTTCAACTTTGATCTGATCCTAAAAGAGAGAAAGAGTCAAAGTGAGTTTGAAATGAGAAAATGAAAGCTCATGAATCTTTTCTTTGATAATGTTTGTTTGTGCACTTTTCCCATAGAATGGGGGTGAAACGGAGCCATAGAGCCCCCAAATCTTGAGAGCGTGGATAAGATGAATGGCGGGAGAAAAAAGTGCGAAGAAAACGGAAAAAGGGGAAAAGGGAGGTCTCTCGGCCCGGTTGTCATAACAATCTGTCCTCCCGTCACTTTGGATGCAACATGTCATTTTGTGCGGATCTCATTTCGCAATAGTTGTTAGTTAGTTCATGTTTGCGTGTGAATGGGGCGAGAGCCAAGCGCCCAGACGCACGAGCAAACAATAAAATGCATATGTTTTCGTGGTCCGCACTCCTCATCATCATCATGAGCCGAACCCCGGAAGAGAAAACTGAATATAACAAAACGAAGAAGATAGGATGGAAAAATGAGTGAGAGAGAAAGCTATAAATGTTGTGAAAAAGCAGAACCGCAATAGCAAATCAAAACGATTCACACAATGACAGTTCGTTTGGCAACGAACAAATAAATCCCGATGCTCGGCGAATAGGTCAACAGAGGCAAGGAGCGGCGCGATTCGTAGTAGGAATAGGAGTAGTACTCACTCAAAGGTACGTAATTTGAGAAGTGACCCACTGGCATTATGTCTATACCACTGGAGCCCTTCCTTCTTGTCGCTTCCGATTTATTTTCATTTCGAAAAGGCGAAAAAGAAGCCATTTACCAGGGATCGGAGCGGAGTGGCGATCTGGGCGGTGGTGGAGTGATAAATAAACGCTTAGCCGTTGTCATTTTACACTCCGCTACATGATCGGGTCAATCGCCACCCCATTGCGTTGCATTGCGTTGCAACAGGCTAGCTGGGGAAGAATGTTGCCAGCAATACATACTTTTATACCTTTTGCCAATATCTAGAAAGTGTGATAAACCAATGATCCTCCTCCTTCCTGTATTCTTCCTCTTCTTCCTCAACTTCTCACTTTTACGGTGGCAGTGTTGCGTGAAATTGAAGATTATCGCTATAGCGCAAGGAGGGACGGAAGGAGAACAACAGGATTCTGACAATCCATACCACAAGGTGTTGGATATCTCACTTGCAGAAAAACTGAAAAGAAAAGAATGAGAAGGACTAAAGGTTGGACACAAAGTTTCGGATTACTCCTTCATACTCCTTCTGCACAGATAAGAGATGAGTGCAAAGTGAGTTGCGTAAGATGAAATTGACATGGGACTTGCTTGCTGGATAGCCCGAACAGCGGACAACAACTGTTACCCCGGAAGAAAGGGACCCCATCGAACACACACGCAGTACACTCGGGCACCGGCGGGGACGGGCACTCAAATTCATTTCATTTCAAATTTCTGACTTTGTGCTTGTGCTCCGGGAGTGGGATGGATGGGTTGTGCATGCTGATAACAGACCAGTTGATATACAAGTGTAGTACGTCACAATGTGTCGGCGCTGGGCAGGCATAGGTATTTAGAGAGGATGCAGGTGGAATTGAAAGTTTATATTATACATACGACTGGAGAAAGTGTGAAATTGAGACTAAACTACATAAAACTTATGATCAAGGCTGGGCAAACGGCTTGTCGCGGCTTTTTTTGGCCTAAACTCTAAAAAGGCCGGACTATTTTCAATAAAATGGATTTTCCGCCCTAGTTTATCTCTCGAACATTGTGTGGTTCTAAAAGACCTTTTACCTATCCCTAGTTCTGCTCAATTTGCAAATCACATTTTTCGGTTTGCACTAGCTAATCTTAATGGAAAAAGCAATTTTTTGAGTGAAACATCTGAAAAATCGAACATTTTTGCAAACACGTTGAACCCGGGCTGGTCTGACGGGCTGATCCTCTCTGTAAGTTCATGAGAATTACAAACAGAGTGGCTGTCAAATTTTCATTCAAAAAATCACAAACCACACGACACAGCAAAACAGCACAAATGTGCATGAGGTGTTGATAAGAAGCAGACAGTTTCTCGCTCTCCAACCAGAATAAACATACTGGACAGTATAAAAGTGTAAAGAAAGTGGAGAATGTTTTGGGCAAAGGGAAAGACCCCCCGAAGAAGGTATTTGTATGACGGCGAGACTGCGCGGAGACTACACACATTTACAGAGAACAAAACTGACTATGCGTCATTCGTTTCTGGTGTTCACCAGCTACAAAATCAAAGAAGAGTAGAATTTTGTGACAATGATACTGTTAGGATGGATGGTGACGTATTAGTCACAAACCATGGACATAAGAAGTAGAGATCAAGGGTATTTGTGGAGGAAAATGATTTTGAAATGATGTCATTCTATAAGTTTCCAGTTATATTCACACTTTTTCAGAAAAGTTGGAACAATCAAAAACAAATCGTATAATTACAATGTTTCGACCTTGAAACAGTCATTTTCGAGTGAGTATTTGCCGATTCTACTGAAGTTTCGAGAATTGTATTCATGTTCAAAATTCATTGTTCCGTTATATACATCACAAAACACAAAAAGATGCCACGCCACAGAATTTATGACATTTGGCAGCCGGCGGCTCGAACCGCTGCACAACATCCATTGTAACTCTCGACAAGTGAAGCGATCAGAGATGGGCAGGATTGCTGTAAACTATTTTTGCATTTCTACCGTACTCCCGCAACTGTTACCTGAGTAGAAACCCCGTCATATTGTTGTCTGGAGCTCAAGTAAACCTGCACATATTCTTGGCACCAGTACGGATCCGAAAGGGCGCATCTCGCTAAAATAACTTTTTTTTTGTTTGTGTGTTGCTTGTCGGAGTAAGAAAGTATTTACTCTTGTTAGCTGGGTGGGTGAAGGTTTATTTACAAAACAGATGGAAAGAGACAACACGTCGGGTGGGAGGATTGCGTTGGAAAGACAAATAAATGTGTGTACAGTCTGAGAGAAGGTTTGGAAGGAGCTCAAGTGCAAAATGAATGCAAAAATAGTGAAGTGAGGTGAGGTATGTAACGTGGCAAGAAGGTTACTGTAGCGTGTTTTGTCTATCTACCCGTTGTGCTCATTGTCGTAGTGCTCGGCTGATCGAATTGCACTCCAGTTCCTGCTGTACCAAATGAGCTTGACGATGATCCAGTTGGCAGATTGTAGTTGGTAGATGTGCTGAAAATATGACTCTTTAAAAGTAAATGTTCAAAAATCAGTTTAGTAAAAAGTTACGGTGAGTGGGTGAACATTGGTGCAACTCCACTCACCGGTAAGGATAGTACATTTCGGTATTATTTCCAGCAACGTCAAAAAATCTTGAAGAGAACCTGTAAACAGTCTGCCCGTTGCTATTCGTATTGGTGTTTGTGTTTGTGTTCGTATTCGAATTAGCGTTTCCATAGAAAATATCGTTCGATCCGGCGTCACGGAACACTCCAGAATTGGAAGAGGCGCTGTTAAGAGCTGGACCCGGAAGTGGTCCAGTTCCACGGAGATTCAGGGTGGCCGGAGCTGCTTGGTCACGAAGTCTGGTCGTCTTAAGGTCAGATGCACTGACATATCCGGTTTGGGCATTTTGCGGTTGGTCGAACAAGGTGTAAGTACGTCCGGTGTAATAGTTACCGGTGCCGAGGTTGGAGGAAGAAGACAAGGGAGAAACCGTGGAGCTGAAGGTGTTGAAGTTGGAGCTCTGATCACGGAGCACTGGGTTTGAGCTGGATGATCCGGATGGAGCGTACTGGCCGAATGGGTACACGTACGGTTGAGCTGTGGCAGATGGAGCTGTAACTCTCAAAATTTGGTTCAAACGTTATCTTGAATTGGCTTACCGGAATACAGAACTTGGTTGTTGTAAGTGTTACTTCCAGTTGAGCTCCCAGTGCTTCCAGAGCTGTAGGCGTACCCATAAATGTTGCTGCTAGAGGAGGAAGATCCAGTAGTCGAGTAGCTTGACGGATTCCTCTGTACAATTTGCTGATAGTTGACTTGATTTTGTTGCGTATTAGAGAGAGCTGGTCCGGTGTAATATCCCGTGGCTGGGACACTAGAAGAGCTGGTGACAATCCCATTAGAGCTTGAACTTCCCGAACCGGAACCACTTGTTGAAATTCCTTCTGGAAATCAAAATATTATTTGTTTTCAAAATACAACAACTTTAGGAACTCACGTTGCTGTTCGTAACTCCTGAGCTCTTCGAGATAAGTCTGAGAGTATTCGTTGGCAAGTTGATCGTTCAAGAACTGATAATTAGGGTTTTGTACCAAGAACAACCCATTATCAGAGTTTCCGGTATTACTGGTATCGTAGCCGTAAATGTTGCCCGCAGAGTTTTGACAGTGAACGGACAAAAAGGAAAGACAAACTGAAAACAAAACGCAACTTGCATAATACTCGATGAAACTGTATGAAATACCTAAGACAACTGTGGAAATCATTGTACTGGATGTTCCTAAGCAGCAGATGTGATGAGTAACCCAGGGACTTTTGAAAGCTTATATAGTAACTTGGAAAAACTGGTTTTTACAACATATATTTAGAAAATAGGCGGGGTTGGAATGACTCTTCACGAGAAAAAAAAAAGAGTAAGAGAGTAAAGTAAGCATGGATGATCCTAACAAACTTCTCTTGCCGTTATTATTTGTTGTTCGCAATGCTCTCCCTCTCCGAGTCAATAGTGCCCGCTGCCAAGTGTCTAAAGGCAAGTTCATCGGGCGACTGAAATAGAAAACGCCCTTCCTCGATGATTGCTCAAAGTTAGCTAGGGGAAAAGTTTGAAACTGTTTGACAGTGGATTCGAGAGTGTTAACACATCGAATGCATGCAAACATTGGGGCTGGTGGAACACGATCATTGAAACATGTTGGCAGGCGGAGACCTCCCAGTTCTTACAACCTGCAGACATAGAAACATCTCTTTCAACGAGTTTTTTGTAGCGATGGGTGTTCCGATCAAAAATTGAGAATTTGCACAGTTCAGTTCCGAAACTATTTCTTTCTTACTTCAGTTTTACTCTTATTTCAAACATCGGATGAATGACACATACTAGGATTCCCGTTTCAGACGAAACCTCATGAATCGAACACCTGGTGTTCTTGGTCATTGGCATCTTTGGTGGTTTTCTTTCAAAGTGATGCGTATTCTACGAAAGCAGCCATTTTGATGACGTATTTCATTGTTTTGGGAAAACTGAACGACCAGGGAAAACCTATAAAAGTGTTCCTTTTTTTCTTTTTCTGTTCCAGTCGTCTGGTCGTTTCCTACCAACAGGTTTTGAGGAAATTTCTGAGCTTGTTCATGTTCAGTTTAACAGTTATCAACAAAGTACATTCCATAAATGCCAAATTCTTAACTTTAATACGGTTTTCTGTAAAACCAGCCGAAACGATAATTGAACTGGACGTCTGGATCTGTCCAACTACTATCTCCGCTATTCTAGCTCAGATTATGGTTTCCTCAAAGGTTTCGCAATGGTGCCTTATGACGTGCCTGCAGCAGAGACAGCGTCCTCCGAAAATTGTTTTGTTGAGCTCCCGTTGCTATTGGTGACTTTAGGGACTTCGCCTCGGGAGAACACGACACATATTCAGTCATGCTCTCCAACATGGACTTCTCACGTTGTCCCACATGTTTGGAGGATTACGGTAGGAACAGCGTTCATGTGATCCGTATAATTTTATTGTTATTCAGATGACAACTCTCATCGACCGTGTATTGGGTTTTGTGGTCATTCCATTTGTCTCAAGTGCCAATCCAGAATTGTGTAAGTTTTTTTTTTTGAAAATCAAATCAAAATCAGAAAAGATAGCGTTCAACGTATATGGTTTCCAGAAGCTGCCCACTATGCAAACGGAAGAATGCATTCTTCGGAACTGTCATCAATTATCAACTTCTAGGTAAGCACAACTCCTAGCAAATTCACTAACCGATTCAGAAACTTTCAGACTCCTGTATGGCTGTCCGTCAACTGATCAATGAGAGCAAGAGTCCAACAGAGAAATCGCCGATGCGTGGAAGAGCAAATAGCCAGAAGAGAACGACGGAAACTCCGAATATTTCACAACAGGTTCAAATTTTACACGTTTTTGACAGTCTTGAACTTTTTCAGGTAGTGAATGCTACTCGTCGCAACAGACGGACTGCTATGGAGACATCTGTGGACAAAACCCAACAGAGAGGTCGGTTTTTTTTTGTAAACTATCATCTTATTCTAAGCATTCTCAGAAACTGAAAACAACTGGATTTCTCAGCACATTCCGGCGCCTGAAAACCGCCGAAGAGACCGATCCCTTCGAAGACTTTCCGAACGAATCGGTAACCACTGTCTAAGAATTTTACATGCAAATATCTGTTCAGTTGCTACCGAGCAAGTCCCTGTCTACCAATACCGTGCCATCTACAGTATCCCACAACCGGAGGTACGTGGAAACGTGAACTTTCAGACTTTTCACGGCTCGGTCCATGCTTCACACAGTTTTGTGCGAATTCCTATTCATCAGTGTAGAAACAGTAAAAAACAATAACTTTTTGGATGATAAACCAACATTTTTAATTTTTGTCTGGCCAGAAACTTTCGCACTCGACCCGGTTCTGGATGTGACTAGTCTGAAAACAGTGTCATCAGAAACCCCAACTGAACGTGAATAATTCAGAACTTTGCTGCGCAAGGAATTCCACCCGCCTTCAACCGAATGTTTTTTGGCCGTTCCTGCTTTGAAATCTGAATTTGTCCCCCTCCGGATCACTGACTCGACTGACATGAATAAATCTTTTATTTGTATCATTCTTCAATGTGTAGGAGAACAAGACAGGAGAAGAAGTTTCCCACGGTTCCCCACGTCAGTCGCCCCCAGAAACTGGAGTGGTAATCCGAAACCGGTGGCGTTTTTCTCGAGAGCAAGATGAACTCGTCACACAACGGCTGATTCATTCCGATGGTCTTCTTCAGTTTTTTATCCTGCCTGGCCCGATCCTCCGATTGCTTTCGGTTGGATTCACATTTTTGAACCACACAAGAGACTACATAATTAAAATTCTGTGGCCAGTGTTCCGTTTCCTTTTGTTATCCACTTTAATTTTTCAGAAATTTTTTATTTTCTCCTTCCTCTTTTTCTCTTCTCTTGAAAAATTTATTAGTTTTCTTGAGGTACTATATATAAGGCGTACAAAACACAAACGCTTGCTTCAGTTCTCTCAGAACAATGCTCAAATTCGCCGTTCTCGCCCTCATGCTGGGTCTCCTGGTCCTTCTCTCCACAACAACTGTCAATGCCCATTTCCCGGTGTACAGCCTTTACAAGGAGCGGAAACCGGTTGATTTGGTAAGTTACGAGTGATGTCATTGCTGATTTAAGCACTTAATTGGTTTCAGTTCCAAGCCCTGGCAACTGCCCGACAGGCAAAACGACGTGCTGGCGGTTTCGAGGAAATTTATGACATACCACTGTCCGGTTTATATTCGAGAAACTGAATGGACTGATACAATAATTTGAATAACTTTGAGTTAACGTTTCATGCTCCAATGAAAATGCTTTCTGTTTGTTATCAAAACATCTTTATTCAGATCAAAATCCTTCAAAATAAACATTAGTTCTTAAAATTGCCCAAAACAAAAGAACGGGCCGGGCAAGGACAGTATGACGCGTCTCCTCCAACTTTTCCACCTCTTCCAAGTCTTCCGGGCTCCCCGGGAGCTCCTCTTCTCCCATTTTCTCCTCGGAACCCAGGAGGACCCATCGGTCCGGGTAAACCGGGCTCTCCAGGTGATCCACGTCGTCCAGCTGGTCCTGAATACACCAATTTACCAGCTATAAACTGAGATTTGGTCTCTCACCCATTGGTCCCGGTGGTCCTGGTCGTCCTTTGATGATTCTATCCGGTTTCATCACGTATCCATCTCTTCCATTCTTTCCGTCAATTCCAGGAGGACCCGGTTTGCCTAAAGAGGTTTGAATTTGTTTTTCCGGAGAATTGCGAGAGAATGATCATCAAAACCCTATTCTATTTGTGTGAACTTTTCAAAAAAAAGTTCAAATGTGAACGGACGGGAAAAACAACGCTTAAAGTGTAATGATCTCTGGTGGTCCTTAGTGGTCAGTGAAAAACAAAACTAACCTGGTCTACCCGGGTCGCCGGGCTCTCCTGGTGGTCCTTGAGAACTTTGGAAGTTTGAGAATACCGTACCAGGTTCACCACGTCTTCCAGATTCACCTCTCCTTCCATCAACTCCCATTCTGCCTCTTCTTCCTGGTGGACCTCTGGGGCACATGATGCACGCCAATCTCTCCCTCCAAACGCATTTTTTTGTGGTTAACGTCTCGTAATTGTCGATCCCCCGTCTTCCCGGCAATCCTGGCATTCCGACTTCTCCTACGCATCCCGGAGGACCCGGTGGACCTTGTGGACATCTCGGAAGTATGGGCTCACAATGACACCAAGCGGGAAACCCGGCAACTTGACGGCGAAATGATTTCTGCATGATCCGATCCATGAAAATTGACTTTTTTGTGACGCTCCGTTTCTGAACTGGATTCAGATTTTCATAATTAGCTTCCATTAACTGCTCCCATGCAATATTTGTTGTCACCTACAATAACAAACTGATCTATCTGTCGCCAAATCAAAAATGAACTCACTGAAAACTCTGCCACACTCTTTTTGACAACAAATGAAAGTTCTGATAGCTCTTGATAAACTGTGATGAAGTAAAACGCGGCATAAAGCACTATTATTAGTGAGAACAAGGGGAAAGATATAAAAGAAACGAAATAAGGTGTCGAAAGTTGCATAACAAGTGTGTATGGTAAGAATTATGTTTCAAAAACTTCTTCGCGCGGTCATTAGAAAAAGCTTATCCGCTTCTAAAATCCTCCTCACGAATACGTGGTTGGAATAGTTATCCCGTATTACTTTTTTGTCGACTTAAACTTAAAAAGAAAAAAAACAAAAGAGATAGAGAGAGAGAGAGAAATAATGAGGGAGAGACTATACGAACGGAACACAACGATAGAAATATAAAAACCAAGAAAACCCGAAAACATTTTTTAAAAAATTCAAACCAACAGTTACAGCTTTGTGATGTATTACAAAATTGTAGAACTCGTCGAGATCTGTCAACAAACATTTTTCCAAATTTATTGAGGTATTAGGGCTCAAACCGAACACAACTATGGAAAACATGTAAACAAAAAAACGTTTTTAATAAATTAAAATCAACAGTTACAGCTTTGTGATGTACTGCAAAGTTGTAGAACTCGTCGAGATCTATTACTTTTGATTATTCCAAAACTATTCAACCATTAGTATTCGAATCGCCGGCGCGTCTGCTAAGTGGACCGATAACCGGAAAACACAAAAACATTTGTATCGTGCTTCAACTAACAGATACACATTTGTGATGTACTACAAAGTTGTAGAACTCGGCAAGCTACACGTGAAAATATTTTTTCCCGAATTATTGATCAATCATGAGCCGGGTGGCCTATATGGACTTGGCCTGAAATGGTCCAAAACGTCAATTAAACTTTTCTCGAAAAAAAATCGGACAATATTTTTTATTTTTTGATATGTTAGCGGGTCAAAATTTCAAACCGATATTGTCGGGTCGCGTAAAGTGGAAAAATACTGAAAAAAAATATGGGCGGATGCGCCTTTGTTGGCCACACCCACCATCGAAATCAGCTCGCTGACGGTTGCGTTTGAGCCGAGTTATGACGTTTTTTGTGATTTCCAGATTTGTTCGAAAAGGAGCATAACTCCCGGGCCGAGACCGTAATCGCCGTTCTGGCAAAGCTGTCCGGCGTGAAATTTGACGAGCTTTCGAATGGTGTATGATTTGAGGGGTTTTGGAGTTTTGGTTTTTGGAGCTAAGCCCAAATGACGAAGGCATAGCCTTTGCCCAAGCCTAAGCCTAAGCGTAAGCGTAAGCCTAAACCTCTTAGCCTAAGCCCAGATCTCTTAGCCTTAACTGTTAAACATACAAGGAAAAAAACACAGAGAATGTCGTTTTATAGAAAAAGTATCACAGGAGTCTGAATAGTGATAAGGAAACACGTAGAATAAATCAATTAGGCTTCAAAAGTGATTTTTCTAGGCACTTGTTTGCAGCCGATCTCTTTCATGTCGAGGCAAGAAGAAGATCTTTCCTTGGAGTGGTCAACGCTGGAAGTGTAGTGGAACGGTGTTTTTGCTTTCGGGTCGTAGTTGTAGACGGTGAGCGACTGGTTCTTCGGATCGTACTGTGAAGTCACTCGAATGGTTGACTCGCTCTGGAACGTGCTCAATTCAGGTAGATGCAGTGTGAGTGGTGGGGTTTGAGGCGCCTTCGAATGTGTTAAAAGTGCATGGGCGGTCTATTTTACGTGACAGAGCTACATAATAACTCCGTTTTTAAAACAGTTATTGCCCCTCAACTTATCAGAAAGTATGTCGTAATTCTAGAGTGTCGTTGCTTACCTCTTGCATTTTCCTCTGCGCATTCTCAGCCTTCTGAGCCAAATCGTCACGTCGCAAGGTGATGTACGAGTACCCGGATGGCGGCTTGTCAGGCGGCTCCGGTCCGTAGATCTTCGGTCCAGGCATTTTTTTGTAGAACAAGCGAGAAGTCGAGTTGGGCAGACGAAAAGGCATACAAGTGAGCTCTTTGGGATGGTCGGAACAGTGCTTTCCCACGATATGCAAATTGGGGTTATCGGGACACAGTTGACGGAGATGGAGCATGTAAAAAAAGAGACGCATTTCGGTGATACAGAATATCAGAAAGCAACGCTTTCTTTGTTCGATCACCATCGTCGAGTCTCTGCAATAGCGAGAAAATAAACTGTTCAGAAAAGACAAAAAGTGGGTAAGAATGACGAAAGAACTGATGCGCGTAGATTCGCGTTGAATTCGAAAAAAAACAAAGAGCAAAGCGTTCTGCACTTTTGTCGCTATCGGAATTGTTGCGTTCGACAGCAGATTGGGAGAGTAATTCGGATACGCGAGTTCCAATGCCGAGTCTGTAATCAAGTGGAATATCCAACTATTGCTCGCTTCAACAAATGTGCCGGAGTTAAAAAAATTGTTGCTGCTGAAAGAATAACTGGGAAGCAGCTGGGCACGGATTCAATTGAAAAAACAGCAGCTCGTTCATGTGCAGGCTGAAGAAAATTGGAAAACTTTTCTGATAATGTATAAGTCTGATGCAAACTTTATCGTTCCTTATCCGGACCATATGCTCTGAAATAATGCAAAAAAAAATTTTCAAAATTTCCAAAAACCCTTCTTTATGCACTTGTGTTCAGATAATCGGTCGCATTTGCGATAACCCTGCAAAATAACTATTCAATCAGATGATTGTAATGCCAACATCAAGAAAATTTGTTAGAAACAGTAACGGTTCTCTTGTACAGTATAACCCTCACATGCTATTTCTCGAAAGTGACTAGTGGTTTTGAAGTCTGATTTTCTTCGTGTCTTCTGAACGGTCCCTTTCAGTCTGTTGAACGACTCCTTTGTGTAGGTCAAAAAAACAACTGTATCTTCCCACGACATGCAAATCAGTGCATAATCTATAGAGCATGCAAGAAGCGAGGCGACCTCGGTGACACAAAACATCAGTAAACAACAATCGTCGATCACTGTTAAAGCCACACAATAGCAACATGGGGCCAGTGCAATTTTAGAAAAATCGAAGATTTTTAGAATCAATTTACGTGACAAACCGATATTTGCTAGAAAATTCGTGCTTTTCTAATAATCGTGAAGAAAGAAATGTTATCCATCGGTTTCAGAAAGCCTATCAAACAAAGAACTTTTGAAATCTGGTAAAAAGTCATTGTTCGGGTTGTGATAAAACCCTTTTATGCAAGGAATCGTTTTCCTGTCCCTACTAAAAATTTCATGAAACTCTTCGACATGTTCTTCGACAGCATCCCTCTCTTTCACTTTTCATTCCTTTTCCCAGCAATTGAGCAGTTTTCTGATTTCGAAAACCCCCTCCTTTCTCTTCTGTCACACAGTTTTATGTATGTACACTAGCTCTTCTCCATCTAAGACCAGAAGAGATAGAAAAGAAGAGAGGAAAGCAACTGATTTAAAGGACCAGGGAACCCAAAAATTTTTTGATTAATTTGTGAAATGTTTTTGTGACTGTTTGAATTGTCTCTTATTGCCTCATACACTGGTGAAATGCTGCCTCTCAAAAATGCCAATGAACGAAACGGCATGTAGTTGAAGTTGTGGCCGTGGCCTAGCGCCAATGGCCGAAAAATATATAAAAATATATGCGCTTCTCGGCCATTTTATTTTTTCCGCTTTTTTACCGGTTTTTTTCCAAAAATTCACGGTTTCTCCCATTTTTCAGTTGATTGACATTTGTTCGGCACTTACTTATTTTTTTCACTGCTAAAAAAATTGTTTTCATTCAGTCGATATGAAGTGCCAAAATGAGAGAAACCGTGAATTTTTTTGGAAAAACCGGTAAAAAAAGCGGAAAAAAATAAAATGGCCGAGAAGCGCATATATTTTTATATATTTTTTTCGGCCATTGGCGCTAGGCCACGGCCACAACTTCAACTGCATGCCGTTTCGTTCATTGGCATTTGAGAGGCAGCATTTCACCAGTGTATGAGGCAATAAGAGACAATTCAAACAGTCACAAAAACATTTCACAAATTAATCAAAAAATTTTTGGGTTCCCTGGTCCTTTAATGTATGGCCTGGGAAACCATAGCCGGGCAGCACAAAACCGTATAAAGTGTGACGTGTTGACGGTGTCCAAACCACCAAGACACGGGCTCGCTCTTACATCTCTCTTTTCCTTTTTACGGTCCGATTTATTCGGCAAACGATCACTTTTACGGTTTTTTCCTCCGTGCATCGCCCATTTCTTCCCGTCTTCCTCACAAAAACCTCTCTCCACTATTTCTATTCTTAGATTTCAGCCAACATGACCGAGAAAAACTCAATCGGAAGATGGTTCAGCGGGGTGAAGATTTCGATTCTCTCGCCTTTTACGAGAAACCACGGAAACGTGCAAGTAGTCGAGAAGAGCGAAGGAGAGGAGGCGCCGGTCGAAGAACCGCCACGTGTCCCAAAGATCGGCTGGACGGATCGCGCCAAGTCCATTGCGGGCAATACGGTGATCGGAGTGGACGAGAAAATGGAGCCGATCCGGAAAAGTGGACATCTCGGTATGCGAGTCAATTTTGAGTGGATGTACATTTTGAAAAGTTTCAGAAAGACTTTTTCCGATATATCAAGGGGAAGATATGATAGCGATGATTCGTTTCCAGTCGATCACAAAGAGCTTGGGAGATGTAAGTGGTCTATAATCTTACAGTCAACATTTGTCATTCAGACCGTTCATATACTATTTTCCGTTTTCCAGGAAGTGACCAAGCTAGAAACGAAAAGAAATTCTCCTACCAACAGCAGCGAAGAGACTACTTCAGCCGATTCCGATCAATCCGAGCTCTTCGAAATGAATCTGAAGAAGACCAAAGTGGCTCTTCACGTGTCCACCTCCGCTCTGGCCCTCAGCGACATACAATCCGCCTTCAGCCACCTGATCCCTAAGCTCCCATTCATTGGTGAAGAGCTGAATGAAATCGACCAAATGTTCCTCTTCGCACTGCGTGTCTGCAATCCAAATGCGGGAGACGTCCTGCCTGAAGACATCGCTCGCATCCGATCCCTGCTCAGCAAGTCGGAGACAATTCTGTCTTACACAAGAGACCATCTGTGGATGGTGGTGAGTGTAATTACTAGTAAAAACTGGACTGATGCTATCAATTTCTTTTTCAGGAAGACGCGATAAAAACACTGGAGAAGCGTCTCGGCGACGCACGTGATGCATTGGACAGTCTCGAATTGGGAATCTGAAAATGAGAACACAAAATAAATGAAAGGATCAATGGAGTAATTATGTATAACGTTTACTCTTTCTTTTTAATAATATTAATCTGTAACTTACTCCCGACCTTTCAAATTTCTTATCCAACTTCTTCCATTTTAATCGAACCCTTCCTTCTATAAATTGTTAGCTCACACACCTCGTTTCTCTGTTTCTCTCTATTGTTGACTGGGTTCATCATATGATAACATTTCTGGACGTTATCTCTGCTTCTTCTCGTACCTCTCGCGCATTGATTCGGAATTGCCAGATGTAGTCTAGATGCCTTAGCAACGCGGACGCGCTGCGTGCACATTACCTCTTTCTCTCTCTCTCTCATATTTTATTACTTTTTGCTGACAAACGCGTCTCTTTCAGATGGGTGACGTCGTTGATTGCGCTCTTCAGGATGGTGTCTCCGTGACGTGTCATCACCGCGCGGCTCTCAACGCTCAGCATCGTGCAGAACATGACGTGCATGTCGCCGTTCCTAGCAATGCTCCAATTCGACATCGCTCATCAAACGACGCCCACCCAATTGGACCCAAGACGAAATCGTTCGAAAAACTCGACAAAATGCTGATTGAGGTGAGTGGGCAAAAGGCAGATGAAGTGATGAAATCGCTGTCGTGTTTGTACCCGGAGCGCGTAAACCAAAGGGTATTATTATGTATACTCCTGCTTGCTCTTTTCAACACAAAATTCCCGCGTTTACCCGAATGATCACTAACTATTCACTTTCCAGCTCACAACTGATCTCAAGCGTCTGACGCTGCCCAGCGGCAAAAAAAACGTTTATCAGGAGCCTGTTGGCCGTACTTTCACTGACGAGGAGAGAAGCGCCTACGTTGAAATGCTTCATCTGGAAGCCACTTTGAATCCTGAGCCTTTCGAGTACGAGTTTGAGAAAACGGAAGCTATGGTTTACTTGAGAGATGCAATCTTTCGAACGAAGGCGGTCATCGAAAAGGCAAAAAAAAGGAAAGATGTTTCTCCGCTCACCGATGAGACCATTAATCGTATTGTAACTTCGCTCGAAGAAGTCGTGAAGGTGCTCAAGCCGGACGAGATCAGTCCGCCAGTTTATGAGCGTGGTGCTCCGCCAACGTATTCGGTTGCCGTCGACGGTAATAGACAGAACGTTTTTGTGAATGCCATCAAAGGAGTATGGCAGAAGACGGTGAGTTCACTTTATTTCAGCCTAATCTTAATAGGGTCTGAATTGCCTACCAAAACGAAACAGCGCAGTCAAAGTTGTGGCCGTGGCCTAGAAAAATCCTCGGCGATGCGATCTTTTATGGATTTTTTTGCGTTCAGCACAATATTATTCCCAACATTCACACAAACTAACATCCGGTCTTTTTTGTCAATTTTCGGTAATTGTGCCGGACAGACGATGAATTTTCTAGGCCACGAACATTTGGGGGAGAGTTTTGAAACGTGTATTTCCTTGACCACTGTTCCGTTCCTAGGAATTTCTGAGCATTCAGATTCGGACAGCCAATTTGGCAATTAAAGACGTGTCAGACAGACACCTAAACTCGGAGAACATCCTGGTCTTTTAAGTATTCACATATTGTTATCTTTCAGAAGACCACTGTCGGAACCGTGACGCAGGTAGTGAAGCGTCAGGCGAAAGTCATTTCGTCGTACATCCCAAGCATTCCGCTAGTTTCCAACTGCCTGGATAGAGCTCGTAACGCGTTCCGCTTTGAGTGGACCGAGGAGAACGAGCGGATGTGGAGACTGATGGAGAGAGCTGAAGAAGAGATGGCAATGGGGCACCCGTACCCATACGGCGACAGCTCGGACGATGAGGATTCCTACTGAAGTGACGTCCATTTTCATGCAGACTAATGTAGCCTAATCTCTATTCATTTCAAATATCTCACGTAAAACTATCCTCGTAATCTCATACCTCATAATCTCACCGCTCCCGCAAATTCAGTTCTTTTTTCCAGATTCAAGTGTGATGTTTATCAAAGCTTTTCCAATAATAAAACATGATTGTGATTGCTGGGTTTCCAATCAAAATTACAACATTGAAGCAAAACAGGAATGATAGCCGACATGAAGAGAAAAAGAGGGGAAAAACACATAATTATAAGCACATGACCGAGAAGGCAAGAATGGGAAGAAGGAATGCGTGGCTCACGGAGGACATGGTCACAATGCGGAGATCTTTGTTGCTCGAGGAGTTGTCCACTGTGTACTCGTCTTTGCTCTGCGTAGCTGGTTTCGTTGGGAGAAGAGTTGGTTTGGAGCGAGGGATGATACGGTAGAGACGGACTTCGAGGTAGGGGGAACGGTTTCCGGGGGTCACTTGGACGGTACGAGTGACCGGGAAGTAGTCGCTATGATCGAAGGTGAGCTCATAAGTGCCCATATTGGCCAGCCGCCAGAACTCTCCTTCTCCATAGCTCACAACAATCTTTGCTCGTTCATCGATACTGACTGTAGCGTTCACAATTCCTTCTCCAGTATCCGCATCGATCACAAGTCCATGGATTGCTCTGAATACACAGTATACTATGATTTTCTCGTCGTCTTCTTCTCACCCGTGAATCAGATTGATGAAGTGCAGCAGAGCGTACTTGTTCTCTTCCCATAAATAGCGTAGTTTCTTGGTGTGTGGGAACTTTTCGCAGTTCATTTCTACGGTCACTTCGAAACAATTCGTGTTCAGGTAGTTCCAATCTTGCATTCCGCCGGAGACAATGTACCAGTCCGCTCCGTTGATGATTCCGTTCTGCGGGTCGATTGACACGTTCAAATCATCGTCCAGACATCTCGGTCCCTGTTTCCACATTCGTTCATGTCCTCTCGCGTACGAGTAAGCGAGACGCACAAAAAGTGCATTGTCGGGCGACGGAGAGTAGTGTGCTATGCGCGTGCGTGTCGGAAAGTCGTCGAATGGGTAATTCACTGAAATCATTTGCTGATTGGAAATTGAAACTGGTTCGAGACGTACCAAGAGTGGTGCCGCCGTGTAGATTAGCGGAGAGCACGAAGGGCACCTGACGCGTCCAGTTCATGATGGCGATGGATTCTGGCTGAATGTCACTGGTTGGGTAGTAGTTCGGGAAGCGGCTAGGAAAGTTTCTGTTGAGATCCTTTCCGTTGGCGTTCTGACGTCCTGTGATGCCGGAATGGTCCCCTTCGGATGCGCGTTCGTAACCATCCGGATTCATGGATGGCATCAGATGGATCCTCGTGCTATCCAACAGTTGGTGAATCCAAAGATTTGTATTGTAGTTCTCCAGAAGGGTATGCGCGAGAGAGACCAGGAACACACGTCCAGTCACCTCATTTCCGTGCATGTTTGCCACGTACTTGAACTCCGGTATCAGTTTTCTGTGCTCTTTGGGGTACCGTGATACCACCAGAACCCACAGCTCTCGTCCTTGAACTGATTGTCCGGCCGAGTAGATGTGCGTCAAGTTTGGATATTTTCGGTGGAGGTTCTGCAAAGAAGAACTCTTTTGAAAAATCCAAAAAAAGAAGAAGAAAAAGAGGAAAGAAGGAATTAGAAAGGGACTAACGTGTATGTGATCCGTCAACGTCGAGTAGTTCATGTGGGAGAAGTCGAGAGGATCACGGAAGGGTCCGATGGTCTCGCGCAGCTGCTCCATGCTCTGGATTTCTCCTTCTTTCGTGAATTGTCGGATGAGCATCTAAAACATATAAAAAACATTTTCCGATGTTGTCTAAAATCTTCTAATTACCTCCTCTTCTTCCTCGGCGAGCCGGGAGCATTCTATGATGCTGATGGACAGTAAAAGGACTAAAATCGGTGACCTCATCGCATGGGGTTCCTGAAAAATGATTGAAATAATGTGTGCTGAAGGCTATTTAGACAAGAGCAAGCAAACGAAATACAGTTTGATCAAATTGTTTTCATTTTCACTTTTCATCATCTCACGCTCACGGTCACCATTCCCTTTCAAATCAACCAAACACATTTGTACAGAATGACGCGTCAAAACGGGACGAGCAAGAGCAATAGTTGACAATTTGTCTTGTTGGCACTTTTGTTGCAAAGTGAAGGAAGAGGAGTTGACATGTAGACCGCGCAGAGAAGGGGAGAAGGGCATTGGTCTCCAGAGAGCTCGTAAGACGGGACGGGAAGGGTCGGGAGGGAGTGGAAGGCGTTATTCGAATAATTGGAGTGGTTTTGTCGAAAAGTATTAGTTACGGATATGAGCCAATTACCAATTGGCAAGAAGGCACTTGGGAGCACTTTTGTGGCGGGCTGGTGGTGGCCCGTCTTTGATAGATGATGGTGTTGTTGAGAAAGTCAAGCTATCCTGGGATGTCATATTATGGGGACAATGGGCCGTGTTTGAAGAAAAACGAAAAGTTCGCTCATTTTTCCAGTAAAAACAGCTAAAAATCAGTTAGCGGCGGAAAAACTCGACCATATCAGAAACAGCGCATGATTGTAGAGAAACGCGCCCATAATACCCTCTAATGCACGATTTTCACAAAAACTTGGACCAGCGGGTTCGCTAGACTTAGATCCCGTACTATGCCAAAATAGGAATCAAAGTGGACATAATGTTGAAATGTAAAAGACACTGTGTACACCGGAGCTTGTGTCAGGATGCATCTGTTTCAACTGGATTCAGATGTAAGCTGACATTTTTCAAATTTTTCTATGTTACATCTCAGCAGACTCGTATCGGACGGCTTTAAGAAAAGAAAATACAAACATTCATCAATCTGCGATTATTCTTTGGAATAATATATCCATCTACAAACACAAGGCGTTAAAATGGGCGGCAGAGTGCGCGGGAGGGTGAAACTTGAGAGCCCGGTCGGGATGCGACGAAGAATGGTGGTGCCATCATAAAAGTACGTATTGAGTGACATATGTAGGTACCTTCGAAGCCGACGAGTTCAAAGGAGCGACGAAACGGAGAGGAGGAGGAGACGGACGCTTAAAAATGCACATCTGCGCGAAATGAGAAAAGAAGCGAAGGCGATAAAACACATTTCGTTTCAGTTTTATTCGACACTAAAGGTGCGCGAGAAGAAGAGCAATAACTAGGATTCTGATGGTTGGGGCGGTTTTGAAGAGCACGAACCTCGACTCAAGACTTAAGGAATTCTCGGTTCGGAGCTGTTCCAAAGCTACCAAAAGTGATGGATGACTGGCGTCAAAAAATTCATCTTTTTGAAGAGCGAAAGAAATCTTGAGACGGCTCAATGAACTTCCGGACAACATTTTTCGGGCCTCCGTTTTAGGGAGTCAGGAAAAGCTGGAAAAGGCAGGAAACGCAGATTCAATGAAGAGGAAAATTGTAGACTCAGCTTTGAGCGAGAAAAATGGATAATCAAATTAGAAAGAAGGATTGGAGGAGGGCGAGTGGTGGGTAGGTTCCGGATCTTGACACATTTACAGAAAACACATTCACTTTCACATAAAACAACTCGAGTGATCAGGAAGTGTTGAGTTTTGAAACACGCAAGCTAGATTTCTAGTGAAATTTAAGGGTTTGCTCACCCAGGATGGTGAGATTAATGCTGATTTTCTGAGAATTAAGGAGAAAGAAGGCTGACGAGAACAGTGAAGATATCAGCGTGTTCAAGTGTTTGAACGGGAAAATGACGCTTAAAAAATGTGTCCAACGTTCATTTCAAAACGATTTCATCAGTCAGCCCCTCTCACAAGACTTGGAATCGACTAGCAACAAGTTCCACGTGGCAAAAAAGTTGAATGATAGACAAATAGAACGTGGCGACCGGACAACTTCCCTACAAATGCGGCAAGACAAGTGGAATCCGAAATGAATGAATGAATTCAACGAAAGTATTCAAAGTTTTAATCTAACAAATGTTTTCCGTTTAAAACTTGCTTAGACAGTAAAAGAGTCGATTTAACCACTAAATTAGCTCAATTCGAACGTCAAACATACAAAAACAATGAAAACATGAAGAACAAATTATAAGCTCTCATCACGTTGCCGGAACCTAGACAAACGTACATTACACTACTCGCCACCACTCCGGACCTCATTTCTTTCTTGTCATTTCATTTTCATCAGACACACAACAAGTTCATTGAAAGTGTCATCTTGCACACTTGGCTGATGAATAAATGAGTTCAGTGTGAAATGAATAGGATCTAGATTGGCGAAAAGAGAAAATGTGGCGGGTAAATTGCTTGATTAGCTCGTCTTAGAGAGATGACTCTCGTCGCCGTTCCGGATGGGACTGACTCTTGGCGGAGTAGGGGGTCGACTGGTAATAAAGGGGGGTCTGGCGAGCAAGTGGTCTGGTCCATAGGTCTTACGTCTGTTCGGTTCGGATGGAATTTGACTCAGCGCGTGCGCAGCAGGAGATGGATGGGTCGAGTGGGAGGTTTGGTTGAGTTGAGATCAACTCAAATCTCTCTCGGTTGGTGTTCGTGTTACAACTGAGAGTGTTGCGCAAGTTAGGGTCACATCGAAACAAAAGTTACGTTACATCAAATTGGTGTAAAATAACGGGTGGCCACATGTCTTGGCTTTCTCACATTTGTTGTTTTTGACGGGTAAGTCAGCAATTGATTCAATTAAACGCGCTATCAATCAGTCCGACATTGTGCTCACTTCAAAAAGACCGATGAAAACGTTTAGTGACGTAAAGAGGAGAAATAAAAGGTTTTTAGAAAAGATGTGTGGACGTTGAAAATGAAATAGATAATTGGCGGGTGAAAAATGGAAAATGTGCGAAGTTGAAGGATTGAAGGTCAGAAATAAACAAGAAAACAAGAGATGTCGAAAAAAGAAAGAACCTTTCATGTCTCCGGAAAAAGTAAACAACTTTTCGCAAAACAATTCATATTATACTTGGTTGTTGTGACTTTCCGTTTTCCTGCCCAAAAATTGAATTTTCAAATGCAAACACGACGGATGAATGCGTAAAGGGTGTGAAATTTGAAAGTTACGACATTGGCTTTTACCCTCAAAGGTATAAATGCTTTTATATGGAGTTACATACTTGGTCACATGTCAAAAATGTCGTTATTGAGTCTTTTGAACTTTTTTCGACCTATTTGGAGCTTGCCGGGCCAAAGAAGTTCACGTTTCGGCCAGGCCCGTTGCAAGTCTGTTTTCCAGGCTGAGTCCGTGTTGATCCATTATAATTTTTCCAATTTCATCTCATTTCCAATCCCAAAACGGCCAAAGTTCATCTCTCTCTCCCTTTTCTCAACACACGTGATACGTACCTCTCGTTTTTCTCATTTATCATTCCACGAGACTCGTAGCTATGACATCTCGGCTTGCTCTTTCTGCGCCCCTCCCTCTCGGCACAAAAACGGACGAGCACACCACCAAATTCGAATTAGCTCCTATCATTGCACACCCATGTGCACACAGACAAACACATTTTGTTTACGTCTTATCTAGTCCACCACACCAAACATGATATGACCAGTTATAGTACAGTGTATCAGGCGTCACGTGGTCAAACTTTGTCGCTTCTTTCATTTCCTCTCAGTCGGCATAATTTGGGAAATTGCGGGAATTGGAATTAGTTGTTTGTCTCGTCAGTTTTCTTAGAACTGCGCGACTTTACACTTTCTCTTATCTTATCGAAAGTACATTTTCCTGCACTTATGCTTTCGCTTCTTATAAGGCTGCAAAACGTTCATTCTTCTGAGCAAAACGAAACCTTTCATTGCATTCATTTCCATCTCCATTTGTCTTGCTCTCCGTCATCTCAAAAGAATGGAAACCCTGCTCTTAACATGCATTCTCTATGAATCAGTCCCGTTTTTGACAGAGGTTGTTCTGGCTACACATAAGAACGGCCCGGTTCTTACCCTTTAGTTTGGGCGTGAAAACTTGTACTTCTGACGCCAAAATTCGAGATAGTATTTCGACCTTCCACTAAGAATCGGAAAACACAAGGATTGGTGCAAACAACCAAATAACTCAGTTTTTTCACCTCTAACCACGTGACAAGAACTCCAAACTTCTCATTTTTCTGCCATTGCGACCGACCCATTGTTAATCTCGCTGGTCCCCGGTCCCAGGCGATTAATGACTGCGGGGGCATGCCTATTGACCCTCAACGGCTACACTCATCCGCAAAACGTGTCTTTGTTGTCTTCTCACGGGCCGCCTGCCATCGCACACACACACCACTACACCAGTAGGAGAGAACTTAACTCTCCGCGGGTTTTTTTGCTGTCTTGTTCTCTCTAATTCTCTCTGTTCTACCCTGTCTATCTGGTCCTCTTGCCGGCCACTCATATGACCCTCTGCCATTGCCCCCTCTACACTAAACCTCCTCTTCTCACCTCACCGACATTCTGAACCCTTTTACCTTGTTTTCCTTTGGTTTGTTTTAAAATCCAAATCGTTTCCAATTTCAGTAGTTAAAAAACCTCGAAAACCATGTTGCAATGTCGCTCTCTTCTTCGACCTCAATTATCGGTAAGTTACATTGTACCGAAACCGTCGAGCGTAGAACAATCATGCCGATCGCATAAAAGATGGCCACAGTATAGTGTAGTAATGAACTGATAAGACTCTTTTGGTCGTCCCCCGTCCAACCCGCTAAAACTTCACTTATCACCACGCGTGGCTACATTTTTGGTTTTTGAAGAAAAAGGCGTATTTTAAAGCAATTTTTCAGCACCTAATGAGGCGGAACACGAACGTTGTTGCCGTTGCCGGTGGCCACGTGGCAAATAGATATTCCTCTGGTAAGATGGTTTCTACAACAGATATTTCGCCCAATTTTGTACTTTAGACCTTCCGAAACTGCCGGCTCCGCAGCCGGGGAAGACTCTCAAGCACTTTTTGGATTTCGCGGAAGCCCTTCAGTCGAAGAAGGAATTCGAGGAAACCAAGAAGGTATCCCGATAGTTTGTTCTGACGGTCAGAATATAATTTTAGATTGTGAACGATTTTGTGGTCAAAGATCTGCCAAAGCTTCAGGATCTGCTGCAGAAGAGAGCGGATGCGCTGCCTAATTGGGTGAGTTTATTTTTAGTGAAGAGTTTTGAGAATAATTGTTTTTTGTTTTCTCTGAGAAATAATGAGTGCTAAGTTTGTTTCAGCTTACTCCATGGTGGCTCAACATTGCCTACCTTGCCGCGCGAACCCCTCTTCCCGTGGTCACGTCTCCCGGAGTCATGTTTCCAAAGTTCGACTTCAACACCCAAGAGGGACAACTCGAATACGCGGCGAAGATCAGTCAAGCAGCGATCAAGTTCTATCTTCTTGCCAAAAAGTGAGTGGTCTCATCGGTCGGACGTTTTTTTTAAAATCATTTTTCAGTGATCAACTAAAACCAGATATGTCCGGCAAGTCCCCATTGGATATGAGTCAGTACAAGTTCTTGTTCGGGACCACGCGAGTGCCAAAAGTCGGGGCCGACGAGATTCGGTACGGATGCGACTACAAAGAGACTCTGCAACACATTGTGGTGATCCGGAACGGGCATGTAAGTGTTGTGTTCGTTCGTGATTACAAAAAACGTTTCTTTTTTTAGTTGTTCCGTGTTCAAATTCTCGACAACAATGAGCAGCCGTTGTCCATTTCCGGAATTACACAACAGCTCGCGAGAGTGGTGGCGGACAGCGAGACGCCGAATCCGCATCCTGTGGGAATTGTTTCGTCGGACTCGCGCGACAAGTGGGCCAACGTGTACACTGCATTGAAAAGTAAGTAGCATTGTGATGAACGAGAATGTGGGGTGTCTTTGCCACAAATCCTTTTTTTGAGTAACTAAGACGGTCAGAATCCCGGGCTTCTATCATTTTCCCATACAAGTCCATGTATTTGAGAAGAAGTTGAGAAGAAGTAGTGAAAAAGTTTGGTTAAATTTCAGAAAACATCAACAATGTGCAGTCACTCGAAGCCGTTGAGAAGGCTCTGTTTGTAGTGTGTCTCGACAAGGCTAGTGATCCTCCAGTTGGTTATACGGAGAAGGATGAGCAGAGCAGGCAGGCACTTCATGGCGGCGGATCCAAAAGCAACTCTTGCAATCGGTGGTTCGACAAGACTATTCAATTTGTGATCGGAACCAATGGATACACGGGAATGACCTACGAGCATACCCCCGCAGAAGGCCCACCAGTCGGAGCACTCATGGACTACATTTGTGATCAATTGTATGTTGCTTTTTCAATTATTTCGTGAAAACCCGTTTAAACAATTTCAGTGACGCCAACGCATTTGTGCTCGACGGACCGTCTAGTACATCGAATGTGCCACGTCTTGACATCAAAACCGACGATGAAATTAATAAGCGGATCGCCAAGAGCACCAGAAACATGGATCACATCGCTCAGGACCTGGATATCACTGCGTTTACCTTCAAACCCTATGGAAAGAACTTCCCCAAGTCATCAAAGATCTCTCCGGATTCGTTCATCCAAATGGCTTACCAATTAGCTTTCTACCGGATCCATTCCTCTCGTAAGCCAATTATATAACTTTTTTCCTTGACTTCATTAGCCACATTCCAGTTCCGCCGACCTACGAGACGGCCACTTTGCGCAAGTTCACCGAGGGCCGAACCGAGAATATCCGATCACCGAGTACCGCGGCGGCAACGTTTGTGAAGAAGGTGTGAATAATCTTGATGATTTGTACCCTCCAACATCCTTTCAGATGGTATCGAAGCCTCCGTCTCCGGTCAGCGAAATCTATGACGCACTGCTGCACGCGACCAATACTCACAAGAAGTATACGGTGGATTGCATGAATGCCGCTGGAATGGACCGACATTTGCTGGCCTGGAAGTTGATTGCGTCGGAGAACAACCTGCCGACCCCGGAGATCTTCGGCTCGAACATCTATCACCAACTCAACCACTTCCAGGTGTCCACCAGTCAAGTGCCAACCCGTCATTTCATCCAAATGTGCTTTGGACCGTCCGCCCATGACTGCTATGGAATCTGCTACAACCCGCAAGAGACTGAACTGCACTTTATGATCTCGACATTCAAAAGTTACGGATCGACAAGCTCGAAAAAGTTTGCCAAGGAGCTCTCGAGAGCTCTCATCGACATGAAATCGGTCATTAATAAGGCAACGAAGGAAATTTCCAAGTTATAGGCGTTTCTCTCTCCAGCTTTTTCTCTAAAAAGTTCTATACATATTTTTCGCTCTTTTTCCGCGCCATACCTTTGTAGTGCTTGTACGTGTTTCGATTCCCATTTTCCCAATGCTTGTAGATATTTTATAATAAACATATTATTTCAATTTACACAGAAACTAGGACGGCTTTGACCAAAAAAGCAAAAATAAGGGACCCCGTGGTGAGAAAAATTTAGAGATTTTTAGTAGTTTCTGACTGACAGTTCCAGTGCCTTGGGAACAAGAAATCGACGACGACATTGGAGTACGGAGCACAATGACCACGTCGGGCGTACCATTCCTGACCGTAGAAAGCGATGAACATTCCGGTTCCTAGAAATAAAACCATTCAAAACCTGCAAATTCAAAAGAAAAACATACCAATTAACAGATTGAACCAGAGAGCCGTGTTCCACGCAGACCTGCTTGTAATAAGACGTGAGACGGCGAAAAAAATGCCACCAAAGATAAAGTACAACACAAACATAACTGGATAGAAGCATCGGAACGCCACACCAAACCAGTACTCATGGAATAGAGCAGAAAGGAAGAATACTGCCATTTGAGCGGCTCTTTGTCCTTTTCGGCCCGGAATGTAGGCTGCCAAATCACGGAAGACGTAGGCGTAGAGCCAGTCATGGACGACTAGGTTCCAGTTACGGTAGTATTCAGCCATATTAGAGGAGTTCCACCAGTTCTGAAAAGAATCGTCTTAAAGATGTTCTAACCAGATGTGTTACCAAATAAAACTGTCTGTCGGCGAACTGCATCATCTCGGAGAAACAGTTCAACCAGCAATGAAGAAGACCGTAGAACAGAGAAATAAGGCAAATGATTCCGGGAATAATTCCCGTGAAAAGGGACAGGGTAATGTTGGAGAATGTGAGCGAATGATATTCCAGGACGTGGAGCCACGGGAAAACCCATTGAGTGTAGGTCAAGTTGACGAACTCGATAATAGCGAGACACTCCAAGAAGTAGAGACCAGCGGCTCGCATGTCTCGTTTTTCAGTTCTAAAAGTGGAGTTACAGGCAGGAAATTTGCATTTTTCGGGTTAAAGGACCCGCGACCCTTCCGAGTTTTTACATCAGTCTGACAAGTCAGAATCCCAACGCTTGCACGCAGTCCAAATTTAAATTTCATAACTGTTCCTGCTAAAAATTTAAAGTCTGTATGGCTGCAGATTTGTGTAACCATTAATCAATGGTGTTTGAGAACCGAGGATTTTTTAGGCCACGGCCACAGTTTCGACTGAATAGAGCAGTTGGCTCTCGCAAAATCTTCCTGGCACACTCTTCAGTAGGTCCCCATTCTGTTTTTCATATTGAGAGTTGAGATTTGAACGGTAAATGTTCCAACTCGGAAGGTTCTCTAATCTTTTAAGGTACCTTGGGTATTCATCTCTATAAATGAAAGATGGACAAAATTGGTAGTAGAGAAATTGGTCCAAAGTCGGCCAAGTGTCTATCTGAAAACATTTTTTTCCAAACTTTTGTCTGATAAGAGCTGCATACCTCTCCGCCACTTTTTCTGGTCATAGCACGATGCCAGTTCTCCCTAATGAAAGAATGCACCTTCATCGCTATTCTTGTCTTCAAAAAAGGTACGTGCTGGCTGCAAATTTTAAGAACAACTTACAGTTTCACAAGTGATGATGAACGAGCACGCGCAGTTGAGCTCTGATTCATACAAAAATTTGAGTGGGAAGTAGAAGAACGCAACTAGATACGTGAGGTAGGTAGCGACGAACGGCATCTGTGGCAACATTTGTATTATCTATAACTCTCGCAACACTCTACTAACATTCGACGCCAAATCCGTATCCTTCGACGGTACAGTTGACCAGTATTGGTATGCGTAGTAGACCCCGAGAGTGCTTACAAACATTCCAGTCCAGACGGACATTGTCGAGAAGAACTTGTCAAAGTTCCACCAGATGAGCCAAGTGTGGTGAAAAGGCATATGATGAACCAGAATGTCATCGACTAGAGCTCTCAGGAAGAAAAGGACGAATACGGCCGTGAAGCAGTTGTAGATAATCTTCATGTTGCCATTTCGAAACTCGGTTCTGAAAAAAATTGAATTCGCTCTTGCTTTATCGTGATGTAACCTAACAGTAACTCACGTTAGCAAAGATTCCCGCACGACGAACACTTTTTCTTTAAACTCTTTCCTCCTCTGCTTTACCGAGACCACTTCCTCATGATGATGATCCTTCAGAATCACATTATTGTTTTCCTCTCGTTTTGTGTCCAGTTCAATTGAACCCATTTCTGAAATGCTAAATCAAGAAGATATTTGAAAGTAAGAGAAGAGTGAGGGATGATGGGTTTACGAATAAAAACAGGGTTCGGTTGCCGTTATCAAACGGGTTTCTTTCCTCTGTGTAGTGAAGTGGAGTGAGGGGAAGGATCATGCCATAGCTTCATAATTCTTTGATATTTCATTTTATAGTCTACGCTTTTTTGTAGTCTCTCTCGCCATTAATTCTGGAGAAGCGGTAGTGGGGGGGAAAAGTGGCGATGTGGGTCATTCAGGCGAGAAGGAAAAGAAAGGAGGACTGGATGAGGGAAAACGAGAGGTGAAATGACCGGTGGGCATACAGAAACAAGCATGTCCCTCACTGCGTCGCCGGTTGCGGAGGAGGCAAGATGAGGGAAAGCAGCAGCAGCAGCAGAAGCGAGGAAAGGAAAAGGCGCGGCAGTTACATTTAGGCCATCACTCCGAGCGAGGGAAAGCGAAGCGCATCCCGAATCTGCAATACTCCGGAACGAAAGCGATCGACTATTTAGATTAAGCCCAAGAGGCGCGAAGATTCAATCTAATTCAACCCAGGTTTTCTGGCTTCTTAGAACGGTTTAGCGATAGAAAAAGCTCGCATTCTGATCAAAGGTCTAGAATTGGGTCAAGTGGTGAGGATTTCGACTTGGGAAGGTAATGCTAAGAAGATGTGATTTGAATAATTTAGCTTTGCTTCTGTTTGGTGAATAACGGAGAAGTTCTGATGTTCGAAATGCGGAAAGGAAAGCGAAGCGAGAACGAAAAACAACCAAGTTATATAAAATTCAAGAACAGGAAACAAACATTTGACCGTACCGGCAATTTTTCTCAACTACCTTCCGACGACATTGAAAACAAGTCAATCCGTGTATTTTCTGGTTACTAAGACATTATGACGTCACCGAGGACTGTAAACAGAATAAAATACTGTCAAGATCAGAGACGCTATCTGGTCTAAGATTATCTGAAGAAAATGTCTGAAACCAATGGGGGGGGGGTTTTAGTACTAAAATTTCAAAACATGATTTCGACAAGTCCACTGAAATCCTGTCAGTCATCAGTCTGAGATACTGTAAATTGATTGGTTGGCAAAAAAATAGCACTTATCTGTAAAATTTCACTTGTCCCCAGTTCTTTTTTTCCGTTCGATGACTAAATTAAAGGTCTAATTTCAGTTCGAGCACAAGTTTCACGTTTCATGCATGTACTCTCTATGGACATTTGCTCCATTTTGATCAGACTAGTCTGCACTTTGTTATAAGTTCAGATATACTTTCAGCTCAGCCGCTAATCTTTCATTAATGTCACCAGTACAAGGGATTCTTGCATGTTAAAGCGGTTTTTTTGGATTAGCAGAGTGTTCGGAAGTTGATATCCGAAAAATGTGCGCGTGTCTGAGTTGTAATCGGTCAATACATCCCTTTCGAGCATCGACAGATGGAAGGGCAATGCTGTGAGTCAGCAGAGGAATGTGTGTCTGGAAGAGCAGTGGGTTGAGAAAAGAAGAAAGAACAGAGAGAATGTTGTGGGAGGCTGATGTCAATTTTGTTACTGCCGTGATTGTCTGTAACTTTCATACTTACTGAAACTTGTTTCACTTCAAACTCTCAATTCCAATCAACTCTCATTGTGCAGTTGTAGCCTACACATAACTTTTAAGAAATGAACCCCTTTTTGAGCTATTTCAGGAAAAATTCTAGCAATTCTTGACAGATTCGTGATGCGAAACCTTCTCAATAACAAATTCTCCGACGCTGAAAAGTGCATTGACCGTGATTCACAATATGGCGGCTCGCCGCTCCCCCCGAGCGCACATGAATTCTGTTTTTCATAATTCTCTCAGTGTCACCCCGTGCTTCCATGGCCTCGGTTGTGTGTTGCAGAGCGGGCAGCAAAAAGCTTATTAGTTCCAATGTACCCCCCGTCGCCATGCTGAACTCTTCTTCAGCGCCTGCGGAGCCATGAGGCGGAAGCAACTGGAATGAGCGAGAGGGAGCGTGTGTGCGTGCGAGAGTGTGCCCCCGTCAGTGAGTGTTCCCGGCTACTAGACTACTAGTAACAGCGTCAGGCTTGGCCGAAGACGCAGAGTGAGACGCACACACAGTGTACTTTTCATGTTACCGGCTGGCACTGGGCCCCGTGGGCGCTGACGTCCGTGTCGGTCGCCGCCGCCGCCGCTCCCCCTCCGCCGGGCGCCATCCATTCTTTCTCTGCTCCTCCGTATTCGTTGCAACCACTCATCGTGCTCTCATTTGCACTTTTGGTGTGCTCGCGGAGCTCTTTTCGCTGAACATTCGGTATGAGAGGGAGAATGAGAGAAAAGAGCGGCGAGTGCAGCACGCGTTCGAAAGTGCAGAAACGACTGGAATGAGAGAAAGGGGAGGAGGGGAAATTGGGAGCATTACGATTGATTTGGAAGTGGGATTCAAGAATCAGGAATCGGGAGTCAACTACTATAACTGACCCCATCACACTTGCATCATCTGACCAAGACTGAAAAAAGGGTATCTGTTGGAGATGAAATGTAAACGTCGGATCACATTCGATGTATTTTCTATCGTATAAAAAACATCCATGGAACGAGTAGTCTGAAATTCTGAAATCAAAGTTTTGAAAGTGCGCAACCGGGATTCAGATCATAGACCAGCATTTCTAGTTTCCGAAGCATCAAACACCTGACTCTCATCAAACTCCAATATCAGTCTATCCATTTGTGAGGGCGGAAAAACGTTTAATTTCCGTTCGGTCTACCTCACCTTCCCGGCTCTGTCCTACAACTCTTTCACAACGCACTCAGTTTGTTCTAGAATTTTGAACTTTTGAAACAGTGTAATCTTTCATTTACAAGGCATTAACCGTCTTTGTACTATACTATTCCGTATCATTTCCTCTGCCTCCGATTATCGGAAAACTGTGCTCGGCTCGTCTCTTCCACCAGCTCAGATTTTCCTTTGAAGTAAGTAAGTAAGCTGTTTGGGGTGAGTGCACTTTCAAGACGTTTTTGTGAACTTCGTGCGTCTGTGCACTATGCGAAAGTTCGAACAAACGTCGGGCTAGGGTGCGATCGAGATGGTAGGGGGAGAAGAACTGTGCAAACACCTTTCGTGTCCCATCGGCCTTGGTGTCTGTCTGATTTCACGGTCTGGAAATTAAGAAAAGTGCACGTTCTATGATCTTGAACCAAGCTCAAGAAACACGAGTGGGCGTGGTCAGATCTGGAGCAAATGGAAGGAGAAGCTGAGGGCGTGGCGAAGAGAGGAAGATAGCCCCGAGAGCATGGGCTCCTCATTTGAGCTCCTCCACTGGGTTCCCTTCCTCCCAATTCCACCTGCTCGTGATCATCCATCCGGTGTGGGGTTGATAAATTTTAAGCTTCACTAGAATTCTTGGAAATAATGAGTCACACGATCAGCAGAGCAGAACCTCAACATTTTGTTTACCACCCATACCCTTCTACGTAACAATGATCTCTCTGGAACATGCCAAAAACTTTCGCCTGATCGATCAAACACCCCGATGGTCAGCCAGCCAGTCATGTCAGTCACTGACAGTGCAGGAACCTATCTTGCACTTTTGCGAAACGAAACGAAAGGTCATTCCGAACAAGAACCAACTTGTTTTTTTTTCACGACCGACTCAAGTCGCCCATCATTCGCCTCCCATCCATCCATTGGCCGTCTCCTCCGTTTTGTTCCAATCCGATTCAATTCAAATGCAGATCTTTTTTGTCGCAAAAAAAGAGACGCGGCGGCGATTCCTTTTCGATTTATACCGAACGCGTCTAGTCAAGCGGAGTGGCGGCAGGAAAAAAAACGAGGGCCGGACGGACGGACGGACGCGTTCGCTCTAATATTTGTTAGAGAAGGCGAACGGTATAGCGAGACAGCGCAAATCTGCAAGAGACTTCGGACCCCGGTTCGGCGTGACGACCGTAAAAAAACGATGTGGGCGACGGGGAAAGGGGAGGAGGGAGAAGAAGTGGGTGGAGTCACATACATTCCGCGTCCTTCTCCGGCTCCTGATTATTGCCTTCCCCCATCCTATCCGTATTCAACATTCCTCTATTCTATTCCATTCTATTCGCTGCCAACTCCCTATTCCGCACTGCCCTTTATTATTCTCGCGACGGTCTGTACGAACATCTGAGGTAGTTTGTAATGTTGCGGCCTAAAAGTGTCCACAACATTAATACTGCGTCGAATGTTCAGAAGACCGGGATACAGGTATGTTGCAATGAAGGTGGGCTAGGGTTTGAGGTAGGTTTTGATTGAGCGATGTCTGGAGTGCTTCCCTCGGTCGAAGCTAACTCGAACCTTTACCACTTGATGAATTATACCGGAGTGTGGGGGTGGGGACTTGTGACTGTAATAAGGGAAATGAATTAAAAGGACAGGAATGCAAACAGTGCGGACCAGATATTTCATAACTTCGCACTGCAGCATGATGTTATGTCATGTACGAAATTTGGCCAGCATGAACCAAATCCAGGTCCTCACTTTTCTTTTTCATATTTCCGAGTGTCGCTACAGTATCCCATGGTCTTAGTAGGCTTAGCTTTCCTGCTGCAAATCTTTTTTATTTGAAGCTTATCAGATTCGGTTCTTGCATTCAGTGCAATGCATTAAGCGAGGTAGTCGAGTTCATTGAACCACATTTTCGAGGCAGGGCACATTTCTGGTACATACATCAAATGCTAAAGGCTAATACAATAATAATGGTAATAACTCATAGCTCGACTACGGTGATTTCCTGTAAAAGTGCTTCCCGTTGCTCGTCGGTCGTCATATCCGTCAGCTTTTTGACGAGTCGCCGTCCGCGGTTCATATCCTGACGCGTGAGTGCGGGCTCCAAAAACTGCGTGTTCCACTTGTCCACTTTGTTCTTCCACTGCAAACAGAATGGAGCACATACATACAGTTATAAGAGGTCAGAAACTTACATAATTCTGGCCATGAGCTCCAATTACCGCTTCGACACCACACATCGCCTCCTCGACAACCTGAAAAAAAAGATGCAGACATAGTTTGAGTCGGTTGCGGGAATTTTAAATGGTCTACTATGAACTTACTTGTTCCACACAACTTTCAAAAAGGGACTTGTCATATTCTTCGGCAGTTCTCACGTTTAACATTGCAACAAGAGGTTTTATCAAGGTTCCCTGAACACAAAATACGGTCGATTAGCAATCAGTTTGAGTTTTTTACTTGAATGAAAACTGTGAAGATAATAACTACCAAAGTTGTTGAGATCATTATAGGTTTTGCAGGAACTACTTCTCCGTCTGGAATTTATTTGAATGTTAGAACTGTTCAGTATCTTTAAAATACCGATTGTCAGAACCAATCCAAAGCAAATGGCTCCACGAAGACCTCCAAATGCCATAATTGTCTGATCTCGAAGGGAAATTTTGTGCATTCTCCATTTGTTCACTATCCAAGTAAGACAAAATACGACTGGAAACGAACGCAAAGACGTTTTCAAATCAAGTACTAACCAAGATCACCTCACCTAAAAATCGTGCCACAAAACAGGTAAAAACAGTCACAATCGCAAATCCGACATCCCACTTATGATCTTTGGAGAATATTGAGAATCCCAAGAACACAAAAATGACAGCTTCACAACTGAAAACGGTTTGATTCCTTTAAGTTTTTTCTCAGTTTTTCACCACGATGAAAGTGTTTTGAGCGTGTATTTCACTGTGATATCCGCTCTTTCTTCCATACTTCCGGTCACGTAGGATTTCATGCAGATGCCGCAAACCACAATTCTAAAATGAAAATTGGAATGGGATTTCGCTTTCCGCTGCTGCTTCTTGCACTACCCCAAAATTCCGGAAACGTGCACAATTTCGGAGAGGAGATAGGCCAAATAAGGGATAGTTATGCAAATGATTGGCTGCATAACTGACACATTTGCGCTCCATCTGAAAAAATTTCGAATTCATGGGGTTTTTATGATCGGCAGGCTGAGAAGGTTATTTGGGACCCAAAACCAACCTCGCAATTTTGAAATAATCAGAAAAAAATGTTCGATAGCAGCGGAAACCATTTCCGATGTTTCATTTCGACATTTTTATCGGAAATTATGAAACCTGAGCAAAATTATTTGATTTTCACAATTTGTACTTGGTTCCCTTTATAATTTCATCATTTTTACTTTCAAAAGGTGTCTGCTTTGTTCTAATTTTGTGGCTAAAAAGGAAGTAATTAATCGTGATGACTCACTTAACCCCCAACGCCGCCACAATCGCAAAAACGACACCGACAAGTACACCGCCGCCCGATACCAAAAAGAAATTCATCATTGACATTGTGTAATCTTGGTAGATCAAATGCGCCTGACCGATGCGGACCATCGAATGGAACGAGTGGTAGAGGACCTGCAAGTTGGCTGAAATTATTTGGAGATTTCCGATTATCACCGGCAAACTTACCACAGTAACCGCGTCATTGAGAAGGGACTCGCCGAAAACCGTGATGTACAGTAGTTTGTTGACATGAATCTCTTCGAAAACTGTAAAATATGTATGTGACAAACTTGTGAATGAAAATCGAGTTACCTGACAGCACCGCAACTGGGTCAACAGCTGATATGACAGTTGAAAAAAGTAAGGTATCAACAATAGTGATGTTGAAGTCGTAAAAGTTTTGAGCGGCAAAAATAAAGCAACCTGTAAGGGGAAACGATTGTACACGTGATAAGGACGCGACAGACTTGTCAAGAAGATATTGAAAACTGTTCCGGCGACGGCGAACAGGGAGATCGTGCCGATGTTACTGATAAACGCCTTGTTGGGCATGAAATAACCGGCCTCGAGTACGATTGGAGGCAGAAGGTACAAGAAGAACAGATCTGAATTGTACATGTAATGTTTTGAGTATTTCTCGAAAACGCACCTGGATGCAAAAAAAGATCGACAGTCCACATCTCAAAAATAGTGAAACCAGCACCAAGTCCCAGGACAATAAGAATTGCAGATTCCGGAATCATATGCCTGGCACGTGGCATTCTGTGAAACCCTAAATCAGTGTGTTGATTGTAAACAAAAAGTGCAGAAATGTTCAGATAAATGCTTGCCAATTTTCGCTCCGACAATCAGTAAAAGCCACATTCCGATGAGCATTGGGGTCTCCGCTCGATTCCAAGCCAGCACATTCATAGACTTCATCTCTCTGAAATCCGGAAATGAGAAAAAAAGAGAGTGATCAGGGGCAAAGTGAAAGTGAGAATGAAAAGTGAGAAGAAGAGTGGCATACGTACTTTTCTGCTTGTTCTTTTCTTGCCCAATTAGGTTGCCCCGATAGAATGGAATGTCGGCAGGTTCAATCAAATAGTCTTGATAGATCAAGGTAATCATAGGCACAGATTGTATATGTTGATCACTGAGATAATCCTATCTGTCCACTCGTTTATTGTATTGTATAACTTTTGTTTTCAAGTCAAAATCGTATTATACATGTATATTCCCTTGTTTTTTCTCTCGTCGTTATCAGCAAACAGGCGGCGGGCGTAAAAAGTGAATAGGAACGGAACAGACATTGGTTTTGGAAGTAATCAACCATTACATAATCGATCCAGTTCCGTTTTCTCTTTTTTTCTCTTCACTGTTTTTATGAGGAGACCTGTAGTTGATAAGTGTTTTGAAGAGCTTTACAAACAAAAATCGGGTGTAGCCACAAATGAAAACGAGCAAAAGATTTTCCGATTCTATTCTTTCTTGAATGAAAACGTATATTTTCGAATGTAACTTTCGTTTTCTGCTAACATGGTTCTTTTTATCGGCGTTGGCGTGGTAATTAAAGTCCTAAACTGTTCCAATGTTTTACACAAACTGTTCGTTCCAGTTTGATCTACATTTTTGTGGTCTTCGGATCGCTGGTCAATAAAACTGTTTTGCCCAGCAATAATGTTCCTAAAACTATCCCCTATATTACTATTCCATCAAAGTACGACGTGTTTTTGGAGTTTCAGTCAACTCCAGATGCGGTTAACAGAGTGAGTTTGAACAAACTTGATAATAATTTTGTTTTCCGGATTGTGACAGCTCATTTCTATGAAGAAAGCAACTTTCCGAGTAAAAAATCTCAAAAACTGGTTATTTTGAAAACGATCATCAAGCCTGAACGATTTTTGAAGAGTCTGGTATTGTATTGTTTCAGGAATACACTGGAAGTCTTCAAATGAACTTTGTTGCTCGAGATCTCACCCAACAACTGTTTTTCCATAGGGGCAATGATGTGAAAATCAACGCTATAACCCTTGAGGACTCAAACGGAACTTTGAGTACTCCGGCCGCAGGTGCTTATGACAAATCTGTGAGTAACAATTTTTTATGTTCTGCAACTCGGACCGTCTTTCTTTCTGCTGCCCTCAGCGAACATACAAAAAGACTGACGGACAGGCGCCTCTTGTGTTTTATATATAAGAAAGATGTTTGTTTTCAGACCGAAGTTCAAGCATATATACCGATCACAAATTTGACCGCGGATGGCAATTACATTCTCCGAATTGACTTTGAAGGCAGTTTGGACTCTGAAATCAGCGGTCTCACTCATTTGAGTTATTCCCTCTCAAATGGAACCACTAGGTAGGATGAATAGGCAACCAGAAACCTTTGAATGGAATTCATTAACTTAAAGGTATGCAATTGTGTTTGGACATGACATCACCGACTCATCTGGTCTTCGATATTTGATGCCTTGTCTTGACTCTCCGGACTTTCCAGCCGTTTTTAATTTCAACATTCGTCACTCTCCAAGGTATCGGGTTCTGTCCAACTTTGGCGGACAAATTCAACAGTGAGATTATGACAACCCTATTCAATCGAAACTTTACCGGTTTTCTTAGGTCATCTCGCTACACGGCCACACTTTTCAACGCAACTTTCGACCTGGATTCATCCCAAGTCGCGATTGCACTGATCGACATGGAAATGACAGCAGTTACAGTGCAACAAAGCGGATTGACTGTAAGCTGACCGGACGGATTCCTTTTCACATTTTCGACCCTCTATTCCAGATAAACAAGTACTACCGGCAATCTGTGGTGAACAATATTTTGACGGACCGAATAATTCAGTTTATGGCAGCCAAGACGGCGCAAATTGGCAAAATCGGTAGCTTTAAAGAGGGAAGAGTGTGACCAGAGATCACAACAGAATTTTCAGACGTGTTGGCGTTGCCTGGTCTCACTGGAATTCAGCAACCGGGAATTACGTTCTATGACGAAAATGATGTTTTGAGAGAGAATTTGGATCTTGGTTCTATTGTTTCTAAGTAATTTCTTGTGAGAATGAATGTTTTTATTCAAAAAAAAAGTGAGAAAAGTATTACTGTCAGATAGACTTTGTCTCACCCTCGTCTCGTCTCGTCACATAATAATAATTGAAAGGAACTAGTTGAGCAGAATCTAAAACATACATATAATAGGCGTTGCGCGTAGCGCACGGCGGCAGGGCGAGCCAATTGATGCGAAGGAATGAGGTCAACCTGACCGCGTACTTTTCCCTTCACAACATGCATGAATAAGAAGTCGGGGTGGTGGTGTAATTACAATTCGGGAGGGTCTCCGAAGGGGGATCCCGTTCTGACGTGACGGGCCGGCTAATCCTCGTGTGAGAAGTGCTTGTCGTCGTTTTCTTTACAAGTAGAACTTGAGACTCTGGTTCGTAGTTTTTTTTCGTTTTGTTCACGAAATCTAAACCAAAACAAGTATCAAAGATCTGGGAGCGAGTCTAGAACAATTATGTGCGGATAAACCACGGTCGATTGTGACGTTCTAATGTTTTCCTGTTGTTTTTTCTTCTTCTTCTTATTCTTTCTCTTACTTGCGTATTTTGCCGTGTCCAACTCACCTGATCTGACTGAGTAAGCCCAGACAGAACACATTCTCTCGTAACGATGGAATCTGATGATTCAACTTGGCTGTTTTGTTTCTTCCCTGTCTAGCTGTATGTGTTATCCACCGCACGGATCTTCTCCCTAATGGTCATTCAGTGACACCTTTTTGAAGAAGGAGAAAAAGGAGGTGGAGGAAGAAGAAGAAGAAAGAGAAGAAGCACTTGTTTCTTTTCTTTGTTGACACCCACACCTCCATTCCACGCTCCCTTCCACCAATTGATCTGATAGGCATCTCATTTCCCGGCGTGGTCGGCGGCGCAGCCTAGGCGCTTCTGAATTTCAGATTATTTGCCCATAGATCCCTTGTTGTTTTCTTTTTTCATTCCTTTCCGAGTATTCTCGTGCTCATTTTTATCGCTTTTGTTTTCTGGGTAACAATTGGAAAAGGGATTGGGGCGAATTCATGTCCGCAAGTATTCATTGAAAAGTCATCCCCCTCGCCATAAATAATGATAATATGAGAAAGTTCTTCTTCTTCTTCCAGTTCCCAGCCCCCTCTTTATCCCCATTCAAGGGCGCGCACCCCTCCAATGCGTGAGAATGTGATAACGGGTATTGAACCTCCGAGACTAACCCATTCTTGTGACCTTTACCCCTCCCCCCTCCCACTATTTTTTTACTTGAGAAAAAAAGTATGTAAAACAATGAGTTCAGCCGTCTGAAAAACAATCTCTTTTGTCTTGGGACACAAGTGAGTCAGGCCTCCTCGGACCCACCCGCGCAAAAAACTCGACTTTTTTTTGTCTTCAAGCTTCAACCATCAACCTAAAGGGCGTTTCCGTGTAAAATTTCATTTCGCGCTGCCTTTTTCGTGAAATATATCGTTTTGTGTCTACTTCTCGAGAAAAAATTGAAAAAAATAGTGGAAAAAGAATACGCGTATCACCTAATGAATACTTCATACGATTTCATGGAAAAAGCACGCGTCACTGAAAAAAAAACTCTAAGATTTTGTGCCACCCTCTCTATCTCTTTCTCGCAATGCAACTCTTCTGTCTACTACATCGTCTACAACTTTTTTCGCTGAATTTGTCTGCCTGTCCGCAAAAGAAAAAGCAAAAAATGCGCGTGTCTCATTATTGCCTCAATTTCGTCCGTTATTTCCAGAGAAAATTTGACGAAAATAATATGTTTTTACTCGCGACGCAATAACACCCACTGATTGGAGAGATGGAGGAAAGAAAAAGGCGATTGTAATTGGTTTTATTTGTAAAGTAAATGTCAACGGCAAGTCGAACCGTAATGAAGCAATTATCCGGGGGTATACGATACTTGTCTCTGTTTTTTGTTGAAAAATTTCCTCCTCCTTCAAAATGAATCGTTTGTAGGCTTCAGGAGGCTCCAATTGAGCACTTGAGAATCGTGTCGAGAGCTGGCACCAGTACCACCAAAAAAGATGTTCTCCTCGTCGCTTCCAATCTCGTCCAAGTGGTTCGAAAAGCCTTTGATTATACGGTAGTCATGCCTTTTCCCCCCCCCACGCATCTTTCTGCTGATGGGCTTCTATTTGTCATGCGGCCCCTCTTTTTCTAGGCGTCGATGCATCCAATCAAGTATACAGTTGGTTTACGACGCTTGTCATAAAAGGAGCCATCCATCCGCTTGATTGAAGTCGGTCCAGGACTGGGCTAGAAACTATGACTAGGCGTAGCCATCATAAAACACTTTGTATATGCATAGGTAGTGTAGCAAACTTTTCTATTTCTATTCCATCCCATTTCGCCCTCCCCCGACCCCATCTACCCTCTTTTTTCGGTCCTTTTCACCTTTTTTGCGGGTTTGAAAGGCACGGAAGTCGAGTGATTTCCACAAATAGTGGGGGCCCCTCCTACGTTTCCCGATTTTTTTTTTGCCACCACCATCAAAATGCAAATTCGTCGCGAGACTAGGTATTTTATTTTGTGCTGCTACTGCCCGCGCACGACCTTCACAACTTTTTCGCGCCATTCGCAATTCTTGACCGCAGTTTTACCTGATGTCAGTCTGAATATTATTCACCTGTTCGCATTGTGATGGTTTCAATTTGAGGGAGTTACGGTAGAAGTCGGTTTCCCACATGTTGCGAGGACGGGAAAACCAGACTTGTTGGAAATCGGCCTGGTTGGAACAAATTTGGCAACAACGTTTTGATACTTTGCTCTTTCGACCAGAACACACTGCCATTCGACAATTCCTTCTCCTTTTCACCGCTCTCTTCCTCTTCTTCTCAAAGTTCATCCTTCCGCACTTTGCCCACTAGTTCAATTGTGTTTTCCGCTAACATCCTTAGCAATTTTGTCAGACACACACCCACCCGCGGGTCGTCTTTCTTCCAACAAAAGTGTGACAATCGCCGAGTGAGGGGCGGAAGAAAAAGACAACAAGAAAAGGGGTGTCAGAAGCACGCTTGCCCCCCCCCCCCTCTTTCCGAAAAACGGGGCAAAAAGAAAAAAGGGGTCTGACTGACTGACTGACACTGACTGAGTTTGTTTGGTTTAGTCTGATTTGTTGCACACCGAGTATCCTTTCTTTAGTGACCACCGCCGCCGCCGCCGCCGCCGCGCCCAGTGACCTCCTGCGTACAAAGTGAGAAGTGAGCAAGACGGAGAGATTGGGTAAAAAATGGATGGAGTTGCTCTGCGCGCGGTAAAAATAAATGCTCGCTTTTACTACTCAACACTCTTTTCAGGTCATACATTCATACATCTGAAGGGCACCACAGCTCACTCATGTTTTATCTTTTCTTCTACTTCTTTTCTTTGGTTTGGTTTCCTGAAAGTTGTGATTTGTTCCCAAGGTTCTGAAATCTAAGCTCTACATTCCATAGTCCCTTTTATCAGGGAACTTGAAGAAAAAAACAAGAAAAGTGTGGTAGGGGTTGGCATTTCAGGCATTTCGTCTTCATTTTTCCCGTGGGATCAATGTGTTGCCGGCTGTTGGCTGGCATCGTCCGTCTTTTCACACTTTTTTGTTTTTCTCTACCCCCTCTCTAACCAGTAGAACTTTCCCGTTTCTGGCATTTCACTCCCATGACCAAAACTGCAGTTTTTCTGATAGTGGGATTAGTTGGGAGCGAGTCGTTACGAGTTTTTCTGTTTTTTTGACTGGTTTTGATTCCAACCTTTACCGTAGCTAAAAGTGAGTGTGGATTCGGATTCGGTCTCACATCAAACGGTATTAGTAGGAGGAGAAAAGGGAGACATTAGAAGCTAGAGTTATAAGCAATAATCCAATTTATTCTCATGATCAAATAGACGAAACGCGTTCTCTTCCTCTTTCTTTTCTTTTTCTCGTTCTCTTTCTCTCTGTTCACCTGCCACACCCCCGCTAGTGGTGCCAAGATGACAAGAATGTGAAGTGACATGCACGGGCCCATGCAGACTTTGCTTTCCGATTTTAAGCTCAATTTAAGCCCACGTGTGGCTTGGCTGGCCACGTCCACTTCTCAAATTGAGGGGTCTTATGTTAGCTTGAGTTTTGGTTTTCTGAGCCCGAGCTCTTGCGCTTAAAACGTGTCATTATGTGGAACTTTAACGGGCTACTTTAGTTTTGTTCCTTTTGAACTTTCATTCTTTGCAAAACCAATTTAACTGGAGTTAGCTTCAACCCAACACTACAGTACACAACCGACTCCCGTTCCCATACAATAACACTCGAGAACTTTCCAACCAACCACCCCTCCGGCTAATTGGTAATTGTCCACTCGAGAAGAGGTGAGAAAACGCGTCATGAGAATGTCAAGAGAAAGCAATCCCTCTCTCTCTCTCTCTCTCTTTCTCTCCCTCTTTCTGCGTTTGGCGTGAGACCGACTAATTGAATCTGAAACTTTGCATGGTCTACGCTCTTCTCCAGCTTTCTGGGCCCGACGTCATTGTAAATAATCTTCCTCTTTCCATTAAAATCATTAATGAATTCGAAGGTGAGCGGGGTGTTAGACCTAGGGGGACGATGTAAATCAGCTCGATAGAAATCTTCTGTGATGCGTGCGTACCGGCGCGATTTTTTACGCGATTAAAAACCGCTCTTTCTCACTAAAAACGGAAGAAAAGACGAAGAAGAAGAAGAAGAAGTGAGTGACCCTTCGCCAGTCTCCAAAAGCAGAATATGAAACATAATTATGTTGGAGGAGAAGAATTTGTGTCCCCCCCCCCGGCTTCTGGTTCGTCAGCAGTATATCTTGTTCTCTTTTAAACTTTTTTTACCCCTCTCTATACCATCGCCTCCCCACTTATCCGAGGTTTCGTTTCTCGGACAAAACCCCCGATTTCTTCGGCATTCCTTCTCCTTTGGAAGCGAGGCAAAGAACAAGTGTTTATTGTGTGTGTCCGCGCATGCCGAAATAAATCCCTAAATAGCTCTTTATTGTTTGCTGTAACCACCGTCGCCCGGGTGGGCTAGCCTCCCCTCCCAAGCACTTTTTCATACGTACACGTTTTTTCGCATCGCATCCACCATTCATCGTGGAGAACGTACGGGAAAAAGTGAAGGGTTATGGGCTATTCGGTTCTGGTTACGGTTCTCATTGAATCGTGTGGACACATGTACTACATAGTACATAGTTCGCATGGCCGGCGTTCACTGAACAGTCTGGCATATTCCAAAGAACGCTAAAACAGCTGCGGATGTGTCACTCACATATTTTGAATTATTCATAGAATCTCGAAAATACTTGCAAACTTTGTTCCCTGTTGATTTCTCCCAAGTCTGTTATTTTCGCCCGAACAAGTGTACCGCACCCAAAAATCTTTTAAAGGGGGAATGGGGCAATGCAATTCAATTCAATTCAGTACAAACATTTCTGAGAGAGAGAGAGAGAGGCCGTGAATCATCAAGAAACGCGTCACAATCAGGGATGGACGAGCCCGACCAGGTTTCCGGTTTTGGGTGGTGAGCTCTCGTAGACTTCTTTTTAGTTTCTTACTCTTTTCCGGAAACAATGTAGTGTAGCCATGACGTTGTGTGAAAGATATCGAGAATTCGTCATTTTTCCGAGCCTCCCAAGTTTCCCACTCGTTCCTCTAAGATCCGAACGCTCTTGCATAGCAAAATTCTCGTGATTTTACCGATTGACTATTCATTTATGTGCGCTTACGCGTACATTGCCTCTTCTACTTCTCTTCTCTCATATTTTTTTCAGCCAAACCGATTATTCACTTCTAAGATAGATTTATGTGTTTCCTGATACCCCCCGCATCACATCAAGCACATCCTTTCGTGGTCCGTAGAAATAAAAAGGAAAAGTTCTTCTCTTAAGACCAAGTACATCATTCACTAAGACATCAGAACCGTCTGCCGAGGATTAAATATGTATGTGCATGTAGACAAAGGGCCTAACTTTTACTCTTTTGGGGAGGGAGACTCGGACTCGGACCTACACGAGTGTTAAGTTACCAACCAATATTTCGAATGACTTTCGAGTTTATCATTCACACTCCCATTATTCGCACTACTACGGTAGTAGTAAGGTCTTTTTGCGAAAAAGAAAAAACCGATTTATTTGAACAAGCCCTGAACAAGTTCTCATGTCATACATCATCATTTTTTGCGTGTTATCACATGTATTCAGTCTTCTGTAGGAGGTCGTGTGGGCGCCTGCAGTGTTGTATGACCTTTTCCTGATCAATGCGTCCCCTGAGACTGTTCTGTTCCATCGAAAAGCCGTTTTGTCTTGGGCCTTTCGTCTTTCGAAGTTGAAGCAAAAAAACAGTCTTCGGGGATGCTCAAACATCTGTTTTTCACTTGGCAAAAAGGTTTGAGTCAGTTGGGACCTTGACAAAATGGGCGGTCGCGTCTCAACCTTTGCAAAAAAGTTGGTCTCGAGAAAGATGACTTATTCAACTGCAATCCGACGAACACGCTAGGTGTCCTTTGCTGTTATCATATTTTCATAGTACAAATTTGAAAAAACGACTTAGTTTTAGATTTTTACTCGAAAAATTGTTTTCTTATTGAAATCAGCAAGTGAAACCCGGAAAACCTAATTTGCAAACTGAAAATAACTGAATAATTTCGGCTGTTTCGAAATTTGCGTACCAATAAACACGGTGGTCAGACCTGCATCCACGTCAGCCTATCATATCAAAAACCAAGCTGTACTACAACATCTTCTCCGCCCTCGACACCTCCCCCAGTGCCAGTCACGATTGTATCCACTTTACATATATATCCAATTAACAGTGTCACTTTTTCACGTCTCACCCCCCTTCATCCGCTCGCTCCTTTCCCGCATCTTGCTTTCGCCGCTCTTCCGACCCCACCCAAAAAAAGGAGAAACGAGGACATCTGTATACCTTTAACTAGGCCGATTACGATTATCTGTTCTTCTTCGGTCTTTTTCTTTTCTTATCAATTGTCTTCTCACCTGTGTTGTTCTTCTCTATGCATTCCATTTTGCAGGCTACGAGATGTCTTCTAGCAACCGACAAGCACCGATGCCACCGCCGAAGCCGCGTAATTTGGGACGTGGCCAGTTCTACCATCAAGGAGGTACGTCATCCGTAGCTCATCTCGAATTCCGTTCCTCTCTTGTGCCTCAAGTCTTTTGCTCCAATACATATCATGAATTATTTTTAAAGAAAAAAGGGGGAAAGAGACAGGCAATGATGAATTTATAAATGCGACGCTTTTGCTCTTCTTCTTCTACTTCTTCTCCTTCTTCTTCTAGACTCCATAGTTTTTTGCCACTGAGAGCATGTCTCAAAGGGAAAAGATCATCTATCAGATGGGTTTCTAGATAAACCCGGACAGACCAAAAAAAACTGAAAGTCTAGGGATTCTGGTGTCTCTCTGATTGATGATTTCACAGAAGTGCTACTGTGAGAGACTCTTTTCGGCGAAACAAGAAAAGGGGAGAAGAAGAAGGAGCTGGGGTGAGTTTCAAACGGACGGCGGAGCAAAAAAATAGGAAAAAGAAAAGAGGTTTGGTTTAGTTGTGGCACCGCACTTTTTGTAACCCAGCCCATCTCGCGTTCGGCCGTTGAAAGGCTTTGCTTTTGTGCCATTCCATTTTTGGTCCCGGGCGTCCCAACTGGTCTCTCTTTCCTTCCTGACGCCGGGACCAACAAAAGTGCGTTTTGCGTTTTAGTGTCCCCTTACCCCGAGGCCAACCGCCCATTCCTGCTTATTGCATTTTGAGCAAGCGCGGCAGGACCCGAGAAAAAACTGCATATATTCTGTTATGTGAGTGCTTTGGGCGGTTGGTCGGATGTGGAGGAGTGGTGGTGGTGATTTGAGAATTGGCTTGAGCTCAACCTCGGATTTTCTGAAAGTTCCACTTCTATTTTATTAGTCTTCAGTTAAGTTAACCTCATTTTTCCACACAAGAACTCCACATTCCTTGTCGCAGAGTCAATTCAATTAACTCCTGAACTTTGGCTAGTCCTTCTCTCAATTTCCGAACCTACTCCCATTGCTCTTCGCCAACAAGAGATAGGAAGAAGAAGAAGAAGAAGCAGTCGTCTCTTTCTCGCATGTCACGTTCATTTTTGATGAGAAGTCGTAAACTCGATTACGGTTGCCGTCCTCGAGTAAAATGACGAGAGGTAGATGAAGTTCACTAGCTCAGACCTTTCACCGAGCGCATTCGGCTTCAAGTGTGAGCTTTCACTCTCTCTCTCTCTCTCTCTTTCGCCTGATAGATCCTCGCCCTGAGCGTTGGTCAAAACCACTTCACCCGGCCAAGAAGTGGTTCTTCACCAAACGCACAAAAAATATGTGCCAAAAGTTTTTGTCCGAGAAGCAGCTGCACTCCGCCTTTCCCTCGCTCCCTTCTCTTCGGTAGATGTCATCAATAATTCTGTCCAAACATGCTTTAAACTCATTGTTCTTCCTCTCCTTATCCCCTGTCGCTTCAAAACGTCACGTTCCTCTCTTTTCCTTTCCCCTCCTTTTTTATTTTTCGGCGCCCACTTTCGGTGCCACGAATGGACGGCGGGAGCCGGAGGAGCAAAAAAACGACGTGGGTGCTAGCAGTGCTAGCAGCTCCTGCCATTCCATTTTTAGTTCATTTTCATCTCATTTACAATGCGTACATATCGCGTTACTCAAACACTTTTCGGGCGTCGGAAAACCTTTGGTGCTGCCGCCGCACTTTTAATGGTCTCTTGTTTTCAGGGTATCTGACCCCTCAGGACAGCGACACGGACAGTGGAATCAGCGCCGATTGTGACCAGGGATCGCCGAGAGCTGCTCAAGGGTTTGGCACCACAAACGGAGGACACAGTGGACAGTTCGGCAGCTCGAGGAGGGTGACAGGTACGGTTCGAATTCTATTTGAGAATTCGTAGTGTTATGTTTAATAATCGCAATCAAAATTCCAGATCTGCCTCCAACTTCCTATCAAACTTTGCGGAGCCAATCCTCCGCAGACTATCTAACTCCGAACTCGGCTCGCAAGATTGCCAGCTACAGTACGACACCCCGTCGGCTGCCGCTCCAACCCCAACAACAGCCTGCTCCGCCAACAAGCACAAAGACCAAGTATCGGGTCAGATTTGCCGATGAAGTGGACAGTGGCGCGTCGACGTCGAGCGGAACCTCCTCCACGCACATTTCGCCGAGAAATGACCCGCAAGAGATGATGATGAATTCGGGTAAGTGTCAAATGCTCTATTATACTAGATTCGGTCCCTGTCCATAAGAATAAGAAAAAAAAAAAATCATTTTGCAGCTGTCAACGCGCCACAAATCACCACCAACTTTCATCAACCCGCGGCGGTCTATAAACAGAACTCGGGTGATACAAAGCCTGTTGTGAGCAACAATGACTTCGCTCCAGTGAACAGGACGCCCCCGACATCTTCAAGAACTGGCACACTCCGTTAGTTTCAGTTTTCGGTCCCTTTTACTAGATTTTGTGCGAAACCGCAAAGAATTCCGGAAATTCGACAGCACTGCTTCTTACCAGCTCCATCTAATTAAGAAACCAAACCTTCTCCTTCCACTCTTTCTTTTTCTTTTTATTTTCATCGTTCGCATTTCCAACATTTCTCCCTTTTCACGTACAAACATTCTACCCAGACTCTGATAATATCTTCCGAAAAGTTTGCGTTGACGTTGACTCGACAAAAACGAACGGATGAATTGGCGAAGAAGGGTCCTCTTGAGACTTGGAACTGCGAAGAACCCCGGCGTGTACATGCACATGCATGTACGGCAGGCAGCAAAAACCGAAAACCGGAGCGAAGAAGGAAAACAGAATACGAGCTACTCACAGCGCATACATACACATGGCCAGCCTGCGTTTCGCGTACTAAAAACAAAAATTGCATTTATTCCTGGCCTCTAGTCAACGTTTTCATTTTAATTTGATGGGCTGCGACAGTTTGAAATGCATTTTTCAATTTTCAGAACGAACTCCAAATCGGCGACTCCCAATCAGTTCGACACCGCAACCACAACCAACTTACATGGATCAAATGCAGGTCGGTCTTCCCGAACCGCCACCGTACACAATTGCAATGCAAAGATTGAGGTGAGTCAGAGCTTACCAATCTTTTCACCCTACGTCCACTCATTTTCAGAGCTGTCGAGCAGCAACCTCAAGAATCGTTCCGCGACGCCTACATTCGAAAGAGTGTCAACGATACACTCCAACGCCGTTATCGCCAGCGAAGCTCTTCTCTGCCACGTGGCAACAAGTCGTACTACGAAGGCATTGACTCCTATGAAATGCAGCCACCAATACTTCCGCCCGCTCATCAGTCATCTCTCATGACGTCCATTAACCAACTTCCAGGCAGCTTGGATAATCTTCATATCACCGTGAGTTCAAAGGATCAAACATTGAAGTGAAATGAGTGACATTTCAGAACTACAATACGGGAAGGCGGCGGAAACTGCCAACGGCCCCATTGATGGGTTCCTCGTGCCAATTACACTTGGAGAACTCGGACGAGCTGACCGCCTATAGAGCGTTGCAATTCCAGATGATGCAAGAAGAGCTGCAGCGGTCAGTTTTCGAAGGGCCACCAAGTTTGGCAAGGAGATTTCGCAATGACGGATATCTTTCAGACAGCCGCCGCCACCCCAATCTTTCGAGCGACAGCCCACACTTTTGCGCAGAACCAACTTGCCACCGCAAGCCTTCAACATTCCTCATATCACCACAACCGGACCACCGCAGATGGGAATGCAGGTCCCTGTGCAGTTTGATCAGGGAGAGTATGGGTAAGTGTAATGGATTGCGAAATTTTTTGACCAGGCTAGTTTTTTGTAGAACTCAAAGTGTGAGGGCTCAGCTGGTTGCGTTGGATCAAAGAGGTTTCCGAAGAGTTTTGGTGGAGAAAATGATGCCCGGACCGTTTGGTTTTTACATTGCTACCGGTGTAGTTGCCGGACAAAGAGGTACATTTCCCCGGTAAAACTTTTTGAGTATTGAAATCGTATTTTCCAGCCGGAATCTTTATCTCGCGAGTCTCCCTTCCAACACTTTCGCCAATGTTGACCGTCGGAGACGAGATCATCTACGTGGATGACGAATATGTCAAAGGACGTAGTCTCGAGTACGTCCAATCTGTGATTGCCGGAAAAACAAGTGTCACAATAACCCTTCTCCCAGCTGTCGGCCAACCACCAATGTGCTAACCGTTTTTGTTGTGCCACAAGAAGAGTTAAGCAAAAAAAACGCAAAAATGTATTAGAAAGTAGTCTGCTTTTCCATACTTCTACATAATTTATTGAAAAAAACCCTTTTGTGATATGATTGCTTCGGCTAAATTTTGAACTTTTTGAACAAATTCCTTCTCAACAGGCTTTTCGACTTGTCCTTGTCCTTTTACTAGTTTCCTTCTCTCCATCAATCATCTGCTATGTCGTAGAACCTCAACAACTGTCCACGTACTCTTTTATACAGAAATTATTGAATAAAGATGAATATTGTACATCAAAAAGATACAGAAAATGCAATGAAAATGATGAGATCAGATAAAAGCTCACAAAGTACATGGTACGGATTCTTCCAGATCAAGGCTGGGCACTGATTGGCCCGGGATTGAGGGGCCTGGCAATAATCCGATAGAATCCAAATTTTTTAGGTTTTTGGGACGGATTAATGTGATGCATTTTGTGTCCAGGTTTCAGACAGATTGGATCATTTGATATTGAGATATTATCTATCTACAGTGCGCGTCAAAAAGATAGGACACCCCCTAAAATGACGTCCTAGAGAGAACTAAACATTTTCGAGAAAAACTGTAAATGCCTGAAAGCCCTTGTTTTTGCAAAAACGAGGGCTTCTGAATATCTCCAAATCACATAATCCTATCGAGCTGAAACTTGCATCCAAAACACTTTAATCGAAGTTCAAGGAGCCTGCAAAGTTTGGGTCCAATCGGAATATTACAAGTGGCTCAAAAGTACAGACCCAGCCCTGCTCTAGATTACTCTTCATTGAATCCAGATCCATTCAATCCCCAGAATATACTAACTGCCAAAATGATCACGGCAATTCCGCCAGTCAGCCCCACCAGAAAGAACACGGGCCTCTTGTTGCGCTCGGTAATTTCCAATTCGGCAGAGAAGAAGATTTGCTGCAGCTCGGTGAGCTCATCTTCAATTGGATGCCAATAGGCCTCGAAAAGAGCCGGACAACTTCCTTCTTCGAGCGGCAATAAAGTGGTTATCCAATCGGAAACCTGAATTCAGACTGATTGATTGATTGAGACTGCGTCACCTACAATCAGCGGATTGATGTCATCGCCGAAATCGGAATAACTGTCCTCGTAAAGAAGAACTGACAGATGACATGATGCTTCCGATAGGAGCGGCATCCGTTTGTAAAGCAGCACGTATGACAGGCTCTCCAACGGATATTCGATTTTGACAGGTTGAATTGAATGATCCTGAGCTATTCTGAAGGAATTATTTCCAATATTGTTCAATTTTTGCTTCGCGCAAACCTCGCTACAATGGACCAGGAAGCTTGGGGGCATTGTGGTCGGTCGGCTAATAGTAGGTACTTGCTTGAGCAATTCGATGTGGCAGAAAGGATCGAATTCAACTCGTCGTAGGTTTTAGGTTGCATCAGATTGAGGCTGTCGATGGTTGACAGCCAGGAATAGACATCTTCCTGGAATGAAACAAGGGAATAAATACGAAGAAATTATGTTGGTTTCAGCCAGGAAGTAACACAGCTATCTGGTTCACGCTACTGTCATCAACAAGGAACTATCTTTCCGGAACGGACTCTTGGGAGTCAATGAAATAATGAAATGATTCTTGCATCGGGCCCGGCCCGGTCGAAACTTGAAAGGACCAGCTTAATTTCAGAGACATTGCCGAAGGTCAAATGTACACTTTTACAATGATTTTCACTGAGCTATCAACTTGGTACACTTCTGACGCCAAAGCACTTAACCGCCAATAAAACCAGCACCTTCAGCAAACCACCGACCTTCAAATTCACATCTCCATTGTAAACAACTCGTTGCAGACCTATGAAATAGATCAAATTTGGAAAAGCTGTCGTCTCATTCGGGTTGATAAACGAAACTGGTTGGCGATAAGTGTGGTAGTAGTAGGTAATCGTTTCGGGATCTTCATAACCCCTCTCCTGATTGAATTCCTTCAGCCATAGCGGAATCTAAAAGGAAACGTTGCACACTTACATGTGTACGCATCATCAAAAAACATTGGTTTGGCTCAGTTTTAGTTTCAAAACAAAGTAAGAGGATTGATGTTTCGAAAAAATACGGATTTCGGGTTTAAGACAAACGCTCAAACATCTAATATCAAGAGTCTTACATCGGATCTGTGTTTTGCGCATGTTTTATTGCACACCAAAAGAATCATGCGACCATATTCCATCCTTTCTTCGATCACCGTTTCTGTTTTGGACTTTGGTGTCCCATCTGGAATTAACAAATTGTTTTTGAGGAAGTTTTGTTATGGATCTAACAGAGATCTCTGGCCAGTAACCTTATCAAGCATTGGTACATATTATATAAAGAACTATTGAAAATGCAATTACTGCAAAAGCTGACAGCTAACTCAATTACCTCCAGAGCCTAGAAAATCAGGAATAAAGAACGATCGGCGACCGGACCAACAATCACCGAAGCTGATTAGTAATATGGAAATGAGCGCATTTCCAATTCGCATTTCCGTCGCCCGCTCCAGATTTCTTGCACAATGATCCGGAAAAGCGGGGGTGAGAAGGAAACGAGCGAAATCTCGACGAGCATGTGTTTCTCAGCGGAGCCGCGGACTTTATTACACAGTTTTCAAAACGAAAACGACGGCCGTCGCGGAGCAGGCAGCAAGAGCCGCCGCCACAATAATATAATGGGTTAAAATATCTCACTTGCCAATGTTTTTGGACAAAAGTTTTGACGACTAAGCATTTTTTATTGATACTTTTAAACTTTTGAACCAAACCAAGTAGTAGCACAGATTCAGTGGCTTTATGAAAATCAAACGGGGTTTACTGACAGAGGGTTCATCCTTAACTATCGTGATTGCTTTCAGTGCAAGGATGACGATCAAAACGAAGGGGGTGGGAGAGAGAGAGAGAGAGAGAGAGAAGGGGTACAATACCAGTACAGGATGGGGGTGAAAACGTGAATAGCATGAGAGTTGCTAAAACATGTTCTGAGAGTGGATCTTACTGGGTCTTGAGTGGAAGTTGAAGCGGGAAAGGAACAGGAAGAGAGAAAAAGAGAAAAGGGTTTTGATTTTTGAAGAACAACTGATTTAGGACGTACAAAAACGAAAAGTTCAAGTTTTGCACTAATTCCATGCAAATAAAAGTCTGAAATCTACGGTTTACAAGAGCGATTATTATTATACTACAGGGCAATGGGGAGTACTTTAGGATTGATGGCACGGAAGAGCTGATTAGAATTTTATGGGTTATCACAATAATCTGGAACAAACGACAAACTGGCATATTTACAGGGTTTCTGAATGAAGCGGGGGGAGGAAAGAGCTATGACGATTCCTACAGGGATGATGTTGGGGGAAGGGGGGGGGGGTGACACGTTTTTTCACAGAAAAAATTAGTCAGGGTGCAATAAACAATTATCGAAAATAAAAAAGAGATCCTGAAAAAGACAAAGAAACGAGTGGACTAAAAGTAAATGCGAGACGAGCCGGATCAAGCTCTCTTCATACAAAGTTCCTTGACAAATGGATCCACTTCCCAGTTTTTGAACAGTTCCATTACTTGCATGTTCTCCTCGTTTTGCGCCAGAATGTTCTGAAAAACAGTTTTCCATTTGCAATTTTTGAAAAACGATGAGTTACCTGTATACTGGCGGTCATCATTAGTAAACTTCCATACTTTTGCACACCAGTCGGAATGCCGACTTTTTGTGTGATGCACGTGAAAAGCGCCCCCAAGTACTTGTTTCTCTCCTCGAAAACCTCTTGTTTCGCGGTTGGCGACAAATCCAGCGCGTCTGAAATTCGTCTATTTTCGGAAACGCGTTTCATTTTCCGATTTCCACCTGGATTAAAGAATAGAGCCGCTTTGAAGGTGGCGAATTCGGTGACGTTGAGCTGAAGTTTTCGGAATGGAATCATGATTTCATCCATTTGACGTGTGTAGATCGGCCGACATCCGGAGAGTTGAACCTGAAATAGAAACTTGAAGACAAAGCAAGTTTAGTGTCGAGTACCTGTTGTTGAGGTTGCCGCATGATAAAAGCACCGTTTTGGAAGACGATCTTATCCGGTCCATGATCCGGGGAGTAGAATACTCTGTTCAAGAGGTTGAACGCAAACGCAAAGTTTCGTACTAACGCGAACTGAAAAATTTCAATTTTGTTTCAATCCCTTGCCGCTCTTTCAAAGTTGCGATATTACTGGTTTCCAGCCACATTTTCTCATGTCACATTCCCAAAAAAGAGCAACTTCAGCTGCTCAAACATATTAGTTGCCCTTTGCTAAGCTTACACACCTGATCGAAAAGATTCAAGCGTTGGTAGACATCAAAAGTTTTTGCCCACTCGATACAAATGCGCATTTCGCGAATGTTCCACATCCGGATGTCGTTCATTGACGCCGGATAGAGCTCTTTGAAAATGGTGTTCGTCTGAAGAAAGTTGAAATGAGTGATATGTCGAGGCGGACTAGTTGATCACCAGACTCACGTCTACTTTCAACTCGGTGGTTTCAAAAAGTAGGCAAGGGGACGTCAGAGCGTGCGTTACACCGGTCACTTCGGGAATTATGCATCGTCGCAACTCCTGGCAGAGTCCTTCCACTTGTGTCAGCTGGTCGATGATTTCCTGGAAAAGACACTTTTGCATACAAGCACACACACAACAAGAATAGAGTTTGTTAGCTTCTTTCTCTTTTCCCATTCTTTTTTTAACGCCTAGAAGATTTCTTTTTTCCGATCCGTATTCGGTTTCAAATGTTGCGGGGGGAACCTCAACGGATCACCAAAAAACATTTGAAACAGAAGAAAATGAATGTTGAAATTCAAGACCCCCGCATACGGAAACTGAAACAAACAGCGGGAAAAAGGAGAACCCCCCTCCCTCCCGCCTTTTTGGTGAGTTCAAAGGTCCGAGAGCTCGAGTGAGTGCTCGAACATTATTCCAGAGATCACAGAGATACTACTTACTTGGTCGTGGAGTCGGTGTGGAGTGGCCGCTTGTTCGTCGTCGGAGCCGCTGCTCATTTTCACTTTTTTCGTGGGCCCGATTCGATCTCGATCATTTTGGATGGCTGGAAGTTGCAAGGCTAAACCTTTTTTGTTCGCCTGCTCGTTTGTGAGAATAAATTGTAATTCAACTGGTTTCGATTTTCAACTGGATTATCGATTGATGTTCAAATTTTAAATAAACTAATGAAGCTATCGAAAAAAGAGTTGCCTTAAATGTGCAAAGTGGTTAATCAGCTTACAAGTTTGCAGAGAAGAAGTCGGAATGTTCTCAGTGCTCACAGAAACAGAAATTCCTAAAAATGTTAGTTGAATTCGTCAAACTTGTCTCGTTCCCTCATTTTGAAAATTTTTGAAATATCGAAAATCCCATCTGTTTAGTTCCGAATTTCACATATTTTTTTTTCCTGATCACTTAAAAGAGCACATAAACAAGGTCATTCGGGAAACCTTACAGGTGGTTTTTCGTTTCTCAAATTCGTTGAATTCCTATCCCAAAGTCTGTGATTTTGTCTGTTCTGCAGCTGTCTGGATTCACCCCCCTTCAACGACTAAGCTCAACACATTTTCTTCAAAACGACGCCAAAGATCTCGTTTTTGGTGTTTTCCAGAGGTGTCGTGTGCGTGTGCGTGTATGAGCACGCGTGTGCGCGTTCAGGATTTTGCTCTTCGTCCCGGAATAAATAAAAGAAGCGGAGACGGCGACCGTGGCTCTAATTGTCATGCTTTACGGGTTGTTTTCACCGCGCATCCCGTTTCTTCTTCTCATTTTCACAGCGAATGAATGAATAAATGAGATAGGAAGTTAGAAATGAAAAGAGACTGAGAGAGAAAATGAGGAAGAAAGAGAGACTGAAGACCTTTCCACGTTTTGATGCGCCCAACTAACGGCTCAAAAATCTACGAGCGCATCCAACGTCATCGCGCCGGGACCCAAATACGGCGCCGGTGTTAATGAGACGCGGGTTGTCGTTGAGACATGTTCATTATGAATCCGCACCGAATCGCATTTATTCTATTTTCAGCCGCGCCGGTTTCAGATATCATTACGGCTCTCACCTTTTGCGTCCATTCCGACAAGTAGACACTTGTTGAAGCGGCAGTGACGACAGGCACATCGGATGTCTGCAAAAGGGAAGGCGTCGTCGGAAAAGTACATGATCAAAAACCACTTGTGCCTGTGCAGCTTCTGCGCACCGACAATTAGCAAGTGTAACAAATTTTCCGAGTATGCTCCATTGAACCCAAAAATGCGTGGGCGGATGGCTGGGGCAACTCACTTTTGTTAACATCACAGTTCCCGTTGTACTGACAAATGAAGGTTTGCTCGCTTACAATTGTCCGCCGGAAGAATGTTTTGCTGAAAAATTCAAGTTTGAATCCTCCCTGCTGCTACACGCCACCCCGGCCGGGATAGATTTCTGGTGCTCAATTTCCACTTTCCTGGACTCGAATAGAGTCCTAATTCGGTTATGATTCATGGACTTGAATATCGAATTATATGCATCTTTTCATCTTTTTCTTCAAGACCAACGGAACCCTGGTGTTTCGAAAGAAGAGCCCGCGGAGTACAAAGACCATCGCTAATTTCCTTGAGGCTTCTCAAGCCTGATTTTAATTATCATTCTCATTCTCTGACTCACTTTCCAAAGACGAAAAATAATTATGTTTGTTTGTTAGTTGAGACTCGAGAAACCCCCTTCTCGGTCCATTTCCTTTCTAGGCACGGCGCAAGGAGCGAAAATTTAGTGGATTTTTCTTCTACGACACAGCTCTCGGGGCCCTCGCTCTCCCTAAATTGCCTCGTGCTTCTGCATGCTCTTGAAAACGTGACGCGATTTTCTACTTGATCGCTCTTTTTTCCCCTCCACGGGTCCTTTCCTCGTTTCCTTTTCTTTTCTTTCATGCGGCCTTTCGGGAGCAAGTGTGTGAGAGAGAGAGAGAGAGAGAGGGAGGTGAATTTGACAGGAGACACAAAGCATTGTGTTTGGTTTTGACATGCCTATGGATGGGGAGAGAAAGGGGCAAACGGACCAAAGAACCAGGAGAGTTCAGTTTTTTGGGTGATCGACCCGACCACCGGAACAGAAGGAGCCTAATGCAGAAAAAGAAAGGGACCAAATTTTTTCTCATTCTCTTTCCGGCGCATTATCACATTTCATCCAGATCTTCTTCTTCTTTTTACAACCCCCCGAAAAGTTGATCGAAAGAGATAGGAGAGTCGAGCAAAGAACACGGCGGCGGTCCCCGGAGAGCAGAGAGCTTCCGAGTGCAAAACGACTAGCACAAGAAGATGGCCCTCATTTCAATGAAGGAAGGGAGAAGACTAAAAGTTCAAACAACCCGCCTCACGTCACTTACCATCCATTACAGCTGGCAACTCCATAATGATATCCAGTCGCAAGATCCGAGCAAACCGCACAAAGCTCTCCTTCCGGAACTTTCCTACCTGAAAGTATAACATCAAGAACAAGCCGTGGATTTCTTCAGAAGGCGTCTAAGCTGATAAACTCACGTTGAGCCATTCGTTTATAGGAGGGAAACTTCTGATCATTGCCCATCGAGGATGATCCGTTGATGTTGGATACTGACGCAGATGAGCCGTTCATGTACATCGATGAATCGTCGTTTCCGCCGCCGCGTTGCGAGTTGATCATCGGCTGGCCGTAGTTGGCCAGATGGCTTTGCAATTGATCGGCCAATGTACCGTTCATACTATAAAATACGTGCATTGGCGGCCGAGGTCGATGATACGAAGAATTGTGGTGATGGTTGTGGTAACCGTTATGGTGGTTTTGATTGAGATGATGAAGAACGGAAGACGACGTGGTGGATGCCGGAGCAAAGCACACGTCGTCTTCGGTCGGCGGACGCTGCTGCTGCGCAAGAATAGTTGTTGCTTAGTGAGCACACGCCGAGCACACAGACGGGGCGGGCGCAAGAAGAAGAAGAAGAAGAAGAAGAAGAAAGGAAGGGAAGAAAGCGCCGGGAGCCACAGAGAAGAGGGAATGTGGTGAAAGGGGCGGAGTCTCAGTGGCGCTGAGGGCGCCATGGGGGCCCCGCAAGGAAAACACGAGGCAAGCGGATGGGAGGAGGACCCGGCAAAGAGAAAATGACTGGAAAATGCGCGCGTGGGGAGAAATTTCCATCCGTTTTTCCTTCTTCTTCTTCTTCTTCTTCTTTTTCGCTTCCTACCCATCCTAGTCCGGATTGTTGTCCAGTCCGACACGAGAAGAAGTAGAACAAAAAGAAAAGGAAAGAGCGACAGTTTGAGTGAGGTCCAAAGATTGGGAAAAGACCGAGAGAGCCGTCAGTCACCGTCAAGACGAGAAATTTTCCAATTTCCTTGAGAGTTTTTTTTTGAGTTTGAGTGAGTTGGGACAAACTTTCTTTTTACGAGCTTTTCAGAGAACGGAAGAGAGTGTGGAACCAACGGATTTTTGTGCTCGTGTTCAAACCACTAAAATGACAGCATTCCAATTGCGAATGAAAAACATCAAAAATGCAACTTGAAAAGTGCCTGTTTTTAGGGCACTACTCACTTGTCGATACGTCTTTTTGACTGGCTGATCGAAAAAATTGAAAACAAAGAACGGAGGTTGAATGGAACACCTGACCCTTCACCCCTCTGCCTGCAGTGAATTAAATTTATTGATGTTTTCGAAAAAAGAAGAACGCTTTTTGTCTTTGTATAAGTTTCTCTCTCTCTCTCTCTCTCTCTCTCTCTCTCTCTCTCTCTCACACACACTAACCTAGATAGAAAATCGTAAAATTACAAAATCGCATACATTGATGACACGACACGTTCACGTTCTCTTTGATTTCCGACTTGTCGCGAGAAACAGTGTTTTACAAGAAACAGAAACGGTTTTGTTCGCTTTAATCGTGATCTTAAGGACGGATTCCCAAAGATTGCGCAGCGAATCTTTGATGTCGATGCAGCGAAATTTCGGAAGCGGATAGTGTCTCACGAGTGCCTCTTGTTGGCTAAATAAAATCAAGAAGCAACAGGTGTCAGCGCAACAGCAGCTTTGGCCGACGAAAATCTGTGTTTTTCAGAAGATTTCGGCTGGAAATAAGTCGAAAAGCACGAGAAATGAATTGACGACGTGGCGGGAAAATGAATTACTTTCCACTTTACACTTTCCGAAAATTTATTAGTTTCTTTTTTTTCATGGGGAGCCTTTATGACTTTTCATGGGAAATGGCCAGCTCTCTTTCTCCTTCTTCATCTTCTTTAAGTGATTCTTCATCATCAAAACGTTTCTCCTATACATATTTCCCTCTCCAATGATGTCAAACTTACATTTGGCCAAAACCGCGGCCAGCTCTCTAATTCAAAATTCGGGCGAGACTGACGTTGACGTTGAAGGATGTGTGTACGGATGGAAGCGGGATACTCTCTGTAAGAAGATATCGGAAATGTACGAGACGAGTCGAGTTTCAAAGGTGTGACGATAGCTCTTTCCGCCAAAAGAGCGAGAGGATGAGTGTTCGAGTGATATTTTAGAATGACTAATGCCCTTTTTCGAGAATATTCCATTAGGGCTTCGGAGGCACTTTTTTTTTGTCAAAAACGGAGAAGAGCAACTTGAGAAGGAAGAAAAAGAAAAAACTGGACAAGTTTCAGGGGATGCCTCGTGGAGCCAGTCTGGCTAGAAAATGGAGCAGAGAATAGAAATAGAAAATAGAAAACACGGCTACGTCAAAAAAAAAGGGAGGCAACAAATTCAGATAGCCAGTCACGAGTGTGAGTTCACTTTTTCGGCGAATTCAATGCGTTGCTGCTAGAAAATCCAAAATCAGTTTTCCGTTTTCCGTTTTCCGGATTCGATGTGATGCTTGCTCGTGTGCATGTAGTATACATATTTTTCACTCACTCGCTTCAAAGATCGTCAAGATTACACTTTGGAAAAGGTGGCGGAGGTGGCCGTTGTAGAAGAAGGGAAGGAAAACGATGGAACTGGGTCCGCGGGCCTTGTCCAGGCCCGTTTTCGTCCCGTTGGCAATGACTGATCTTCTTGCGAAGATTAGGCTGAACGGACGGACGGATAGATGCGGGATGTTGGATGGGATGGGAGGGGGAGAAAACGGAAAGAAATGAGAGAAGTGGAAGTGAAGAATTTGACGAGAGGAGAGATATCGATTGATGATCTGCGCTGTTATCACAAATCACTTCTTCCTCCCCCGATTCTCAGAAGAAGAGAACAAGAATCGCGACTCGCTCTCACTCTCTTTCTCCTTCTTCCTGGTGAGAGAAACAAAAGATGAGTCTCAGTGCAACTTGAGATGATGATGTATTCAGGACCAAAGGGTGGGCTGGAGGCAACTGTGTTTGTGTGTGTGTGTGCATTCTGATCTTTGTCGTGAAGCGCGAAGAATTTCAGGAAAAGATTAGAGATCACCTCCGCGCATGAGCTGTCAGCTCTCGGCGCTCACCCCAAACCTCCTCTTCTTTTTGCACGGCCATGCCAAAGTGCGATTTGAATCATACTAGAGAAAAGATGAGACGAGAAATCTCAGAAATCTTCTCAGGGAAAGAAGACGAGAGGAGGGCATTAGGAATTCTGTGCGAGCCGTGAATTTAGTGTCAAAGTAGTGTGAGGATTGATGAATATTTCTTTACATCACTCGGCTCAGTTATTTATTCCAGTTAGGGATTAGAATTTGATCCGAAACATCGTCAATTTATGTACATGCGCAGGAACCAACTGACAGAAGTGAAAACTAATTGAATTAGAGAGAGAGAGAGAGGGAAATGATTTGATTTCATCGAAATTTCTTATCATTCTTTGAACCTAGTGAACTTTGGACTAGTTTTGAGATCTGTGTGATAGCGGTTGGTCAGAAAATATTTCAGGTGTTTCAATCGGACCTAAACTTTGTTAGATTGTCAGTCTAGGAACACAGTAAATTCAGTGAAATTGTTCAATTCGATACTTACATTGAAATTGTTCGGTTTTGAATCGATCTCTAGGTGAGATAATCCGATCAAACTAAGTTTTTCTCTGAAAATATTGCATGCGAAGTTCAGGTGTGACATTCTCTTCCAACATCCATCCACTGTTCATCTTTCATTTCCTTTCTCTCCATCTATGTACATCCAATCGCTCTTCGACCAATCATCCAAAAAGAATTCAAATTCCAATTCCATTTCACATGACTAAACTCTGCACACTTTTTCATTTTGCCCCTTCTAAACTTTACGAAAACTTTGGCCATCAAAAAGTTGCACTGGAAAGCTGTTACACTTGCTTTCCGCTATTCTACTCCAGGGGTGGCATAAGCTGGAGACAGCCCTAAAAAACTGGATGACTACAAGCGAGGGAAAGGAAAGAAAAAGAGAGAGAGAGAGAGAGAGAACATCTCGTGGGCCACCCTGACACGATGACAGAGATGTATCAACCCATTTCGTCCGATAAGATAATGAAACATTCTATGAAGCTACAAAAATTGAACTTTAAAATTAAATTACGATAAATGTGAATAGTTGTTAGTTCATTCTTTCTGCCTATAATGACAATCCGGATGCAATCTATCCAAGACGGGCTTAGCAACATTATAATTATGATTTGTTTATGAGAAGATGAGAAGGCGGACTTTATACCTACCGACAAGGCTTATAATTACACCGGAAATGCTGTTGGTTCAGTGAACAAGACACGTCCCGAAATAGTGGAATTCAAGTAGCAGGAAAAAGATGTTGAGTTTTGATGGTGCTGATGGCAAGGTGAACCAAGAGAAGGAGTAGGAGCAGCAGAGCTCAAACACAAAAGTAAATGTGGGTTGCGGGGGGAAGAGAAGCAAAGTTCAAACAGAAACTTGGTTCGGGGCACGTTTTGTTTGATCTGACCTGGCGGCGTTTTCATGAAATCACACAAAGATCAGAAACTTTTTTGGTTGGATGTTTTTCGAGGAATCTTTGACTGTCTATCGTTTTCTTTGTACTTTTTCTGATTTGAAGCTTGTCTTGTTGAAATTGAGTTTCAGGTCGACATATGAATTTAAGTCAGAAATTGTTGGCTTGGGAGTTAGACCTTTAAAAGGACATTTTCAAATTTTCGAGTAACAGGTTACAAATAGTCTCATTGAGGTTTGATCCAACTAGACCAGCATCAAAAATGATCGAAGTACAATAGCGAAATTGTTCAATTCAACAAAGTATGCCTATTTTCGGAGAATATGAAAAGAAAAAGGAAAACAAAAACTACTTTGCGCGAAAGGTCAAGAGTCTCAAGTGCAAACGAAGTTCATCAAAATGAAATACACGAAAAAGCTAAAGTAGAAGAAGAATGAAAGTCTAGGATTCTATTAAAAGACGTACTTAAGAAGTGGCCAGAAGATCAAAGAAGAAGACCCACACAAAAAGAAAACATAATGAGAAGAGAACAACTGGCACCACCCCTCTCTCCCTCTCCTCTCATTCTCTGTCGCTTTTTCCCGCGTAACGGCAAAATGCATGCAATGCATGAGAAAAAGAAGAAGAGAGAAAGAGAGAATAGATACTGAAGGGAACTGACGGCCTGGCGAGAGAAGAAGGAAAAGAAGTGTTAGTAGTTGGCATGGTGGTGTGGGAGGGGGGGAGTAGTCCTGCCCAGTTTCCTATTGATTCGAGGACGGCCGGGCCGAAAGAAGAGGCCCGGCGGGCTGCTGCTGCGCATCCAACTGAGAAAGTGTATTTGTTGGCGAGAGAGGTGAGGCAGAAAAAGAAGAG